AACAACGGGGGAACATACCCCGACGCATACCTTTCCTTTGCCTTACACTACCACATTACTACTCCTACTCAGCCTCCAACCCCATCGCATAACCCGCCAAGACCCCCCAACGTCCAAAAAGCCCTCAGAGACCTGGTCCCCACAAAACAGACAACGGCCCAGGGTAAACTCCCCACTTATCCTACTACCGGCGTGGCTGAGCAAGATCCAGGTACAGAAGCAACTATTTTAGTAACGCACGAGAGTGGGTACGGACGGGAAGGCAGGGAAGGGGGCGAGAGAGAAGGGGTGATGCTTGAGGAGTGCTTGTTGAGGCGTTCAGAGGAGGATGGTCGGGCGTGTGGTGTTTCAGGTGAGAGGGGGGATGGGAGAGTGGAGGGGAAAGAGGGGGAATGGGGGCCTTGACGGAAATAAGGGACTGAGAGGAGAGAGGTAGAATAGGGAGAAAGGGATGATAGAGGAGGGAAGATGTGATAGAGGAAATTGGTGTTTGCTGATGATGAAGAGACTAGCACTGACCCAAGACATCCAAACCATCATGTTTCACATGAAACAACATCACCACCACCACCACCAACGCCACCACACCAAAGACACCTCTGCATCACTCATGAAGCAGCCTCATAAAAAAGGTTCAGAGTAAAACAATCGTGTGTGTATTTTCAACTCTTGTACATGTGTTTGTGTTTGTGTTCGTGTACGGGGTAAATACCCTCATCGTATCGTTGACAAACCCCCTCCTAAAAACGCCAGCAGATGCAAAAAATAAAATAAACAAAAAACAAAGACAAAGAAGGTATATACAACAGAAAAGCCAGTTGGTCACAGACCGTCATCCCCTGATATGCTAAAAAGTGATCAAAAAATGAGTGTGGAGAATGTAGCGGGTTCAGCAGCAAAAAACATCATGTTGTTCCGAAATCCAAGTGGTTTCCAGAGCGAATGATTGTATGAATGAATGAATGAATGTGTAGCGCCCGTGGCGCTTAGTTGGGAACAACGCGGCGGCTAGAGCGGCGGGGACGAGCCACGCGGCCGTAGTAAGCGCGCTTGGTGATGTTGCCGTTGACGCAAGTAGTGCCAGCGGCAACAGCTTGCCAGACCACATTGCCGTTGTTGCAGAGACCGAATTGGGTGGCACCGTTGCACACGATTGCGCCGTTGGTGGTGCAAGTGCCTGAACCGCCGCCGACTGAGGGGCTGGAAGGTGTGGAGGGAGTAGAAGGAGTGCCGGTACCGATGGGAGATGGTGGTGAAACTCCTGCGGGGGCAGTGGGGCCAGCTCCAGTTGGCGCGGTGGGTGTGGCGGTGACGGTGACGAGCGTGGTGGATGTTGGCAGAGCGGGACCGCTGGAGGCGCCAGGGGCAAAGACACCACCGCCTGGGTTGGAGGGAGGAGGTGATGGCTTGCCGCCAGCTGGCTTGGTAGGAGCAGCTGGAGACTGACCGGCGGCAGGAGAGCTGACGGTAGCGGAGGGAGCACCATCAGCTGGCGGTGAAGGAGCGGCAGGAGGTTGACCAGCGGAGGGAGCAGAGGGAGAGCCGCCACTTGGAGCGGAACCAGAGGGGTCAGAGGGCCCAGAGGGATCAGAAGGAGTAGTTCCAGTAGATCCACAGTCGCCAGTAGGAGCAACGACGCTTGCCGAATCTCCTGAGCCCATCTGAAGCACTGATCCAGGGTTTGGAATCTTCAAAACCGTGCTGGATACTTGCTTGCAGGAAGTGCTAGCAATGTTGGCAACCAACATGTCGGGAAGGGCGTCGAACTTGGACTTGTCACTGGCACCGCCGGAAACTTCGATGGGAGCACAGTTCATGTACATCTCTGGACCGCCGCTCAACTTGGCGAACCAAGTCCAGGCGAATGTAGCGTTGCCGTTGGGGATGCTGTCTGGAAGCTCAAAATCGAACTTCAGAGGTCCCCCATCAACACCAGGGCAGCCACCCTCAATAGACTTGATAACCTTGAAGATGGAGTCCTTGGTGGGTGCAGTGTCCGTGGTAACACTGAGCTGGCATGATCCGCCGCCGTGAACAGCGCTGCCCTTGAAGCTAAGTTCTTGCTTCTGTCCAACAGCCATTTTGTTCATGGTCGAGATCGAGTAGCCAATGTCGTGCTTGCAGGGGAACTGCGCAGCCTGAATCGGCGAATTGTCGAGCTTGTCTTTGCTAAATGGAACAGGAGACTCCATGATCATGTGAGCGTTCGCAGTAGCGAACAAGGCCGCCACAGCCATAGTGGTGAATCGGAAAAGCATGATGTTGGTGGTAAAATGGTATCGTACAACGACACTGATGGAATGCAGAAAAGTGTGTAGGGAATGTAGTGATCTAGCCCGGCTAGTCGTGTTGAAAATACTGCAATGCAAAGAATGTAGAAGCTGCTGAATGAGCGTGGTTTTTGATGAGAAGAAACATTTTGCGAGGCTGTTTCTAGTCTTATATGCCAGTGTCACGGTGGCCAGCGTCAACGGCATGAAACAGGCGGTCCAGGTACGCTGAACCTCTCAGCCAAGGGAATAGTAGAATGCCTTAGGATCCACGCAGGTACGTTATGCGTTGACGCCATGATGGGAAAGCGGAACAGCGTAGGCTGCCTGGACTCGAGGATGGCCATGCTTCGACCTGCGAGGCTTTCGCTGAAGTTTCGTTTCGATGTTGCATTCGGTCCATCATTGGGCGAGGCTGTGTCGCTTAGCGGGCCGGCAAAAGATCCGGGCCCCTGGCGGTTTTATGCTGCGTCGCATGTTGGACCTGACTATCCCTGTCCTACGTGGCCGATTGGTGAGCCACATACTTCCTCTTTCTACGCTGTCGCGTTGATGTGTCCACAATCCGAATCGCCGCGGCTACTCCCAAAGCTTGATTTCTCTCGAAGCCACGTATGGTCTGTCACAGTGTCCTGCTGTGGACACAAAGGATTGGTTATGGTCCATCGTCAAAGCGTTGATCGTAATGTCTAGAGATTGTAAGTGGAATAACGCCACCAAATATTGCAGGTATAATAGAGCCATCGCGTGGTCAGAGTCCCATCCACATTCCCATCAAGTATCCAAAGCCGAGATAGTCTTTTGCCGACACAGGGGCCCACAAAGCCGGCATCCAGTGTATCCATGCATGGTGACTTGCATGAAGCAGCTTCGCTTCTTCCGGAGGCTGTGCTCTCACCAACGGCATAGTCGCTATGACCAGGTACGCCACCACACGCTGCGCCACAACCAAAGAGGTAGGGAAGACGGGCGGCTTTCTTAACGGTAGAGACGTCCGCGTTCTAACTTCCGTAGTGGAATGCCCGATGCAAGCGCAATGTGGCCAATATCGTCGTCCCCACGCACGTCGGCTATATGAACCTCAACATCTTTGAGAAGTCTTGCCCGTTCCATGGCATCGAGCATTGTCCCACCCTGTGGGATCTTGAGCCATGGGTTTTCATATGTCATGCTCGTCACAAACCCGAACATCTCTGGTCCAAGAGTCTTTCTTTTGAGAATCAAGCCGACGCTGCCCGTTATCAAAATAACGGTCGATGCAGCCAATAGCAGAGCAAGCCATGCAACGTTGCAGACGAATATCTCTTCTGTCGATGTAGTATTACCAGTTGTTGTTGCACCCAGGAAAGCCGAGTTTGTTTGATCGATGGTCTGCGAGAACTTCGTGAACCAGCTAAAGACTGAGTGTTCGGTTATGGACAAATTTGCTGGGAGATACACATTTGCATCGGTGACCGGTAGAGTATCTGGTCCGTAAGCCGACAGGTTGTTGCTCAGACTACCGAAATAGCCAGACGACTGGCTACTAAGCTGGTAGTAAGTATTCAAGACCAGACTCAACCTTCTGGAAAAGACGTCTGGTTGTAACCCAAAAAGATTCGCGTACGCTACATCTGCATACAGACGCCCGGCTTTCTGAATGAATGGAAAGCTTGAAGTGTTAGCCAGAAAAAGCTCAGTAGGACTTGAGCCTTCGGTGAACTTGATCGCCGTCGGAAACTTGTGGGCAACGTTTTTTAGGATTTCGAAAGACTCAAATGCTGTCAATGCATTCGGTCGTGTGTCGGTTATCGACTTCCTGGTCTTGGAAGCCGCGCATTGGGTTCCGGCGCATTTTACATATGCTTCGACGTGATGTTGGAGAAGTGTACATGTGGCGATGTTTAGGCCTTGCGTCATTCCGTCCTTGGTGATACCATACACGGATGCAAAAGTTAAATCTCTCGGTGTATTTTTCTCACTTTCACTCAGTCGGGACTGATTGTAGTGACCTGCAAAACCATCCAATCGGCCGAGGTAAAGGTCCCTATCCAGTTGATTAGTGGGTGGAGAACGCGCTAGATCTCGGGTAGTGTCGATGAGAAACGAGGCAGGGCCATCCAAAGTATCGAATGGATGCAGTTCCCAATCCGACTTGTTTGACCAGATTTGACCAGGTATCATCTCATCTAATTTGGTGTAGTTCGTGGATGTTGGTTCATTTGTACCATGGGTTCCTGGATATAGTTCTTGCTTGAAAGGCCCACACGATACGGCCATGTAGTTGTACTCTAGCGTGAAATTGCTGCTGGCGTTGCTTGGCAGTCCAGCAACTGGTACACCCACCAAAGACGTATATGTCTCAGGTACTGAAACCTGACGGGATACCTCTATCCATCCATCGGTGTCTGGAACTGACTGATTGGGCGCATCCAGACTTGGTATCTTGACGTTCCCCCAAGAATCCTGAGGACCAAGCTTGACGGACTGTGGGGCAAGTAATGCTGCGTTGTACAGAGCACCAGCCTGAGCATATTTTCCCCCTGCGAGGTTTCCTGTGGCTATAGGAAATATTGCACCCGCGGGACCTGTCGTGAGATAGCGAAGCTTGATGCTTGAATAGCTTGCTTCATGTTCCCGACTCATCAAGCGAAGAGATGCTTGACCTCCTAGCGGAGATAAAGCCCAGAGGAAGAGTAGGTTTACGCCCACAACGGTGAGCCGCTGCATTAGAAGTTGGCTTTCGAAAGTACCCCAGACGGACTGGCTAGCCATCAAAAGCTCCAGGGTCTGGTGAGAATTAGTAAATCTCTCAAGCATCGGATAGAACAGACTGAAGCAACATGATGCATACTAACTCACACTAATTTTTGTGCCTCTCTCCACAAGATAGCGTGCTATCATTTTCATGCTGCGTCCGCATATTGCAGCGAAGACTATAGGAAATATGGTAGGGCCCTATCAAGATTAGTACGCAGTTGGTATAGTAGGGCAACATTAGCATACCAAGTTCATAGCAGACTCGACCTTTTTTCCAAAAGCATTACCGTTGGTTGGCTTGCCATGTAAACTAGCAGTAGCAACCCCAAGGACTAGAAAATATTAGGATCTGTCGTGTTTCTGAGCTTCGAGAAACCCACGGATGAAGTACACCGGTAATAGTACGAGCAGGAGGTCGCCAATTCCGTAAAGATATGAGAGCCAAGTATGTTTCTTCAACGGCCTTGCTTCCTCAGGCCAGCTTTCCACACGTTCTATGCTCGTCTCGAACGTCTTCGATTTTGGTGGTGCCAAGGGCGGAGCCATTGGAGTCGTCTCTTCCGCCACTGAGCCCAAGACATATCGCCGGAAGGAATTCCATTGCGACCTAACGCTGGTGTTGGTATCCATGATGGCTGATGCGGGTCGTCACGCGATGCGTACGACCGGTGTAAGCAGATGAGGCTTATGGTTCGCGAGGAGCGAACACCTTTTCTTTTGCATGACTCTCATGAGGCACAGTAATAGCGAATCCACAGCATAGCGCTAAGATAACCCCTGGGTTAGGAGCGCGCTTCCAGACGTGATGCTGCAATGGAGCATTTTCAACGAATCGATTGCTGCGCTGAAACTCGAAGCGCCCGCCGAGCCCCTACTCCGTCCCGGGATTTTGGGTGCGCAATGTGAGCGACAGGACTGCTCTGCATGTCGGCATATCTGCGGTACCGCTCCAATCATGATTATTTTGCGTTGCTGAGGCTATGTTTAGAGGGATGATGGATGTATGGAGCGGGTGACGCTGTCACGTTGACGGGCGGCAGGAGCCGTGCCGGCATGACCCCATCATTTAGCGCTTACGCAAATTCTCAAAAGAGTGCCTTCCCTCCCCACTCAAGGCACACTGGCACTCAGAATGGACCAAAGCGCCATCCTAAGGCTCTTAGACCGACAACTACTGGAACTTCACCGACCATGTTGTTGTCGCTCGACATGTTCCTCCACTCGAACCGGTCAAGCGACAGGTCATCCTCGACGCGTCTGAACCCCCAACACCGCGTTATGGTCGGCACGATGAGTACTACCGAAGTCACTGTCCTGAGCTGAGATGTCTTGGAAAGTATTGCGCACGCGACAAAGAGCATGTGGCGTCTACCTAGACATCGTTTCAATGTGCGCTTGTATCCATCAGTTCTAAACGACAAGTGTAAACACTGAGGACGATCATAAAAAGCAACTTCGATGCCTTGCGCTAGATTCACACGTCATGGCGAGTGCCGATCGAAGTTTGTAGTATGAAAAGGTTAACCCTCAGGCTCTAGCCTAGTACTCCAGACAATACAAATCAAGGAAGTCATCGGGTTTTAGACAACACGTGAAGGGGCGTAGACATGGGACTGCTCAGCGCCACACTGACAAGGTACTCATGATGCATTGAAAGTGAATACGCCCTTCCCAGCTGAGCACTTCAGTTCCGTGTGATTCTATATGGAAGTGGTTGCCTGACCGCTGGGCTTGGGGGCGCAAGATGTGGTCGTCTCTCGTCTTCGTATCTAATCTCACATTCTGCAAACCCATCCACTAATCGCCCTAACAAGATGAAGAAAGAAGCTGAAGAAGCGGTCGAATCGGTATGCTATTTCACTGATTTGGATACCTCAAGAAATACTAACCCAGCCTGTGTAGGCCAAAGGACTACTTGAAGACATCGTCATTGTTGTCTCGCTTGTGCGGACCTTGACAGACTCTTTCGGTTCTGTCAAAGACCTTTATCGCAAGCTCAAGCCCAAGTCCAAACAGAAAGACAGCGACAGCGAGGATGACAAACATCATTTCCGGAGGCCCTTCCACAGTCGCCGGGACTCCGGCTTCAGTGTGCACAAGAAGAAAGAAAGCGAATTCAGCGATAGTGAGGAGGAGCTCGTTTGCACTTCATCTATTCAAGTTCGTGCAGAGTATGAACGCGGATACCGTAAGCTAGGAGAGCCTTTCGCGCGTGGAGATAGTATGGACTTTTCACCGCTTGAGGTGTATAACACTGACGTGCCATAGCTACCACGCACATACAACTCCAGACGCAAATCATACAGCTTCAACAAACGCTCCTCAGTATACACCAAGACCTTCTACTGAGCACGTATATGGCGCCGTCATCTTCGCACTCACACCTCGTGCGCCTCCTTCAGACAACTCGGAAGGCGCGTGCGGCCTCGATCGCGGCGTTGAACTTGCAGTACCAGCGCATGCTGGAACCGATGCCAATCCTGTCGCCACTTCCGCCGAGAGAAGATCCAATCTTCAATATACCTGGATCTTTTCCTCCACCCGACAGTTCCCGACGCAAGTCCGAGCCGTTCCCGCCAAGGCGACGCATGAGCAATAGCTCGAGTTGCTCGAGTGAATCCCAGGAGAAGGAGAAGGAGAAACAGAAAGAGAAGGAAAGGGAGAAGAAGGTCAAGATTGAGCTACCCCCGAAGCCCAAACCTAAGCCCACGCCCACGCCTCCACCTCTATCGCACAGTAACAGCCTCTTCTGCGTCTACGCCAAGGATCTCCAACACAACCCTACCATCCCTCTAGCCGACACCTACAAGCTCAGCGGAGACAACAAATGTCCATTCTGTCGCAGAAACATCGACATGAAGCCTGGCAAAGCATGGGAGATCATCACAGACGAGTGCAAAGTGAAGGAGAGCCGCTACCGCAAAGCCATATACCGAACCTTCCGAGTGAAGAACCGTTTCGTAGTCAAGAGTCACAGAGAACAAGGCGGTTTCGCATGCGTACTCTGCGCCAGGTTCAGGAAGTGGGATACAGTTTGTCGGGAAGTCAGTTTGCTCATGGATCATCTCTGGAGAGAGCATTCGGGTGATGAGTTGGCAAGGGATAGCGATATTATCGAGTGCTAGTCTGTAGTAGGTTTCAGGTCAGGTCAGGTTACGGCGTTGTCGTGATACCCTTTATTGTTGTTTGCGTTGAAGTTACTTAATTAATGATTATGATTTTTTCTTATTATCTAGAATGTAGCTACTATTTCAGCATCCCCTTCTACACCTCTAATCCTCAGTCCACCTCGCTTAGTCTTTTCTGTCCCACCACATTTAGAGATAGCGTCAAAGTACCACCGATGCGCTTCAACGTCCACGTAAAGCCACGCCATGTTTCCCCTTAGGTTCATGGATCCTTCGTACACTTTGATGTCGCTGGCCTGGACATCCTGGCCAGTCGCCTTGTTGATGTAGTACTCCGGGCTGATGTGAACGTAGCCCATTGTGAGAAGAGGAACTCTCGGGATGGGGTCGTTCCAGTGGGTCACGCGGTAGTTGCCTCCAGGTTGGTTGGTGATGTAGTTACTAATTTTGGCACCTCCAATACGCGGGGAACCGAAGTTGTATAATGCGACGGTGTATCCATCATGACGCATATTAGCAGCAGCGAGTGTTGCGATTGCGGCCCCAAGCGAATGGCCTGTTACGGTGATTTTGTACTGGGGGAAAGAGGCAGCTGCTTGTTGTACGGCTGGCATCACGCGGTCCTTTGCATCTAGCCATGATTGCCAGAAACCTCTGTGTGCTGTGCAGTCGTCGCAAAGTTTTGTTTGGGTGACATCCATATCCAGGTTTGTGCGCCAGTTGTCGAGAGAGGAGCTGCCGCGGAATGAGACGACGATGAGCTGGTTGGTGTGGTCCACTGCGACAAAACCTGTCACGTCGGTAGATGTTTCCTGTCTATTTGTTTCTGTTAGTAATCTACATTTTTGACATGGCGCACGTCCCTTCATCAAGGGGCACTTGTGGGGTGACATACCGGCTGTACTCCGCTGCGGTGATGGAGTCTGCATCTTGAACGCGTGGGCAGTTTCCACCGGCGCATTCGATTTGGTCGCCAGGCGAGTTAAAGTTGTTTGGGCAATAGGCTGCTGTCGAATATTGCCCCATCAGTTCGAATTGACTCATGAGGTTTGAGTCAACGACGGCTGACGACGGACCGGAGAGTGGCCCCCCTGAAAATAGACCACGTGCGAGTACCGATGAGTCTCTCTCCTGAATAAGTGGCGCAGCTGTGCATTTCATTGCACTCAGTAGCACGGTAATAACGAGAGACGAGGAGGAGAACATGGTTACTTGGCACAGCGGGAAGGAATGACTGAGAAAAGAAAGATTGACTGAGTATAATGAGAAAGCACTAAAGACCAAAGAGAGTGAGCGACAATGTACCTACATATAATCAGATACGACCCTCATCTGTCACCTCGATGGTTTCCCAAGGAATCCATCATGTGCCTTGATCACAAAAAGCCAACCCTAGAATGCCAGATGCGGACAACTAGACAAGGTGGTGCTCTCGATTCGCAACATTTTTCTCTGGATGAGCCTAGTATAATGAAACGATTGGATCTTTCTATATCAAGAGGCAGCAGCGTAGCGAGGCTTGCCGCCGTCGTATTGCAGTTCTGTCGCGCTATTGGTTGAGTGGTGGAAGTGACTCGTGAGGCGGCGGCTAGTAACCGGCAGCGCTCGTGCATCTAGACCCTTGTCTGAATCGTATTAATTTGCAACCATTGTCTAAGGTAGTGCAGTGGATATGGGCTTCGTGTTGGACGATGTTAGCTTGCGGGGAACGAAAGAGCCGTGGAACCGGCCAAAAGAAGCGCTAGGATCTGTGCATACGTCCATACGGTTAGCGCGTGTTTGACTCCATTTAACTTTGGCCTAGCTATTCAGGGCTTTCCCTTTACTCCGACATGTCGCAAACGAATCGCGCTTGTACTTCTATCCGACCGTTTCGACGTCAAACACCACCGGCGCCTCAATTGTCTCGGTCTTCATGATTTTCATAGTCACATGATGTGTTTCTCCATTCCCATCAACTTCAAGATGTGTAACACGGTTACTACGGAGGAACCCATCTCTTGGGGTTCTCTTCACCAGCTCCTGTGTTTCCAGTTAGCGTGAGGTGTTTCTTGAGACGGTCCTGATCTGGTCGCCAGAAATAGGTGACAAGGTCAACATACACTGCTAAAAATGTTCCGCGTAGGCCTAAACCAGAGACCTTTGAAGGAGATGGCGTAACCTCCAGGCTCCTGCTAATGTTAGTCTCACTCTGATATCGAGTGTCGTACGGAGAGAAGGTAAGACTTACTTTATCCCATAGCTTCTCCTGGTCGACACCAGAGCTGATCGAACTCGAAGCATCCGCTTTGAACTTTGCAATATTCGTCGCCCCTAATTCTGTCCCAGCATCTATATTCTTCCCAGTCTTGTTCCACATCGATATCTCGCATTTTGCTGTTACCCATGTCTGGGTAATGATCCAGACTCCAAATTGTTCGATTTGCGACCCGTGTTTGACAATCAGATTTTTGCGATTGTCTTCCATCCATTTCATGATGACTGCTTCAGCCTCGGAATTGAATTTATGGTTCTCCACGGGTGCTAAGGTCTTCAGGCTTGCGCCGGCATCTGATGTTCTTTTTCTCTCAGCGTCGAATCCTAGGTCAACAGGGGCTTGAGCGGCCACGCCAGAGAGTCCAGCGTTGACCTTGAAGCCTTTCTCTTCGTCTCTTTCCACTGATAGGGGATCCCAAGTACTTGATGTTGGGTCCTGTAGCATCGTCACAAGTTGATCTTGTGGACATTTGTAATGTTTCATGGCAAGTTGTCGGTAGTCGCGGAGATCTACAATGTCCTCCCAGAGTCCGGTGTCATCGAAGTATCCACAAGCGCCAGGACGGAACGTGTCCGCACTTGCTGGTGTGTATAGAAAGGTGCCTTCAGTGCATTGGCTCATCAGAATGGCATAAGCCAGATCCATCTTAACGCGCGACATGATGACTGCAAACCGGAGATACAAGTGGAGGGTTTGATAGCTCTAGAATTCGGCATACAAGGCATACTTATACTCTCCTTGTCACAAAGCACGCCCGTCAAACCTGAAGCTGAGGCACTTGTGTCGGGCAGCCCGTTCTCGGCAGGGGATCTGTCACTGTAGGCTGACTAGGTGTCGTTTATGCATTATTCAAGTAGCTTAAACGTCTGGAGGATAATCGCAACCGTAACGAACTGCACTATTGGCACGCACTTTAGCTATGACCAAAAAAGCATGGTCTATACGAGGGAGTAAGCCGTCCGGCCCATAAGCCGATGTCTTACAGGAACGGCCCGAGCTAGATCGCGATCGAATACGAACTTGATCATCGCAATGCGCAACCACATGCAGATCCAATGTTGGTGATCTGCAGCAACCCCTCGAGGGAGATGACTGTGGCTTTCGTCTTTCGAAGCCCAAACTACTTGTTCGTCATCTGCGAGTTACCTTTGATAATCAACCTACCAGTAGATGCCACGTCCAAAACCGCTGACGTGCGAACGCTTCGAGCACCAGCCAAATGTAGCATGCTGCATGTTGTTGTGTCACTGTGTGGCGCGTGTCTTGGAAAGTCTTAGTTTGGCTTGCTGACATCTGAGACATCGTGAGAAAGAGTTGTTGCAACACTCGCAGAACCTTCCCTCTAGACTACGCGAGGCTGGGATTTACTCAAACGGGTAATGATATACTCAGTCGTCGATTGATGCGCATCAAGCGAGGCTGACAGCTGGAACAGCGAGTGCCGCATGTCTGCTTGGTCGGTTTTCGAAACCTAGTCTCGCGGCCATAGCGCACCGACGAAGGTGCTCGTGCAGTGGTAAGTCGATCACACAGCACGCGGCCACATCAAAAGGATGGCCCATAAGATCTGCTTCGGGGATGCCGACACCTGCTTTTCCTATTCTACCTGAATATTCCAGCGTTGGACACGCATGACCTTTACCAGCTCTTGAAATGTGAGCGTCTTTATTTTCTTTTTAAAATCTTCTTTGTTATAGGGAAAGGACCTCGGAGAGCCCAACAGAGTTCTGACTGATGCCACCATACTCGCGATGGCTGCTTGTCATGATCGCCGAGAGCTCCAGCCCTATCGTAAATGTCATGTTGGCCATTGCGATTGGCGATATTAGCAGACTGGGGAGAATGCCCGCAATGTTGAATCGAGAATCATGATGTTGATAAATGATATTGATATAGCGTCAGCACCATGATGGTGATGCGGGGCGCTGCATCTGCTCAAGTCCTTCTCAATCGACCAAGATGCTGTTTCTTGTTAACTTGGCAAACCGGATTGTCTAAGAATACAATAGGGGAGCGGCCACAAAGCCACGGTGCCGTTATCAGACGATTCCTTGCGGCCTGCTCCCTAGGCTTCGTCATCATCGCCGTTCCCTTCGTATGCAGCGCAAGTTTTGTTCTCTGATTCGAAACCGGTACGGTGATAGCCTCATGATTTATACTATGGAGAAACTGTAAGTGAAAAAAGTGGTGTTGACAGCTGATTTGTTGGGGAGCGAGGTGGAACAAGCGAAAGAAGTCGTTGCGGGTTTGTTGTGTTTTCCTCGCTTTCTGTCTCTTTCCGTGTTTAGGTATAGACCCAACGTTCGCAACACCAAAGACGCGACACCACCTCATCTCCTCGACTGTTATTCACTCAAATCAGCAGGCATCTTAAAGGTGATTCTCTCGTCACAATAATTTTGCACGCACTAATACAACCATAGCACAATGGTCTATTTCGAGCAGCACGTTGTGTTACCGCCCGAAACCCAAGAGCGTGTGGATAAGTTGATCTGGATCTTGGGCTTGATCGTGATTACTGGGATATTCCTTGTGGTGTTGACAATCGTCCTTGGACTGGGAATTGGCTACGTGATTTGGAAAAAAGGAAGTCGTGGCAAGGCTAGTGTCACATGGCAATTTGACGGGCAGGAGGAGATGACGAAGACCAAGTAAAGCGCTAAGCGTTCCCGCACACGATTCCCATGCATTGCGACTTTCGGACATGACCGTCACTACAGCTTGCCTCTTCAATTGTCGTGGTCGCAAAATTCAATGCGATGTTCGGCTTTTCTACGGTAAAGCTGATCTGGGCTTGGTATCGCCACTCAGGGATCAGGGGCTGCGCTAACGGGTCTGTTGCCGTCCGCTGTGCGCTGTCCGCCTTGGCCTCACACGTTCGCAGCTGACGGCAGGACTAGTGATAGATGGTGTTTGTAGCAGTAGCAACAACTAAATTTGTCAGTCATGGGCTGCTTCCCTCTACATGTTTAGTCTAGGATTCTAGGAGCGTGTAGTACTAGTTCAAAAAGGGGTTCATTATCAATCATGACTCGACGTGTGGCACAGAACGAGGCTGTGTGAACGGTGGACCCTTACTTGACGCCACGATGGGTTCCTGCATGTTGATTGGCGGACTTCCTGATAGAGCGTCACAGTGATTGGAACGCTGTGACATGAAGCAGGTGCTATCATTAAACCCTGCTAGCGTCCCACATGCAGTATTCTAGCCCGAGACCATAGTAAATCACGCTTTCGCCTTCTGTTCAGAACTCCTTTCACGTTCTGAGCCGTCTATAGCGGTGGCTGCCAGTCTATTCAGCAACCAATTATCGCTATCGTTGCGATTCCTGTGCACGGCAATACCGCCCCGCAATCCCTTTCACGACACCAACCTCGCCAAGCCATCAACAGAATGGGCAAACTGGCTTTCCCTCTCGATGCAGAGCTCACCGGTCCGGACCGTGTAGTCTTGAATATTCTAAAAAAAGAATACGAGCTACATCAAAATACATCTACCGACTCAACGACAGATTCAGCGGAGGACTCGGACGATTCAGGCGTCAAACACTCCAAATTCGTGACACCATCACCAGAAGGCATGTTGTGCTCCTTCTACCTTAGTCTCAGTGGGGGCTAGATCTACAGGAATGCTTTTTCTATGGGTCATAAGGCTGACTGTCAACAGATCTCCAAGATCAGGAGCAGCAAGCCATTGCTTACCTCAAGAAGCTTAACGATCCAAAATCTGATCGCTTTGAGACGAGTGTGTTCAGCTCTGTGGATGAGCCTGATATCAAGAACCCCATTCTTCGCCAATGGATCATCAACCCTTACATCTGCTGGGCTAAGAGCGTGGTCCGAGTCGAGACAGATGTTATCATGATAACACATCTACTGCTCTACTTCTGCACCAGCATCCCATCAGCCACGTACCTGTACATCAACTTCCATTGGTGGCACGCTGTACTACACTGCGTCATGCAGGGATATTACATGGGCGCGTACACTCTGTTAAAGCACCAGCACATCCATATGCGTGGTGTACTTAACAAGAGGTACGACCTCTTCGACCGACTGTTCCCATACATTCTTGATCCTATGATGGGACATACGTGGAACTCTTACTACTACCACCACGTCAAGCACCACCACGTTGAAGGCAATGGCCCCAACGATCTTTCATCCACCATCCGATATCAGAGGGATAGTGTTTGGGACTTCCTGCAATATGTTGGTCGCTTCTACTTCCTGATCTGGATCGAGCTGCCAATGTACTTTCTGCGCACGCGCAAACCCAATCTTGCGCTTCAAGCTGGCGCTTGCGAGGTCGGCAACTATGTCTTTTTGTACATGATGTACAACTATGTAAATGCTCTGGCGACGACCTTTGTATTCCTGATCCCTCTCGCTTTCATGCGCTTGGCACTGATGACTGGCAACTGGGGTCAACATGCCTTCGTTGACGAAGTCGAGCCTGATTCAGACTTCAGGTCAAGCATTACTCTCATCGACGTACCTGTAAGTCATCAGGCAGATATGAAACTTAATTATGGATAGCAAGCTAACATTTTGGCAGAGCAACCGATACTGTTACAACGATGGGTATCATACGTCCCATCACCTTAACCCACTTCGTCATTGGCGCGAACACCCCGTCGCATTCCTTTCACAGAAGAAGCAGTATTCCGACGAGCAGGCAATTGTGTTCTACAACATTGATTACTTCTTCCTAACGGTCAATTTACTAAGGAAGAATTATGAGCACATTGCGAACTGTCTGGTACCGATGGGCGATCAGATGAAGCTCACGCTCGATGAGAAGGTCGAGATGTTGAAGCGCAAGACAAGAAAGTTCACCGAACAGGAAATTGCCGAGAAATGGGGCAAGCAGTACGCGAAACTGAAGTAAACGATAGATATGAAGCAAAGTGTAGAGGCCTACGCAAATTCATTTTCAAGTGTTGATTATCAACTCCAGCGAGTGGAAATACGTGCCTGACAGCAATAGCTAACGAGTTCGGGAATCAGCTTGTTGTTTCCATTGCTCCTGCCTCCACACCACGTACTGAACCAGTGCATTGCGGGCTTACCCCATCAGGGTTTGAGCAGCACAACCCTCCATCTCGGCCCTGTGGCATACTCTCTATCTACCATGTCATTGCATTGACCTTCCTAGACCCACTATTATTCCGAACTCAACCATGACAAACATGCGGCACCCATTGGCCGATCGAAGCTTGTTCATTGTCATGCCGAACTCTATCCACCTGCGGTCGCAGCTCGCTGACAGAACGGTGTTTGAATGTCATACGCTTGATAGTATCGTGAATGCACGAGCTTCGAAAGACAAATGCGGCGTTTTCGCTGTAGCAGACGGTCAGATCGTTTTACTCTACGATGAAACACGAGGCAAGAACAGGAAGTACAAATTGAAGACTGGTGATGTATAGTTTGATTGGTAACCAGAAGCTCTACATACTGACTGGCTAGGGCGAGCCGCGTCTTCTTTTGTTCTCCCCCGACTCGCACATTCTGTACTTTACGACCACGCTGAGTAATTCGGTCCAAGCGTACTCCATCCCTACAAAGGAGCTTCTATCTCCCATGCCATCGCATCCGTCTCCGCCCCACACAATTGCGATATCTTGCAATGGCACTATTCTTCTTTCAGCCTCACCAGACCCGCCGACCATATACCTCCAAGATCGAAGATATGAAGGCAGCGCGCCTTTGAACTTTCGCCCGACGGATGCCCATTCTGCCGTTAGCTGTGCAGCATTTCAGAAACTCACTGGCCACATACAACCACCGTACACGAACTTTGCCCTCGGTTTCCAAGACGGAACATTGGCAATGTATCGGGTCTTGCTTCCCTCACTCCAGGAACGCCAGGGAGAGGGCGATACACATCAGATGTGGCCTTTCCGATTACAGCCTGTTCGAGTTGGAGTCGTCAAGGGGCTACACAAGGCAGCCATGGGTGGGCTGATGGCAGTGGAGTTTATCCCTGGCTACAAGTCGCGCGTTGTCAGCATTAGGCACGATGGAAAATGTCGACTTGTCGATTTTCAAGAGGAAGGAAAAGTCCTCCGGACGTAGCATGTTTCTGGCCCTGCTACTTGCTTGTCAGTGTGTGCAAAGAATCAGATCTACCCACAAGATCCAAGAGAGATCAAGGCGCCAGTAGTTGGTGATGCTACGGAAGATGCAACGCAAATATATGGACCCGAGATCCTTATTGCAGTCGGCACACTTGCTGGGAAAGTCCTCGTTTTCAATGTACTCGGTTTACTGATACACGAAGTTGTCCTAGATTCACCGATCACAGCTGTCGAGTGGATAGACGAAATGCCCCCGCCATCGATTCTGACAGACTTTGTACTCTTCCGAGTACCAGAATCTTACACAATGGGCGATAATTCAACTAGAGGGTTCTCAGCATGCTCAGGCGAAGAGACTAGTACGGTCAAGAGAACTATAGCGCCACCGAAGCAGGCGGTAAATCAGCAACTGGGACTTGTCCAACAATCGCGTAACCTGTCATACAACGGTTACCCATATCAGAAGTCAGATAATCTGGGCAACAAGTCTTCGCATGTGTTAAGAGGCTCTCCACTACGAATGGAAGGATTGGGCAAGAGGCCAAAACAGACTTTCTTCCGACCGCGCGTATCTGCAGAGACATTCAACACGCCTGGGGAATTTACATCGCATCAAGTTCTCCCGCTACAGTTGTCCCAGCCAGAATTCCAGATTTCACAAGCCCGAACAAAGCCGCACAAGTACGAAGTTCCGAAAGCATCTCGCTTGCCGAGATTCTCTGCTCTTGAGATATCACTGAGTTCGTCCGAAGATTCAGAATGCTCAGAAACCGAGTCTTTCACTCCGAATGCACGGCGATTGAGACGGAGGACCGCCAAACTTCCAGCACGGCAACGAAATGGGGTAAATACCCTACGTCCTATAGCCTCCCGTCATGTAACGAATACACCTAGTATCATCTCCCACGTCCCGCTACCTAGTATCATGAAGCAACCTCCAACTAGAGAATCACCTAGTGGCAAACTTACCTTGGGTAAACGAGTGATGAGGCATATGACTCCCCAACGCCATGTCAGAATCGCCTCGGAAACACCATCACCGCCCCTCAATGTACCAAGTAGCTCATACTCACGCTCGATCTCTCACCTGAACGAACACGGCCCCGCAGAAGAGTCAGATCACGGTAAAGATAGCCAATACTCAGCTCTAAGCACCAAGACTACTCTCCCCCCGCCTACTGACACCGCATACGCCTCTTATACATACCAAGACCCGCCCACAAACATCTACTCGTACCCAATGCCAGATATATCACAATACGACATAACCACATCTACATCCGCCTCCACGTCCACAGGAGACACCATACACACATCCCTCGACCCCCGGCCAGCCAGGAGCATCCTCGTACGTAACCGAACGGACCAAGATGCCAAAAGCTCCACCTTGATAACAGTCGCGCCTAGGCCCCGTTCCACCAGCAGTGCTTACTCGCGGTCTATATCGGAGTTTCCCAAGGATACCGACACGGTCGACGGGGAAGTGGTGCGTTTGGAACTGCAGCACCGATCCAGTCCGAGTTCACCGCTGATGACGTATCCGCCGAGTGGGGTGGTGTTTTTTAATTCTCTACAGGCTGGAGATGGTGCGGTGGATGATAGGGCTGTGAGTGTGGTTGATATGGCGGGGTTGAGGGAAGATCAGAGGGTTTTGAGGGCAGAGGTTGAAGCTTTATCGGAGGAGTTTCGTGCTTTGAAGGATATGTTACTTTTGCCAAAGAGTTGAGAGATTATAGTGGGGGCGTTTTGGTTGACTGTTGTGTAGTATTCCTAGCTTTCTGACTCCCCCCTCTCTTTCTCTCTATCGCTTCGATAGTCCTAGATTAGTCCTAGATGAATGAATCTGGTTCAAGCATGATATACTCATGTCTGAATCCCACAGCAACAATCCTTCCATCTACCACATTCAATGATATCGTAGATCTAGTAACGAGTTATGGCCAGATAGCTAACAAATCAACTTCACACAGCATCATCACTAACAAAAGACATCATTCTTAACAAGAAAAAAAAGTCAATCGACATTCATACCCACTTCACGTGTGGTTCACCTAAGCTACCTAGATGCTGATCCCTTCCAACCAACTTGTGTGTGTATGTAAACCATTCCTCCTATCAAAGCGTACTTGTACAGTTGGATAGCGTAGTACAGAAAAACCGAAAGATATCAAGCGAAAAAAGAGAAAGAAAGGAAGGAGCGCTCGGGCATGAAAGGGAGTCGTGAAAAAAATGTTGTGTGAACCGAAAATGTGAGTGATGCTACCAGCGGGACCAAAACCAGAAGCGGGCGAGGAGGATGAAGACTTGGATCTTTGTTTCCTGTTGTTGCATGCCCGCCCAGTCCAGTCCAGTCCAGCACAGTGAAGTAAAAAACCGTAAACCAAGAATGCGGAAGAAAGAGAAAAAGGAAAAATGCTGATAAAACACAAGCAGTATGGGGAAAAGAAATAGAAACCCATAGAACACAGTTTTTGCACTCTGAACCCTTCTTTCTCTTCCGCAAACATACACGCACCTCTCTCAGGACTAGAAATTATCTGTGTACTATACTATACATCGCAAAAGCAAACCGTGCCAACACACTCTCCAGTCGAGAAAAAAGATGAGAAAAATCCAACAGAACAGAAAAGGTATACGCGCACAAACCCCCATCGTCGCAGTCGCAGTCGCAGTTGCAGTCGCAGCCGTAGACCAACCGCCAACTAACGACTCAAAAGGTAAGTAAGAAGAAAGAAAGCAACAAGGAAACTCTCACATCAAGCACCCACCCCGGCAACAACAACGTCCGAAACACGTGGTTTGCAAAGGGAGACAAGCGCGATGGTGCGGCCCGCCCTGTATTGTGTGGGGAAGGGGGAGAGGGGCGGTTATTCATGCGTTACAACGGCCGAGAAACGACAAGTGTCCCATCTTGATCGGTCGGTCCCCCACACGAACAACTTGCGAGACATGGGGGTGGGCAAGTCGAGACGAAGGGAAAAGAAGAAAAGAAGGAAATAAATCGTACGATGCGATGCGAGATGGGATGAGATGCAGATGAACTTTGCAAACACAGACACACGTACACCGAGAAGAAAAAATTGAAATGGGTTTGGCCGTTTTTTTGTCTGTCTTCTTCTTCGTTTTGTCTTTCAGAATTTCTGGTAGTTGGGTGCTGGTAGTCGTGAAATGCTCGTGCAAAATACCTCTCTCTCACTCACATTGCCGTGCCTACATGGCACTGGCGCCGGGGTATCTCGACGGGGCCGCGCCCATCATAGTAGGAGGCATCATCATGGCACCGCCTCTTCCTCTGCCCCTGCCACCGCCGCCTCGTCCCCTTCCGCGCCCAGCGCCTGGTATCATAAAGTCTGGGTTTGCGGCGTTGGCCTCTAAGATTACATCTTCGGGACGCATGGGTCTCCGTTGCTGGCCGGGGAAGGGGGCGAATTGGCCGGCTGGAGCACCCATTTCAGGCCGCCAGTTGGGGTTCACAGGCCGTTGTGAAACAGAGGTGAAATGTGATGCTTCACTTGCGGCAGGTGACCGCGAGCCATCTGGGAGATCGTCGTAAGAGCTGTTGCGCGGAAGATTACTGTCACTCAAGTTGTTTGTGGAAAGAAATTGCGGGTTGGGAGGTGCGAAGCCGCCTGGTCTAAGCGAATTGGGCAGCGGTGGTGGAGGTTGTGTGTGTACAGGCTCTGCGAATCTGGGATCTACGTCTTCGTAGTAATCCGAGCTACGGTCTGGCCTAACGTTGGATAGTTGAGCGGGCAGTTCGACAGGTGAATCCATAATCGGAGACAAGCCACGACTGTTGTTGTTTGGAGCGCCGAGGGATTGATCGGATGAGTTCTGTTGCTGGTTCCACCCTGCCCGTACCGGCATGTACTGCTGTTGTTGTTGCTGTTGCGGCTGTTGCTGCTGTTGTTGTGGCTGTTGCGGTTGAGGTGATCGTCGGAATTGCTCTTGACTGCACGATGTTAGAATTTGGAGAATTGAACAGGCACTGTGTGAAACTTACTTATCTCCATAGTCGCTGGTCGGGCTCATTAGGCCATTATCTTGCCGCCTTTGAGGTGCGCCAGCGGGGAATCCCCCTTGTTGAAGAGCGAGCATACCTGCAACATCGTCGTCGCTTTCCCTGAGACCATAGTTCCCTGCAGCCGGAGGTGCGCCTGAGCGGTTATCCATCTCAATCGCCTGGCCTATGTCCTGTGGCATTTGACCTGGCGGGCCTGGTGGTGGGCCCCTTCCATATGGTGATTGGTCGCGCGGCGGTGGTCCTTGGTTGTAGAAGTTGGAGTTGTTGTATCCTGGAGGAGGAGCACCTCGACCCATTGGCGGGCCTTGCATGGGAGGACCATTTGGAGGCCTTCCACCTCGTCCACCACCGTTCCAACCTGGCGGCGGCGGTCCGCGCATACCTCCTCTTGGTGGTCCAAATCCTCCTCCCCTTGGAGGACCGTACATGCCAGGTCCACCAGGCCCACCTCGTGGAGGCCCTCCTCGGCCCCGGTATGGACCTCCTCTGCCGCGCGGTGCTCCATTCATCATAGCGTAGCTATCGTTTGGCATTGGCATGGGTGGAATGGGATTGCCATATTGGTCCACTGGTGCCCGACGACCGGAAGGACCACGGTTTAGCGAGTTTACATTGTCCGAGCTAGCTCCTCCGGCACTGCTGACTGTCTTCAGCGAGGGATTGCGTTGGTTCAAAGGCAGCGTGTCCTCTGGTGGCGAGGGCTTGGACGAGTCGAAGTAGGCAGCGTTTTCGTTTGGCTTGGAACCAAAGTCCATTGGTTCGGTAGGGCATGGGGGCGGCGACTCGGCTTTGGGGTACTCTGTGCTTAGTGTTGCTTGGGCGCGGTTGGCGTAGTAAGTTGACCCGTTCATCTCATCATTCTCAGCGATGCGCCTCTTCCTCGCCTTGCGGCTAACCAATGTGCGCCTCATGGCGCATGTTACAATCCCACTTGCGACAATAATGACAGTAGCTCCCAACACAATCCATCCGCCCCAGCCTACATGGGGAACAAACAACAAAATGTCGACGAGGAAAGCCAGTAGCGAGACCAGGAGGGTCGGGAAGGTGAAGATGAGCAGAGCGAGAAGGTAGCGGGGCGAATGGGCTGGCGAGTGGAAGTGGGCGGCGACGGAAAGGCCAAAGCAAATGAGCGTCATGAGGGCAGCGACTGGATGGACAATAAGGATCGAGGAGAGGGCATGGCGCTGGGCTGAAGGCAGCGAGAAGTCGGAGTTCTTTTCATCTGCGAAGAGTTTTTCTGTGCGAAAGCGTCAGCATTGTCAGCATCTTCATAGCAACAATACATACCAGTGTTGTAGCCCACCATGGGCCCTTGACAGGCTGACTCGCCATTTTCGCAGTAGCCCAGGACGCCAAAGTGGATGCCGCGGTAGGTAGCGAGAGGAATGCTCTTGATAAGAGGCGTGGATAATGTCGACAATAACAGGAGCACAAAGGCGGCAAAGAATAGTATGGATAGGGGGGTAGCCGGGCGCAACATGTTGGCAAAGTATATCGGAGTCTACGACTATAGACCGGCTCGCCAGAAGTCGGCAGTCGAGACTCGGCGATATGGTTGTTGATGGTAACAGTGGACTTAGTTGGGCGCGTGTGAAAGCAATGCCGAGTCACGGATGGGCGCAGTCGCAAACGAGGCTAAGCGCAGTCTCGGGGAGGTGAAACGAGTGACGAGTGAGGTAACGGGTTATGCTGTGTAGCATGATACTCAGCGGACAGAATACAGTGATACTGCACATGCGAGGCGGCGCACACAGCGGCGGGAAGTGCAGTGCTGACTGCGTGGCTTCGTGCTGCGGGAAGCGTGGTTGAGGTGGTAGCTAGGCGGAGCGGGAGCGGAGCGAGAGGGCTGGAGATCCCAAGCACAAGCACAAGCACAAGCAGCAAGCGAAGTGCAGTGCAAGAATCAAGAATCAAGAATCAAGATGTCGCAAACCTGCGAAAGCGAAAGGAGCGACGATAACGAGCGGACGCGCAGCCAAACAGCCAATGGCGTGAAATGGCAGAAAAGAGGAGCGCAAGCGAAGGATCAAGTATGCCTGCTAGCCGCAGAGGACCGACTTGGTGGTATGCGTGTGCGGGATGCTGTCGAGCCGTTGGCGCGCATGTCTAAACTGTGTCTAAACTGTCGCGCTCGAGCTGGAAGACGCGACGAACAAGTCGCTGTCTGATGTCTGATGTCTGACGATGCCCCCTCCAGCCTGCGACTGCGACTGCGCTTGCCTGCTCTTTTTCTCTCATTCCCCGGTTCGTCATGTCTCATTTCGCCAACAGCACGGCCCTACGGCGATCTACGATTCCTCCTGAAACGCGCAGAGCCTCCATATTTGCTGACTACCTAGTCTTGACGCGGCCCAGAGAGCCCAGAGCTCCAAAACACCATCCCCTCACCCACCCACTGTGCGCTCTGCGAATGTTCCAAGCAGTTCCAAATAATAAGTACACCGCAATGCCTTATCGCACATCGAAACAAGGTACCTGAAAAATAGCCCCCTCGTATCAGGTACCGACCCCAGCAACTACCCGCTCATCTATTCCGGATTGGCCCGTAAGCATCGTAAAACGCCACCACCTATATCACTGCATTTATCGAAATACGGGGGCTTCCTCTTTTTTCCCGCTGTCGGAAGCTCCCTTGCTCGCGTAGAGCCCATTCGCTATAAACCCCTCCCACTCTCCAACCGACCGGCTCTGGACGCTGCTGCCCACATCCACTTTGTCACGGATTGCTTCCTTCATCGCCTCTGAACCTGTAAATAGCCTTGTGTCGCTGTCACCTCACATCTTGCATCAACCGTGCATATTATCCGTGACCTTGAATTTCTTTCACTGCAACATCACACAACCGCAATCACGGACACAGCTGAAGTAAAGTGTTTATTTGCTTGATTCTCCCTTACGTTCTCCATGGTATTCGTATGGTAGTATGGTATGCAGATACTCCAGACCGATCAACCTCCCCACAAGTCATCACGAACGCCTATTTTTGGATCGAGTCCTGTCCGCACCGATGCTCATGAACTCATGGATACTTCATATGCTAGCCTACATCTACGCCCGCGAGCACGTTTAGTGACCAGCGATGGCGTACGCCCTGCGGCGGTCACGCTCCTCAGCAATGGAGAGCTTGACACCCTTACCCTTGGGCAGCGAGATCCATGGCTTCTCCTTTCCGATGATGCTGATGCATGTTAGTTTTCACTCTTACTACAAAATCATCAATCTCAACTTACATAACGTTGGACTCACGAGTGGTGAACTCGTTGTCAACAGCGTCCTTGATGTGGACAATGTTGAAGCCTCCGTCGTGACGCTCACGATGGGTGATGACACCGACACGACCCATGTTACGTCCACCAGTGACCATGACAATGACACCAGTGTCGAACTTGATGAAGTCGCTGATCTTGCCAGTCGTGAGGTCGACCTTGACGGTGTCGTTAACCTTGATGGCTGGGTCGGGGTAGCGGATCCTACACGTAAAATTTTAGCAGCAATTCTGACATAGCCAGACCCTGGTCGTATGCCTGGTGAAAGAGGTTTCCCTCAAACACCTAGCCCAAACTATGGTCCAACGGCTGATAGAGCGGGAACTTACGTTCGCGCATCGTGCGTAACCAAGTAGGGAATTCCGCCCTTGCCAAGCTGGACACGCTTGACCTTGCCGAGCTTGTATTGTGCCTCCTCGTCTGTTATCCTGTGGACGGTGAAGCGGCCCTTGGTGTCGTAGATGAGGCGGAAGTTCTCGCCAGTCTTCTCAATGGAGATGACGTCCATCAATCCCGAGGGGAAGGTGGAGTCAGTGCGGACCTTGCCGTCAACCTTGACGAGGCGCTGCATGAGGATGGCGTTGACCTCACGGGCGTTGAGCGCATACTTCAAGCGGTTACGGAGGAAGATGACGAGAGGGAGAGAGTCGCGGAGCTTGTGAGGACCGGGGGAGGCCTTGGGAGCGTAGGCACCTGAACTTGTCAGTTTTCCATCTTGCCAGGTCGATTGCGACCGCCATTGAAAGAGTCGTGCATACCGGACAGCTTGTCCAGGAGCCAGTGGTTGGGCGCGCTGAGGCGCTTCTGGTGCTTGACGGGTCCACGCGCCATTTTGACTGTTGTGTGTGAGGTTAGTCGTCGAGGTTGTCGGAGGTCCTGTCGAAAGCAAAAGTGGTGGTCTCTCAGAAGAGTCCAATATTCGTCGCTAGCGCCGTGTGCTAGCCGAGTCTTGAAGGGGCTTAGCGTGCGTCAAAGGCCCCGCTGCATCCCTCCCATCTTGAGCACCAATGGCCTTGCAGCAGAGCAGAAAACGCAAAAGCAAATGTTTAGTAATGTCCACAGAAGATGACAGAGCAAACATGCGAATTGCTACATGTTTCCGGCTTGTGTATTACCAGATGGACCAAAGTTCAAATCAGGTGTTGTTGATGTTCAGTTGCTACGGGACATCCTTCGTATCAAGAACATGGTCAAGTGCGTTGGAAACTTGATTTGAAAACACCTCTATAACGGAAGCATGCTTATGAAATTGTATGGTGTATGGAGCTTAAAGGTATTTTCCAGCATTGAATTCGAATACATTAAAGATCTCTAGAATCATCTAAATCCAACCACCGTCAACCCATCTCAAATCCCTCAACAAAATCGCACAAGTTGCAACCCGCCAAAAAAATCCATGACTAGCGAGTACAAACACCTCACTCCAATCCTCTTCATTCATCATCGCAATCGACGGATCTGACCCCCGAATCTACACTCAGATCTCCAGTGTACCGTTAGCCGAAGTAACCAACCCAATCTCCCCTGGAATAATCGTCCCATTCTCAACCGCCGCAGCATGATGTCTAGCCAACATGCCATAAACTGGGAGATAAGTATCAAGATACGGCAGCACCTCCTTGGCACCAGGAGTGTTGCGCCAATCCCTCATCAAGTCGCAAACGATGGAGAAGAGAGACACAAGCTGCACGCCCGCCTGCTGCATGCGGGCGTTTGCCGTGTCACGGACGAGCTCAGTGTAGGTGCCTGAGCCCTCGACGTTTGCGAAGACGGAGTAGCCTTCTGCGCGGAGGGCGAGGGCGAGGAAGGCGGTGCAGACGTCTGTTGTTATGCCTGCGACGATGATTTGCTTTTTGCCTGTGGCTTTGACTGCGTCTCGGAATTCGGCATTGTCCCAGGCACTGGGTGGTGTTAGGATGGGTTGGGAATAGGTTGGGGGTAGGTTGAGGGCTTACCTGACCTCGCCTTGGCGGCGGATGAGAGGGGCGTTGGGGTACATCTCAAGCATCTCCTTGGGCAAGGGTCCGTTGGGACCAACGTCGGCGGAGGTGGTCATGATGACAGGGAGGTCGAAGATCTTGCCGAGGGTGGCGTGGGCCATGATGTTTTGCTTGTAGAGACTGGGGTCCCAGTCACGAGCCGTCTGGAAGAGACCGACTTGCAAGTCGAGGATGAGGAGCAGCTAAATGGGTGTCAGCTCGAAGATTGGGTAATATCATCGAAAGATGACTTACAGCATCGTTCTTGTCAATACGCTCCCAGGGGACAGCTAACTATGTCAATGACTGAAAGCAATGCGATACCAACCGAACTCACCATCACCGCGAACGGCATTAAAAAGCGTAAGTGCCACAAGGGCAATGCTAGATCCGAACTTCATCTTGGAAATGAGGTGCAAGGACTGATACTCTTTAAGTGACTCGAAGAGATTGAAGTCGTTCGATGATGGGGTGATATCTCCATCAACGCAGCACAAAGCCCTCTTTATACCTGCCCGGGCCTTCGGTTTTCCTGCATCTTTTCTCTTTGAAGATAGCACAACGTCCGTCCTCAGCTTCTGCACGTCCTTTCCGGTAGCATGCAAGCCCATCTCTTGGCTCATTAGCCTCGTGCGGGCGCAACAGTATCTCCAACGACATCTCCATGGTTTCTAAGGCGAACCATCCTCAACCCTAAAACTGACCCAATGGAGTAGATTTTCTTGTATTCAACCATGATATCAAAAGCATGACTAACACCCTAGTCATAGCATCCCAGTTCCATATCCACGCCGTTGGGCTAGGCGCATGGCAAGGAACCATAATACGTACGTCCAGTCGGTGTAGATTGTAAGTGGGGCAGTATAGGCGGCCCAGTCCACCCACGTGCCTTCCTGATTAAGACTTTGATAATCGATGCCAAGATGAGGTGGAAGGAGCTGTGCCTGCAACGGCCTACTACTCTCTTCCCCATGTTTGGACCTCGCTTGTGGCTGCCGCGATTTCGGATGTTATCCAGTACCCCGGCGCTTGCGATGCAAGTCAGCAACATCCTTTCTTACTCATCAGCTTTTCCGTCGCCTAGATCCATCTCCGCTACACGGTATTCTTGGCGCATGGGTGGTTAGATCATGTTTGTCAGAGCTTGGAAATTGCGTGTATCCTGAAGATTTTCGCGTGGCGTTGGCGTGGCGTATGCGTTGCTGTCGCACTTGCTTTCATTGAGTATTTGATAATGGGTGCAATGGATTAGAGGAGTACAGGTTCGTCAGCAATTATTCATGATTTGGGTAGATTTGAAAGTTCATGTGGAGTGAAGACGATGTTGGAAGGTACAGACCGTGACAACCGGCCTCGGTTCCCCATTACGCGGAATTTAAGCATAATGAGTAAGCACTTAATCCATACCACTTTCACACAAGGATGTTTGAGACTTATGAAGAGTTTTTGTTCTGTTTGAACTAGCCTAGTATGATTATGTAAAAGAAGTAAAGAAATTGAGAGGACGATAGAGCCATAGGAGCTAATACGCGGCAAGATTATTTTCAGCTAAGAAGTTCTGCATCACCTTGTAGCCAGCCGTAGCGTTGAAATGGAAGTTATTGCCATGGCCAGTCATGGGCTGAATGTGCGATTTGAACACCGAAGCGGACGGGAATGCCTGTTTAGCAGCCTCGGGGAGGTTGGATAAACCGGTACCCTTAATCCCGGCGTAACAGTTGCCTCCACAGAATGGTACGTCGTTCTCGCCGGTGACAACAAGGACCGGTCCAGTGAAGCATGACGATTTAGGTCCACTTCCGATCGTCAAGAGCTCGCCAATGGTGAGAGGGTGCTTTGTTCTCTCGCCTTCGATGGCTAGCCCAATGTCGTAGTGACCAGGATATAAGAATGCGTATTGTAGGGAAGTAAGGTCGGAAGAGGCTATGTAACCACTGGGGTAGTTGTATGAGACGTCGGTCGCGTTATAACCGGTGACCAAGTCCATCACCTCAGTAGTCGCAAGCACATTCCACAATTCGTTTGAACTGAGATGTACACCAGAAACCTTGAATGCAACCTTGAAGCTTTCGATTATTCCTTTTGCCACTTCGGCTCGAAGGCCGTGGCTTGAGGCATTGCCGAGACGCAGAGGCTGGTTCAGGCGAGCACTGTGCAGATTCCAGCCAGCGATGACGTATGCGAGATATTGCGAAGCCCCGCCAAATCCAGTGAGAATGATACCGTCCGTGTTCTTCGGGTAGAGGGCGGAAAGCCAGAATGTCTGGACCGAGCCAAACGAGTGGCCAACATGGACAACCTTTTTGTATGGCCGACCGATTTCTGGGATTTTGCCGTTGCGCAACATGAGAGTCACTTCATTGAGAGCTTCGACTTCAGATTGAGCCTGAATTCTGTATGCGTGAACAGTAATTAGTAGTCGCTCGCATACATTTCAGTCCGAAAGGTAACGTACTCGTTGAGCGGGTCTCCGTGAGACGACAGTCCAATGCCCAGTCGATCAATGGCGAGCGTGCTATAGCCTGCTTTGAGAGCGGTATTCACATAGCTATAAGCGTAGTTGTCGAACTCCAGATCCCAATAGGTCTTGTCGAATCCAATACCATGGGACAGAAGCTGGATGGTATCGCTGCTACCATGATGTGGCTTGCAGTACCGGGCTGAGATATTGTAGGAGCCTTTCAAGGTTTGATAGTTCTGAAGAAGCTCTTGCGTGTAGTTTATCCCGACTCTGTTGAATTTGGCTACAAACGAGGCTATGTCGATGTTGCCTTCGGCCGGCACAGGCTTGAATATACCTTGCCTTGAGGCAATCGTTACCGGGATAATGAGATCTTGGCAACTTTTGGCGGCGGTCAAGCCAGCTAGGGCGAGAGGTAGTAATGATATGAAGAATCTCATGCTTGCGTTGAGAATGCGAACGTCCGTATTGTGGCTCGGCGTTGAAATAAGTAAAGCTGGGAGAAGTAAGCTAGAACCGGGCAGCGTTGTTGCCGCAATGCTCTAAGTTGAGCTGCTGCCTCGATGAATGGTTTCGATAAGTTCAACCCGGGCTAGTCGTGGTCCGTGGCTGCTCCGGTAGGCGCTGTAGGTTCGCAATTTATAGTAGGAGTGATAGGATCATTAGCTCGATTGTGCTCCTGCGGGTCGCTCTAGACCAACATTCTTGGAAAGGGGAATCCTTATCTCACTTGCTTACCTGCATTCACTTTATGTGGCTAAGGATTAGCTACTAATCTTCTTGCAGGCTGACGAACAAATGGGCCCATAGTCGATCAACATCTTAATCCAAATACCGGGACAATACCATCCGAGAGGGTGGTACTGTATTGTGACATAAGAGACCATACTATTGTAGGGCTGGTGCGCCCTAGTCTCATTAGTGGACAAGTGCATGGCATGGAAGGCTTGCTTGGATGAGGGATGACAGCCCAAAGACTGTCTATAGTGCCAGCTACCAACCATATTAGCAAATCGCGCGTCACAGACGGGAGCTACTCGACGCAGGAACATTCTGATCAACCACTCTTCTATGCGTCAGTGTTGGTTGTGAACGTATGGGGAGAGTAGGAGCCTTCGCCGTACCTTGACTTTGCCGGCAGATGGGTGGCCCATGCATTGTTGCAGTAGCTTTTACAGCTTTACTTTTCTCAAAGCATAGAGAATGCATGTGATTATGTTCCTTGTTTGTACCTTCAAGCATGCAATCGAATTAAAGTTGAGGGTTGTGAGTGAGAGACAAGGGCGCGTTGGTAGCTGTTAGGAAGGAAGCTCAAAGTATGACGTGACCATGTGGCTCCTAGGCATAGGCAGTAATGACAAGATGTTCGCATCGAGCTCCGAAACGACGCGATCGAGAACCGTTGTGCGTTTGTTTTTTGGTGGCCGATCATTAATTTCCGCTTGCCGTCTAGAATTTGGAATTTGGGAAGTGGCGAAATACACTGCTTAGGTAGCGTCATGTCCCTACACTTAGGGCTACAGACAAAAGCGATGCAACATCTCCGCTGGATTTAGTATTCCAAATTAGGGAGAAATACAGTATCTGTGCGCGTTCTGACTATTTTCACATCGTTCCACGAAGATATCTTCTACTATTAACATCATGTTCTCCGTACGCACACACGACCAAGGCCGAGGAAGCTCATTCAAGATGCCTTCTTCTTGAGAATATAGTCCTCGCCCTTGACAGCCTTGTAGATACCATACAAACCTGATAAGAAAGCATTGCTCTTCACAACCCTCTTCAGCAAGCCCTTCAAACCTGGTCCAAACTCCTCCTTCCTACCGCGATCCTTGACTTTATCCCATATCGTAGACAAAGATGTCGCATTGTACTTGCTGCGAAGTTCGTCATATTTGCGCTTGTCGTAGACGTCCCACCATTCGTCTTCAGTATAAAAGACACGAGAGTATAGCCATTTCAATCCCCCGAGTTCGCGCATCTTGGCCTCAATTTCGCGGTTTGCGCGCACATATTCTGTTTCGTTTGAAGGATAGGGCCCCCATAAACCAATGCTAATGTAGTTGCCGTCGTATGCATCGGTATGCTTCCCGCCGACTAGGCCACCGAAGGGTTTCGGATGTCCCATTGAGCTTCTACCATCACGACGTAATGGACAGAGCCAAATGGGGTACAAGCCGAAAGCTTGATCGGTATATTCCAGGAAAGGGGCAGAATTTTCCGATGGAAAGGATATGTCGTGGATGATGTAACGATCCGTGTAACCCGAAGCATGTAGCGCATGGTACATGATTCTTGTGTGCATGAAGTAGTCCAGTAAGACGCGTGTTAGCCACGTGAAGGGAACCATGAAATGTTTGTAGGCGTACATGCCCATCCAGAATGCTCCGCGGTCGTAGCGAAACAGATAGTCTTCTATCGGTACAAGTTCCTTCGTGACGATGCCTTTCGATGCGACAGACTTTGCATGTATCCAAAACCACTCGTCCCAAGGCCTGGAGAATCGTTGGATTGGTAGTCGAGGTGCTTGTCCCGCATGGACGAGTCGACCTGTTACAATAGCGCCCGTGCCTTTAGAGAAGAGAACACCGTCGACATAGTCGTTCTTTTCATCGGTCGTATGATATTGCATTTTGTGCGTTGCGTTCTCGAATGAGAAAGTCGGATGGTAGGTAACTTCGACCAACGTTTTCAAGGGTATGAGCTGCATCTCAACTGCTGTGAGTACACCAAGTGTTCCAAAACTGCCTCTCAATCCCTCGAAGAGTTCTTGATTTTGGGTCTGGGAAGCTGTAACGAGAGTGCCGTCAGCAAGCACCACTTCGGCACTTAATACAGTCCTATCGAAGAAGCCATGCTTAAAACTGCTACTCTCTCCTGCAGTTCCAACGAAGCCTCCTCCTACGGTGATGCCCGGAAACTCCATAACGACAGGTGGAAGCAGGCCAGCCTTGATTGTTTCCCGGACCAATGCATCCATAGGAACATTGGGTTCGACCAGTGCGGTTCTCTTGTCATAATCGATGGAGAGAACATGATTAAGAGTGCTGACGTCTACAATGGCGTCTCGGTCGAAATCAACATGGCGGGTGCTGTTGGTACTGCCGTGATAGACTCGGAACGCCGTTCTCGCGTGGTAAAACTGTTGTATACGCCTGCGTACTGTCTCTACCGCAGCTTTGTGGCGCTCCATTTGAAGGATGATGTAGAACAAGCTACAGTTATTGAGTCCTGTTATTATCTTGCCTCCTGATCCTTCTGCGGGATGTCTGTTGAGAAATCGCGCTAGCCGGCCGTACTTGTCCCCACAAGATGGCCGAGTCAATCACCAAAGCTGGATATTCGCTTAATGAAGAGGTGAGCGCAACCCTCTCAGCTATCGTCGAGAGCGTTGCACCTTGAGGTGATACGCGAGTCCAGAACCAAAGTGGTAAAAGATGGCAACTCTTCTGATCGCCGGCATAACGTCAACGTTCTTAGCGAGTGGATCCCTTTCCGCACTTCCGGTCGCCATGGACAGCACAATGCTCACCTCACGACACATGAAGTGCATGCTGTTTCGCACATTGCATTCAATTACTGGCAGCCAGCAGTATTGCCGAGTGATGGATACTTCACTGTGTATTTGCAATAAGGATGAAAGCCCACAGGCAGCAGTAAAAGCTCATCATTCCTGCCCCGCACAGGAGTGGCTTTTGGCCGGAGCAGGAAGGGACTTAGCAGGATTGAACGGGTAGTGGAGCAGGCACAGCCCTGCAGCTTATATATCTTTCAATGGTATGCGGACCGCATATTCCTTCGTCATAAATTCTTTCAACAGCTTCTTTATCTTCACATCCACCGCATCATCATCTTGCCAATATGGATACGCACAAATCGACTGTAGCGACTCTCGCCTCGAAAGTCGCCCAGTTTAGTGCGTCAAAGACGCCCTTCCGCATATATCACGGTTCCACACTATCAACACGAAAATCGTCCCGTGAACGCAATCAGATCATCGATGTGAGCTCGCTCAACCATGTCCTACAAATTGATGAGCGCGAAAAGACGGTACTGGTGGAGCCGAATGTTCCGATGGACAAGCTTGTGGAGGCTACGATGGTCAAGGAATTGCTACCCAAGGTTGTTATGGAGCTCCCCAACATTACAGTTGGTGGCGGGTAAGTTGAGCAACAGTACACTGCTTTGGTCAACATGGCCTTCACCTAACCAGCGATGATAGATTCGCTGGCACGAGCGGCGAGAGCAGTTCCTACAAATATGGACTCTTTGATCGCACCATAACAGCTATCGAGCTCATCCTGGGCAACGGTGAGGTTGTGTGGGCATCAGCCGTACACCACAGCGACTTGTTCTTCACAGCAGCCGGAAGCTGTGGAAGTTTGGGCGTTATCACGTTACTCAAGATTGAACTCATTGACGCCAAAGACTACGTAGAGTTGGAGTACGTACCAGTCAAGAGTACGAACGAAGCTGTCGAGCAGTTTCGACGCTACCAAGAGGATGGTTCAGTCGACTACATGGATGGCATCATGTACTCAATGAATAGTGGCGTGATCATGCTTGGTCGTTTGACCAACAAATCGACACACATAATTCAGAGTTTCGACAAGGCAACAGATCCATGGTTCTACATGCACGCAGAAGACACGCTGAAGCAAATCGAGGACAACGGAGCGACATATAAGGAGGAGATTCCTACACAGTCGTACCTTTTCAGATATGACCGAGGCGTATTCTGGTCGGGACTGCGTGCGTTTAAATACTTTGTCACGCCATTCAACCGTGTCACTCGCTTCCTGCTGGATCCTTTCATGTATTCCCGGACTATGGTGCATGCATTGCATCGCTCGGGTCTGGCATCTCGGACGATCATCCAGGACTACGGTGTTCCATACGATGCAGCAGAAGAGTTTGTCAAATGGACTGATGAGAGAACTGGTATCTGGCCATTGTGGCTGTGTCCGGTAAAATCAGCGCCTTTTGATGAACGTAGTTTCTCCCAAGGAAACAATATCAAAGATGATATCCTCCTTGACGTGGGGATCTGGGACATGGGACCAAGCGATGCTCAGGCTTTCATCAAGCTGAACCGCGACTTTGAAGCAAAAGTTACAGAGCTCGGTGGCATGAAATGCTTGTATGCACATGCGTATTACACTGAGCAGGAATTCTGGGACACCTACGATGAAAAGAAGTACATGGAGCTGCGGAGGAAGTATCACGCTGAGAGCCTACCAAGCGTTTACGACAAAGTCAAGGTCGATCTCCAGGGCGTAGCGGGAGGAATAAGGGTAGACAAGCGGGAGTCGTGGCAGGAATGGGCACACCGGCAGTTCTGGAGTACATGGCCGATTGGCGGGTTGTATGGTGTTGCGAGTGCGACCAAAGGGTTGTTTTTCAAGAGCGACTTTTTGCTTAAAAAGTAACAAGACGACTTCTGGACTTGAAAACGCATTCCTGGGGTTGCCTGGGGAGATCATGGTGGATATCGTCACTCGTAAAAAGCACCGTGACGCATTTCAGACGCGTTCCCCTGACAGGGCTACCATGCCCGCAATTAAACAAGAATGATCAGCTGGCGGGAGCTTTGGCGCGCGGCGTTTACGAAGGGTTCACAGTGACGTCGACGCACGCCTCTCACAAGATGCAAAGTACCAGCATCAATCATTCACAGGTAACAAACCGGTATTCAGTCTGTTTCACGCAGCGTACTTTGGTATTGTTGACAGTGAAAACGCGTAAAAGGCGGCGGTCGCGTCGACGTCACCCGCGGGCCAGTCTGCCACTTCGCTAGCGTGGAAGCTCGCCCATGAAAATTCATTGGTCTCGATACACCGCATAGCGGGCTTGACGTAGCAAATACCTAGCCTCCACCACCCCAACCACCCCATTTCACGCACTTGCACTTTGGCGGGACGAGGCCAACCACCACCTTTTGGGTACTTTCGCACTTGGAGCTGCCTCCACCACCCCGCGCACACTCTCCACCTGGGTTGTATTTTGTCCGCAACAGATCCTGTACCCATCACGGGCCATTTGACGACCTAGCTCTTGCACTGCACACATTTTTGGACAGGTGTGTATCCGGCTTCCGCCGCATCCAAACGAACGCGTGCGGGAACTGATAGACGCAATTGAAGCTAAACATCAGCTCCAGGACACAGTTCCGACACTTACACACTCCATCATGGCGCGTCTCAGTGGCCTTCCCTCTGAGCACCACCACGAGGGTCCTGGCGACGCTCCACGCCGCAAGCGCGGCCGCCCATCAAAACACCACACGCCTTCCGAAGAGATGAGTTCGGCGGGCAAGCGCACCGCCTCGCCCACTGCAGAGATCTCGCAGACGAAGCGTATGAAGCGGATTGAAGCCGACGATGACGATGAAGACCAGGACCAGATCGCCGAGGAGATTCAGCAGTCCTTCTCGCGCTCGCAGCGGGCTGGCGAGACCATCAACGTGCAGACGCAGACCCAAACGCAGACCCGCAAAACTACCCGCCGACACTCTGAGCCCCCCGTTGCCGTATCCGATGACGAGGACGAACTCATGGGCTTTCCATCTACTCAGCCCCTACCCGGTCTGACACCCCACCTCGACCGCGTCGGTGCCTCCCGTAGCCGCTTCACCACTGCGCGCCGTGCCCGCATGTCGATGCCAGCGCAGCTGCAGATTGAGCGTGTGGACGAAATCGACGAGAACCACACCAACCACGTCCAGTTCGCACCCCTTACACAAGTCCTTGACAACCGCGCCCGTCGCCGTCTGCGCCGTAGCCACCTTAGTCAGGAGGTGAACAGCTTTGAAGACCACCAGAAGAAGGACAAGAAGATGTTCCTGGAGCTGCGCCGCCAGCTGCGGGAACAGGATGAGAAAATTAAGGACTTGGAATACCGTCTCGAGGCCCGTCGGCTTGGAGAGATCGACCTCTCTGATGCGCATGCCGATGAGCTGCAAGTTGAGCTGGACGAGGCTCGGCAGCAAATCGATGAGCTACGTGCCTCCTCGCTGTACAACGGCGACGACAACGACACTGGTGCTGCTCTTTCTGACGACGATGACGATGCCCTTGTCATGGTAAACCCCGACGAGTTGCACTTGTCGCAAGATTTGGACATGGAGCCTGTGCCCAATGGAAAATACACCGAACGTGCGCTTGAGATTGCGAGCCAGATGACGCTTGAATCTTTGCCAACACTCTCTCAGCTCAACCGCGACAGCTTGATGGAAGGCGAGAGTGTCGTAGTAGACAGGATCGACGAGCAGGTTGTCGAGCGATATGAGCGGGAACTGCAGCAGATGAGCAAGACACTGGGCGAATCTCAGGGTGCGCTGCGTGTCATCACTATTGCACTCCAGAACCTCCGCTACGTAGAGGCCGGTGCTTCCTCTATCGATATCCTCAATAACCTACGCCAAGGATTCGAGGACCTACGAGCGCAGACCGAGAAGTTTTTCCCAGGCACCACTGCTGGCCTTACAAACCAGCAGCTCCATCGCAAGGTTCCCCAGCTCTTCAGTGGTATCTTCTACGAGCTCAACGAGAAGCTGGCCATGCTCCACGATTCCCAGAAGACTGAAGTGCTTCTGCGACGACAGTATGAGGGTGTCCTCGATCTGCTGGGTGAATCCGAGGAGCGGGTGAAGGAGCTGGAGGCGAACGTCTCCACGCTCGACAAGACCAACGAGGACAAGCAGCGCGTCATCCTTGAACTTGAGGAGCGCAACACTGCCTTGACGACCTTGACCAGTGAACAGGAAATCAAACTCAACCAACAAGATGACCAGATTGCTGGCCTTGAGAATGATAATCAAAACAAGGACACCTCCCTACAGCGACTCCGCGAAGCTCTCGACAAGTATCGGGAGGACCTTGACCATGTCACGACCACTGCAACGGAATTCGAAGCTACACATCACGACATGATCGCACGCATTGAGCAAGAACATGCCACCGCCATGGAAGAGCTGGAGGCTGAGCGAGCCGCCGAGCAAGAAGGCCGGCTAGCCGCCGAGGCTGATGTTGACCAGAAGAACGAATACATACAACAGCTGGAAGAGAGTATCACTCGCATGGAGGCTGAAGTTGACAATATCACCGCCGAAATCTCCGCGCTCACACAGCGTCTGGGCGAAGAAGAAGAGGCACGCAAAGATGCCGAGCAGGACCGCGATGAACAGGTTGAGCAGGTCTATCAACATGCCAACACCATCGAGAACCTCAACGAGACCATTACTGAGCTCAGGGAACAGCTTGCTGACGCCCGTGAAAACCTGGAGGCTGAGCGTGCTCAACGCGAACAAACTGAGGCCGATCTCGATGAGGCGAAGACGAGCATCGAAGAACTCTCCAACCGTCTTCACAACACCGGCCTCCAGGCTAACGAGCTTCGGTCCAAGCTTTTTCAGCTCCAGCAGGAAAAAGAGGCCGCCATCAGTGAACTTGAGCAGGAGGCTGAAGAGCGCGAAGATGACCTCAACAATCAGCTCGCGGCCGAGACTAAGCTTCGTGAGGCTGGTGAGGACACCATCGAGCAGTTGAAGCAGGACATCTTGGACCTGCAAGCCCAAATCGCGACGCTCGATGACAACCTCGACGACATGACACAGGCTCGCAACGACCTTGAACAAGAGCGAGACGTTCAAGTCGAGAAGCTTTACTCTCAGCTTGAACAAGTAGAGACAAAGTACTCTGCACTCGAAAATTCGACCAAATCTACCATCACATCTTTGCAAGCCAACATCACGGACCTCAACAACCAGGTGCAGCAGCAGCAAAATGACATTGATGACCTCATGGAGCAAGTTGCTGAGAGAGATCGAGCTTATCTAGAGGACACAACCGCTCTCAAGGACGAGGTTGATGTTCTCAAGAACGACCTCACAAAGAAAGAGGCTGAGAACGAGGCCTACCGCAGGGAAAATGATTCGCTCTCCCGGCGTGTTGAGAACGAGGCAAATGAACTGCTCAACATTGTCGGCTCGCACAACGATCAAGTCAACTCACTTAACGCTGTCATCAAGTCCAATGAAGCTACTATCAAGAACCTGCAAGACACATCCGCGAAGCGTGCCACAGAGTTCGAAGAGATGCTTGAGGAGCGCAACAAGGAGATCACCGAGATGCGCCTTGAAGGTGAGGCTCGTGCCGAGTCGATTGTCATTCTGGAAGCCCAAATCGAAGACATGAAGGAGCGCTTCCGTCTTACCACAGAGGATAACCAGGCCACCATCGATGCCTTGACCCTTTCTCAACGACAACTCCAGGAGCAGAACGAGCGTCTTGCCGATGACCTCAAGCGTCGCAACCAGGAGACTCTTCGAGTTATCCAGGAGATGAAGCACAAGCGCATCGAAGTAAAGACCCAAGGCGTAGATCTCCACCGCGTCATCAACGGTAAAGTGGCCAAGACAAGCGAGAAGATCAAGATTGGTAAGAAGGGTAAGAAGAAGATTGCCAAGCGCCAATGGGATTCTGGATTTGGTGTCGACGAGGCCGTTGAGGACGAAGAGCTCAATGGCGAAGAGCCACTTGCCGCATAGCGTGCTGTGAGTGGTGACCATGGTTTTCAATGATAGGTTTGGGTTTGGGTGTTGGGATATGACATGCCGTCGTATATGACGGCTCTTGTTTCTCTTTTGTCTCTTGGGAACATCACTTGGGCGACAGATTGACTTGTTTCACCTGGTATGGCTACATTACGACTTGACGCCTTGGCTTCATCGATGTGTTGGCTATGATATGGTATTGGGTATTGCATAGCGCGGTGTCTCTATTATGGATACATGGGTGTTATGAGTAAACACAGTAACAGAGCCTTGGGCTTCCAAGGAATCTCATTTATCACTATTGCTTCATGTGTCAACGTGCATCCACCTCAATGAAGACTTGATGGCAGCAGTATTATGCTCAGCTTACCCCGCTGGTCCAGAGCAGCGTCTCAGTGACAACAAAGTGACATGTTACGCAGGCTGATTGGCAGGATGGTCCCTCCGTAGTAAGTGAAAAGTTTTCCGTCGGCAACCGGTAGGCCCCCACCAGTATCGGTGGTGTTTGTGCAACTAGGGCTTCCTGGCTCACGACTCGTCCACGGGGGGTTCAGAGCTTGACGGTTTTTCCAGCCCCCCCCTCCACACTCCCCTCCACACTCCAGCCTTTTAAATTGGATGGTATCGAGCTTGGCATTACTACATCGCGTACTTTTCGTCCCCGGATTTGTGGCTCTACCCCAGATTATAATGTGTGACGGCGCTGTGATGTTTGCCGTATACCGACTTTGCGGGGTAACGTGTAACTTCCGACTGCGTCGAGGCCGCGCGGAGATGTACGCTGGCTAGATGTATGCCTCGTCTCGATGCTGCTACCAGGTTTGTATTCATGGGTCCGATAGCCGGGCCTGGGCAGGAGTTTGCGAGCAGTGCAGTAGCGTAGTTGGCAAACCGCCGATCGCAGCAGAGCCGCTCACACAGAGATAGCAATATCTTTCTTTATCAACGCTTGGTCTTCAGTGTGTGTGCTGGATTATATCCGGCTCCACAGAGCATACGTTGTATGTGATGTTGTTGAGAGCTATCACACTTTGAGATGGTCATGTAAGCGTCCCACAGCTTGACACGAGCAGTCTGGACGCTCCGACATCGTCATGTGGCATGCGCGTAGACGTGGCTTTATCTTGGACTGAGGCTATCGTGAGGCAAGATGATGCTAATGGGTGGAGTACGGAATCCTACGCTAACCGTATCCGGCCATCAAATCCACTTGCTGAGTCCCACATCTGGATGATTGTGGGGTAGCCGTTGATCTGCTTATCTTCAAAGTCTCAACATCCTCATGATGCTTGTTCAGCGAACTTACCCTCCATCAGCCCGCTATAAATGATAATACGAGACGACGCGGCACGATTATCGATTAGGTGTCCAACTTTTCCGCTGCACGGGCGTCCTCCCATAGAGGGGTTTAAACGGCGGAGATAGCTTACTCAAAAGTGGTGGCTAGCCAATCAGCAACGCGGTGATGCATGATACGGATCACATCGGTTGAATTTGGAAGGGCCGAAGTTCGGAATCTAGGCTCGCATGTCCTGCATCAACCGTACCATGATCAATTTTTATCAGCTGCTATCTTTGACACCCTCGTCTTATGATAGGTGACGCTACTGTTGGCTCTGTCATTGACCGTCACGCGCATTTGAAGGGGGCATCTCCGCATCATACGGATCCGCATCTTAAGTCCTATTACTTGCACCGGGGTTCTCGCACCATTGTCGTTCGACATTTCCAGACCTCACCCGTCTACCGCGTCTACCCTGACAATCAACATGCCCGCATTGGCTCAAGACAAGGTTTTGGCGAGAGATCTAAAGGCTAAGAAGACAAAGTCCAGGAACGGATGCGGTCGATGCAAACTCAAGAGGGTATGATGACAAAGCTCGTTACCATGGTTTGTGCACATGCTAACCAGAGTCTAGCTCAAGTGCGACGAGACCGCCCCGGGCTGCCTGCAGTGTAAGAAGAGGAACGTCGCATGTCCTGGCTACGAGAAGACTCTGAAATGGTCAACCAAATACGAGGTCTTGTCGCCACCCAAAACGAAGTCGACGTCCCCTAAACCACGATTGGACAATGTCGCGTCTGCCTCAACATCGACCCTTCCCCAGAACGTGGTCAGCGGCATCGAGGCATTGGCTGCTGTACTCCCTGCAGGCCGGAAGAACACCGCTCCTACACAATCACCTCCTACCGCCCAGGCATCGTCATCAATTTCATCTCCACCCAGTCTTGAGGAACCAGCCTCAACACAAGAGTCTTCTACTGAGGATGGCGATTCTCCCAGAGACTACGAGCCCTTCCTCATGGAAGACGTCAACACTGTGGATCCTATCATGTTTGACACCAACCCAATATGCAACGATGACTTCAACTTTGACTCGTTTGAGAGCATTGACTTCGACTCGGCGTCATTGGATGAGCTCACATTTGACATGCATGACTTCTCACAGAAACAAAACATCACATCAGCTTCGTTGCCTGTGGTAGACCGGGAGCCAGGCCAAGAGTCCAGCCCTAGACTTTCGCGTTCACTGCTTCTCGACTTGTACCGCCTTCCAAGTCCTTCTCCTAACCCATCATCAACTGATGATGTAGAGTCGCTTCTCGTCCAGCATTACTTCAAAGACGTCTGCGCTGTATTTTCTTCTTTCGATTCTGTTCTCAACCCTTTCCGAACTACGATCGGTCGCATTTACAAGGACTCGCCTTCTATCAACTACGCCATCCAGTCCATGGCTGCGGCTCATCTTGCTAATACATTCCCTAATATGGCGGCGACTGGGTTGGAGCTTCAACGTAAGGCGCGTGAGGCTTTGGAGGTGGAGCTTCCGCTTGCTCAGAGTGGCAAAACAAGTGCAACCAAGACCTTTTTGAGCATCATGCTCTTAGGCCTCACCACCTCTTGGCACGACAGCAACGCACTTGGACTGGAGTACCTCTCTACCGCAAGAGATCTGATCCTACCTAAGCTTCTTGGTCGAGCAGGAGGATCAGAGGTCGAGCGCGAGGCACAGTTCTTCGAAGAGTCCTTGATACACTGGGAGATGCTGATGGGCTTTGTAACAGAAGACGCCATGAGCTTCTCTCCCAAGTCAGGACTGCGACCCAGTGTCACCGCTCGGAAAAGTGCTCTTGCACGAGGGCCCAATGGCAAGACAGTTCCACATCCATGGACAGGCATCGCACCGATGATACATTTCCTTTTTGCTGAGGTCGGCCGTCTAGTCCGCAAGGAACGTTCAATGGACCGCGAATCTTCCAAGGACTTGCGCCGTCGCCAGGAGAACCTACAGAATGCTGCTTCATTGGAAGAAGACCTTCTTGCAGTCGACTACCCATCAGTGGATGAAGTCATTGATACTGGTGACGAGCGCACCCCCAAGGAACACTTTGTTACTATTGCAGAGGCATATCGTCTCTCTGGACTCCTAGAGATTTATCGCGTCTTCCCTTCAATCTTGCGTAAGCGCCTAGGGTCCGATAAGTTTCGAGGTTCCGACAACATGGACTTTGAGTTTCCAACACCTCGCTTCGAGACACCGTTTGAAGATACCGACATGAAGCTCTGGCTCAACTCGCTTGCCATGCACATTATTCGATCTCTGGAATCTTTGCCCTCTTCGTCTGGCACCTTTTGCATCCAGCCACTTTTGCTTGTCGTCGCTGCCTCTGAGCTCAAATTCGTTTCTTCTGTCGACTTCTTCGACGTTCACGCCAATGACGCTGAAGTCGTCGCAGCTCGAGAGTTTGCCATCAGGCGTCTTCAAGAGTTTGCCCTTAGGTTGCCTAACAAGCCCCTTCGGACGATGATTCAGCTCATCAAGGAGACATGGCGACAATCTGACGAAGGTCAAGACGCCTTTTGGATCGACGTCATGAACGAGAAGGGTTACCACACCATCATGTGATGCCACCTTCGCAATCATGTCGTCGCCCTCCATTTTCACATTCCTTCACTTCACCAAGACTCGATCTTCCACACGATTTACGACCTCGAATTAAAATCCGGCGCACACTATCTGGACACGGCGTTTGTTCTCCACGGCGTTGGGGCAACTTCTGTTCCTCTTTCTGTTTTTTACATAAGCGACATCATCCTTCGAAGACTACACACCAGTTTCCTGGTCTTCACCCTCGATCTACGATCTTTAATTTACGGCTGCCACCTAGACCACTACCTTCTCGGTCCAACATCCCGGTGATGTGAAGAAAATTATCCTACCCTGGCCTACTGCGACAACCGCCCTAATACGACTACGATACCCACTCCCATTCCACCCACGATAGCGACAACCTCTTTATACCCCGTTTGCCTACTGCGATAACCACTCTGGCACCCATCTGGACATGCTCTGCCACAGCGACGATAACCCACCCTTCTGCGACATACCATTTGCGACATACCATTTGCGACAATTACCCCATAGAACGATACCCCACCCATCCTGCTTTATACCTTTGCTGCGCGAAAATGAGACCTGTCACGATTGACTTATATACGATTACCTCTCCGGACTCAAGCATCCATATCTAGGAACCTGCCAGGCACCTTGCTCACACCCAACATCTATACGAACAAGATGTGGCCCAAAGCGACAAACCCGAGCACCCACCTACCCATCCCACTACTACTTTGTTGGTAGTTCCATGCGACAACAGTAAAGTAATAACTCTACCCAAGCGATGAACCTCTCCCCCCACCAGCGTCCTGTCTTGTATTTTGTAACATTTTTCTTTCTCTACTCTTCTTCTCTTGTATTTATATTCGTCATCCCTTGAGGTAGGTGTGTAAACGTTGGATTGCTGCCGCCACCAGACTCTTCAGAGCCGATAGCGACAATCATACCCACTCGTTTCCATGCGACTTTGCTGCGTCCACCGCTGGTCTTTTGGTCTGCCCTGCCCCCTACCTCTTCTCTGGACATCACTGGACCGGGGGATATATCGCTTGGGTGAGTGTGTACATAGCTTCCTTCCCCTGTCTTGTTTTGTTGTTTATCTGGCGCTGGCTTGGACATACATCTGTTTCTCTTCTTTCCATGCATATCATCAGCCGGTCTGTTTTCACCGGTGTATTTCGTCTCGCATTCATGATACCCCCATCCTTGCGTTTTCTTGTTTACCTGTTTACCTGCTACCGCATTACCGCATAAACACGTTTCTGTAACATGTAACCTGTTTATTTCTTTTTCCTTGGAACAAAAAGGCAAAGCAATTTTTCTCTTGGCTCAAAGGCTTGGAGTTCTTGGGAGGATAAGGCGTAGCTGGGCCGCTAGATTGGGGAGGGGCTTTGATGGGGAAGAATGTGGGGGTTTATGCTAGATGCGAAAAAGTGGGGGGCGCGCCGCTTGTCCTGTGCGTTACGGTGTAATGCGGGGATGGAGGGATTTGCGCGTCCACACAGACACACGTGCTTAGTACGTATTCGCTATTACCATGCTGACTGGCTGACTGGTGTGTGCGCGAAACAGCATAGATGAAGTTGATTGGGGTAACACTCGCAAGGCACACATCTGTTGTTTCTGCGCACACACAGTACCAGAGTATGCAGGACCCCACAGCAATCGTGAGTACGGAAACCCGTTTTCCGTCTCAATCGTCGAGATGGCGGATGGGTTTCCGCACTCGTGGCTGAGCTGGGATGAATGTATGACGGCATGTTGGTCAAAAAGTAGATAGACTGGTGGTAGAGGAGGAGGAGATATATAGCGTCTCTTTTGGTCTGGGTGGTTTTCGTGGTTGGGGATAAAACTTCATCATGGAAGCCTCCCAGGGCCAAGGAGGAGTCTTGAGAATGTCGTCGTCTGTCGTCTTGTGGGATAAAACCTACAACTCGTAGATTGGTCGGCAGGTAGTGGTTAGGTTGGGGTGGTAACTCGAGGGTCGTACGTTTGTATACTGTAGAAACGAATGAATCTTGAGATGCCAACCGTGCAAAATCAAATACCAATATCGAATCAAAGATCATACCCCACATACCCAGTTTTCTTTTGCTCCTGTCACTGTCATGCCAATCCCGAACCCCACAAAACCACAACATCACAAACCCACAAGCGCAAAGACGATTCATGCATCAACTTCGTAACATTGAACCCGCGCCTTTACGGCCGGTATCCATCTCCCACCACCGGGAGTAACATCAACAGACGCTCAAAGATATATACAATCCAAAAACCAAAGAACTCGCACGCTCATATCGCGTCAAAAGAAAGACAATCAAATCACCCAAAAGATCGGAACCATCACCGCTCAACAACAACGTCTTTACATAACCGGCCGATTACTCTCATCATCACTATCATCCTCATACGCGATGAATTCCTTGCGCCCACTCGCATACCGCGTAACAAAGTACTTTGTGGATTCGTACGCGCGAAGTTTCTTTTCCGCTCCCGGGCTGGCGACGAGGTCGGTCATGTGGGGGCCCGTGGGGATGGCGAGGAGACGTTGTTCGGAGCCTACGAGGCGGAGGCGGTTGGAGCGCTCGAAGATGGGGGTTGTGGGAGTGGAGGAGGGGAGGGGTAGGGAGGTTGATGAGGAGGTGGAGCGGATGCTGCGGGGGTGTGTTAGTTTGGTTTGAAGAGATAGATAGGAGGAGAGGGAGACGTACTGTTGGATACCGAGGTGGATGCCTTCGGCGATGCATGCGAGGATTGAGACTACGATGACGATTTGAGGGCCCAGAGGCTGAGGAAGGAGGATTTGTAGTCTGAGGTGGTGTGTTTTAGGCGCGGCGGAACATCTTATCCGGCCGTGTTGTTGTGGTGTCGGCGACGGTGACGATGAAGAAGAAGCGACTGCGTTTTGTGTTTCTGAGCTTGATGCGCCGGCCATGAGTACGTGTGTTGGTACTGGCTTCTTGCCATGTCGCATATACACATTGTACAGTTCCGGCTCGGTATGCTGGAAGCGCTCGAGTTGGACGGCTAGACTAGAGCAGACATCTACGGGACTGGGGCTGGGTGATGGGTTGGCCGGGGACCAGTGTGCGGCAGAAGGTGTGTATGCAGGTGACGCTGCTTCTTGGACGATTTCACATCGACATTGTGTTTGGGTTCTTGATGGGGCGGCGGTAGTAGCGGATGTGAAGAGGAGGATTGAAGTAGCGACGAAGCGCATGGATGGTATGTTGGCTAGCATGATATGCGATGTGTATGTGGAATGTGTAGGAGAACCAGATGTTGTTTTTCACGCCTCACTGGGGGTTCTCAGGCGTAGGGATATGATATAGACGTGTGAAGCACAGCCCGTATGACGTTTGTTTGGAAGGTGCGGCGAAAGAGAGGGGAGGCGTAGCTTGTTCTGTTTCGGACCGTTAGCCCAATCGTTCGCCCTTCGGTGGTAATAACGGCCTAGGATATCTACTCACCCAGATGATGGTTTTTGGAAGTCTATGTTAAGATTGAGGAGTTGGCCAGCAATTCTGCTTATCCAAAGCGGGAGAGAGAGAGAGTTGCTATCGTTGAAATGGAGGGGTCTTCCTTGGAGTTATGGGTATCAAGTAGGATGTGTGGTTGAGGTTGTGCAGATGGGTAAAGTGTGGTAGTACTGGCTATGCTGCAAGATTGGCTCAATGCAGCTTGGATAGTAATTGCAGATGAGATGAGATAGATAACGTGAAATTGATCAGAAACCGAGCGACTCCCGAAAAAGAGGCAGGCGCACCGGGCGGACTATATGTAGTGGCCGCTTTTGCGCAAAACCTCTCACCACATGGTGGTCTGTCAAAACGCGCCTGAGTCAGGTTTGCACGTGTATCAGAAGACCTAGCATGACGGGAATGCCGACTAGGGTCAGGTTCCGCACCATTGCATGCGCGTGTTTTTCCCTTTACTTTTCCAATCCCCTATAGTATAGCCGAAATAAGATCTTTTTGGGGCCTCGTGCCAGCGGCGGCATTGCTGCATGGAGACTGATGGTGCTTGTGCGGCCATGATACGTGGTGGAGAGGTCGAGAGTTTGGGTTAGATTGTGAGGGGGGCGCGGGTGGGCATAGGCTGGAGGCCCCAGTCCAACTGTCACTGTCGAAAAATAGAGTGCTTCCAAGACGCTTTGCTCGTATTCTCTTCAGCTCAACCCAACAACACTGTGCGCGCCCTAGCTAAGAGCTCTAGATGCTCACTTGTGCATCCCACGCTTACCCAACTCCCGCCGTATGCAGCGAGCAGCAACGCCTTGATCCTTCGCTCTCGCTCTCGCCTTGTCTCGCCTCGCCTCGCCGCACCACAGGGGCTTCCCTCCCCACTTGCACGCCAACGGACTGCGAAACGTTACTCTTGCACACAGACGCCCACGATAACCCTTTTGAGGGCTAGCACAGAAGCCTTCCCGTGCATGCCAGCGTATCTCGGGCTAGAACACGGTGTTTCGGCCCTTTTTGTAGCGCGTTTCCCCAGCCGCAGACACACTGTGCAGGCTGCGACCCTGCAACTCGACGCGACTTTACCCTGTTCAACGGCACCACGTTTATTGGAAAAGGCGTGCCGGGCTGTGAAAAAAAAGTTCATTAATAGTATATGGCCTGAGAACCATGGCGTGAGCTGTGTGAGTCAGCTGTCATGACCACGGCGAGGACGGCGCGGCCGCCGCTCTCCGCCCCCTTCTGTCTATCGTGTCATAGAACAGAACAGAGAGACATGCTCGTTTCACGTCGCAGTCATCGAACACGGCGCGCATGTCCGCCATCGACGCAACGTTCAAGCAATCAAGGAAAGCGGACAGGCGGAGCGCCAAACGAAATGCTTGCATAGCGAGCCATATGGTTCGCCTTTTCCCATGTTCCTGTTGCGAAACGCTTGGCGCGGCCTTGGTACTTTCCCATGTCCGCACATTTGCCCATACTAAGAAATGCCGTGCAAAGCTTAACGCCGTTAAGGATCGCCATGAAGCGCATCGAGTCTCGGACTCGGCCGGCGGACATGCAAGAGCCCACGGATTCCCGGGCTTGCATCGATGCGGCTCGATATGTGATCGCTGTCACTGTGCATGCTCGCGCGCTATTGCCCATGCAAGAGTGACAGGAAAAGAGGGCATGGGTTCCCGAGGAGGTGCGGAACAGTCGCCTTGTTTCGTCGTGGCGTCATGGGTATGCGCCGTTTTTTATGCTTTTTTGTGAAACTCAAGGCTGTCCTAGTAAGTAAAGAGAGGGAAAGCCATCATTGCGATTCCTCCCTTGCTTGGCGTGAAATGGCCACATGCCACTGTAAGTAAGTTACGATTTAATGGCTTTTTCTTCTTTTGGTAATATCAAGTGGTACGGTTGCAGGCACACCACCAAGACTGTCTTGGTCCTCATCTCTCAATCTACCTTGAGCATGAAAAAATGTAGGATCCATCTTCAGCACCTGTTTCTTTGAACTCTTCGTATCCACCGTGTAACCGGCCATTGCCAACCTCGCCATCTCCCTGGTATAAATATTCTTCCACATGCCCCTTCCCACAGCACCGTCATTTCTTCCGGGCTTCTGGTCGTCTTCGCTTTCAATGACGGTGGCCTCGAGGTTCATACAGAAATCGATTGGCAAACTCTCCTTCAAAGCCGCTCTCCTTCTCGTCCGACTCGGCTCCTTTAGAAACCACTCTGCGCCGCAAAATCGGCACCAATTGAAGCCTGCAATAATCCAGTTCCGTAGACACCTGTAGCCGACGTAGTGTCCGCATCCGTGCGAGTCGATGCGTACAGCGTGTTCACAGTATTGCACGAGAGTACAGCACGTATGAGGTATCTCCGGGTAGATGAGAGGCGACGGTCGATTCGAGCTTGGGGTCGTGTCTGCGGCTAGAAGGTCCGATGTCTTTACCCTGGTCCAATAGTCGCACATTGGGTACTCGCATAACATGCAGTTCAAATCCATGCCTTTGAGGTCTTTCCTCGAAACATCCTTTCGACGGGATGCCAGCCACGCAGCCAGCGAGGACACTCTGTCTGGTACGTATCTGGTCGAATCATGGGGTGGTAGAAATGCCGATGTAGGCTTAGGGCGCCCCGGAGGGTAACTGATTGGCATATCCGCCATGCTGGATAAACGACGGAACGATAGCGATAGGATGTAGTGTTGTACTGACAATGTGAGTTGCCCCAAGGAAGTAGAAAGCTACATACTGCTGGTAAGTAACTACTATACTCTGGACAGTAGAGTTGCACCTTCTCCTGTGCCTTAATGGCAGTCATGACTGAATCGATCTACAAAGGGAACTGACCAAAGCCGAAAGGAACGACATTGCTCGTTGGCCTCGCTTTTCTAGACACCCGTACCTTCCAATGATACCTTATTGTCATTGTTGTTTTCTATGCTTTTTTCATGGAGTATCAAAGGTCACAGTGGCCCGGCCAGAGCTGCAAAAGTCCGTCTGGGTCTGGAGAACTGTCTTATTACATACATAACCATATATGTTGCATACTCCATTTATAAATTCACTGACCTCTAAGCATACCCCTTCAGCACAGCAGCCTCCGCATTCAATATCGACGACCCCGCCGCTCCAATAACAGCTACAACAAATTAGCACCGTCTGCCGTTCCCCAAACACAATGTTGAACTTACTGTTATGACTGAGCGCAACAAACTTGATATCAAAGATACCAGCTTCATCCTCCCTTATCCTCCCCACACTGACCGCATACCCGCGATCAGTCTCCCTATCCAACCTCGGCTGCGGCCTATCAGGTTCATCCATGACGACAATCGCCTTCGCAGGTGCAGACGGACAACCCAACTTCTGCGCATCAGACACATACTCGCGCATAGCCTGCTTGACCTCCTCGGCACTCGGCGGCGGGCGTCGCTGGAAGCGCAATGACACGCAAGCAGTGTGCCCGTCCAACACCGGCACGCGGTTGCAAGCGGCCGAAACCTTCATGGGCTGATCTACAAAACCTGTAACGTCGTCGTTGACGCCACCGAGGATCTTAGACGCCTCCGTCTCGAGCTTATCTTCCTCGCCCGAGATAAACGGTACCACGTTGTCGATGATGTCCATGCTGCTTACACCCGGGTAGCCAGCGCCGGAGACGGCTTGCATTGTGACGACGGAGACTTGGTCGACGGGGCCGAATTTCGCTTGTAGGGCTGCAAACGGTATGACGATGCCGATGACGGCGCAGTTTGAGTTGCAGACCAGGAAGCCCTTTTCGAGCTTGTGGTGTTGTCGCTGGTGCTTGATGACGTCGAGATGGGGGAGGTTTACGGTGGGCACGACGAGGGGGACGAGAGGGTCGCGGCGGTAGTATATGGCGTTTGAGAAGACGGCGAGTTCGGACTTTAGGAAGGCCATTTCTGGTCATGTTTAGTATGGGGATTGGAGTATCCTGGAGTCAGTGCCTACCAACGTCGCCGGCAACATCGCTGTCCAGGCCAGAGAAGACCAAGTCGCACTCCTTGAATTCTTCTGGTGTGCATTTCTTCACGACCAACTCGCCAATGCGCTCGGAAAATGGCAGCGCTTGCTTCCACTTGACAGCATCCTTGTACTTCTTGCCAGCCGATCGTTCTGAAGCGCCGACAGCGTGGAGTTCAAAGTGTGGGTGTAGTGCGAGAAGAAGGATGAAGCGCTGACCCACCGAACCAGTTGCGCCCAACACACCTGCAATTGCATTAGTCTACTGTTCCTTCAGCATAAGCCAGCATACTCACCGCACTTCTTCTTGGGAAAGTTTCGGTTATGCGACGTAAACTTTTCAGCCTCCATTGTTGTGGTTTGAGGATTGAGTCAATCGAGTTCTCAAACTTTAGGTTAGGTATGACGCGGGGGTTCCGCGGGTGGGGAAAACGCGACGCCGATCGCGGAGCCTTCATAGCTGCAGCTGATTTTCATCAAATGTGTAGATTTTGCGAAGCCAGACTTTTCATTACTCAAATACTTCGTAAAATGATAAGGAAAGTTATGAGAAATCTATTCGCACACACAGAACATATGCAGCATAGAATGGTAGACACCCTCCCAATGCATGCTCGACGAAGAAACCAGGGGAAGGAATGAACAGTCACACTCTAGGCCTGAGCGTCCATGATCTTACCCGGGTTCATGAGCCAGTACGGGTCTAATGCGCCTTTAATGTTCCTCATCACATTGATCGTGTCCAGACCAAGCTCCTTCTGCAGTGATTCCTTCTTGCCTAGACCGATGCCGTGCTCACCAGTACATGTGCCTTCCATCTCAAGCGCGCGGTCGACCATGTCGTGGACGCATTTCTCAACAGCCGCCCGCTCCTTGGGATCCTTGCTGTTGTACATGATGCTTTCGTGAAAGTTGCCATCGCCAATATGGCCTAGGATGCTCGCAAAGAGACCAAGATCGTCCATTTCCTTCTTAGAGATTTCTGAGGGTAGTTAGCGAACTTGCCTACACCTCAGCCTGAATAATTACATACCGATGATATCAGGTAGTCGTGAAATTGGAACCGCGACATCTGTAGACCAGACCTCGTCGCCTTCGCGGCGGAGTGCCAGCATACTCCAGAGTGACTCCTTGCGCGCCGACCAGAGTGTCTTCTGCTCCTCGGCGTTTACGGCAAATTCGAAATCTCCGCTCTTGTGTAGCTTGGCGATCTCCTTTACCATCTCGATATTCTCCTGTACCTAATATGCACTTAGCACCACTTCGGGTAAATGCACGACGCATAGGGCTGAACATACCCCTGCCTTGGTTCCCGAGAATCTGTTTGCGGCTGTTAGCTTGTGCTATCACATGGTATCACATGTCTGAAAGCTTACTTGAAGAACATGGTGGGGAGTTCCTTCCATTTCTTGCTTGTTGACCCGGCTTTGTTAATCACACCCATCTGCACCTCATCCATGATTTCCATGGCGGCCACAGGCACTCCTCTTCGCAATACTTTGGAAGCTGCGGCTGCGGCATCTCGTATCGTAGGGAACGTCACAACTGCGACACTCGTTTCTTGGGGCACTACTGCCAGCTTCAGGGTAATCTCCGTCACAATCCCAAGCGTTCCCTCAGAGCCAATGAAGAGGTTGGTCAAGTTGTAGCCAGCTGATGATTTGCTAGAAAATGATTAGTCGCGTGTAAAGTGGTATAAAGGGTCACAAGGTTGAATACCGGGGTCGACGTCTTGTCTTGATCACGGTGCCATCGGCAAGCACCACGGTTAGATTGATGACCCAGTCTTTCATCGTACCGTATCGTACGGCGTTGGTCCCACTATCGCGGTTAGCTATGAATATTGAAACCTCAATGTCCTCTTCTTACCTGCAGCTGGTACCCACCATGCCTCCAATCCGAGCCTGACACGTCTCTTAGTAAAGATTCGAGCTGCCGCATTGGGCCTACAGCGAGCCGATTGGGAAGATTGTAGCAGGCGCACGTACTGATGGACCCGGGTCAACGGGGAAGAATAGACCGGAGTCTTTGATCTGATCGTTGAGGCTCATCCAGGGTACGGAAGGCTGAACAACAACGTCCATGCTGTCGACCACGTCAGTGACATTACTTGTGATACGTAACACGCAAAGTCGACTCACTCGTCTTCGTGCAGAGCTATAATCTTGTCCATGAATGAAAAGTCGATGCTCATGCCACCAAAGGGGGCGGAGAAGTTGGCCTCCAAGCTTGATCCTCCCGAGTACGGAACTACACATGTTAAGCGCTTGCTACATGACGATCCTGTACTATGACCTTACTCATGGGAATTTTGTACTTGTAGCACACTTTGGCGATTTTTGCGCATTCGTCGGTAGATTTTGGATATGCTACCGCTACTGGTAGTTGGTCGATGTTGATAGACGACCACTCCGAGTACCCGTGTCTGTGCAGATCCTCGTCATCTGTACTGATGGCATCCTCTCCTAGCGCCTGTCTCAGCTCTACGAGTGCCTGTACATGTGTAAGTCAATGCTGCATGCAACTTCGGGACTTGTTCAAGTAGTCCACAAACCCACCTTCTCCATCTCGTACTTGGACGCATATTGGGGACCCGCGGATTTGAGCCACGGCATCGGGAGTCGATGAGGCTCTTCATTGGCACCGTAGAAGTATGTGGTCGTGCCAGTGACGGCAGAGAAGAGGAGGACTCTCCCAGAATTCCAGAAGGGTCTTTGAAGTTGTCCGGATTTGAATGCCTGCTCGCCTCCAGTCCGCGCTCGAGTGCCACTCCGCTTGAGCAGAGGCGAGACTATTTGCCTCAGACGTGCTGCTGGGTGGCGGAACATGACGGAAAGTGTGAGGAAATGGAGAAGAGATGAGGTTGCAATGATTTGCTGAACTGCTAGGGTAGACTTTGAGCGGCGTCCACTTCTGCAGGCGACAGGTCAAGGCGCAAGTGTGGAGCCAAGGTGATGGAGAGGACGAACGATGCTAGCTGCAAGACTGGGCTACGCATTTTGTGGATCTAGAAGCTACCGGGTACAGGCAGAGCGGGGAGAGTTTATTAGAGTCTAAACGCAGTTGGCGCGATTGATTCGGGTATGGCTTTGAGCATCGTTGGTGGGCGCACAGGTAAAGTCACAACACAGCATGGTAGAGTTGGTGGGATGGACCACTGACAGCGTGGGAGGCTCACCAGAAACCCGATATGCCTATGTATCAAATTTTTCGGCTCACGCAACAAACGAAGTCGTGCATGATGACCTGCAAGGGGGCTTGGGTGTACGCATGGTGATTGCGGGGAAGACCAGGGCAGTGATGAGCAAATGTGCTGCAAATGTGCTGGTGCGAGAAGGCTCGTGGCGACGGGTGACGCTGGGTGACATTCCGAGCGAGATCAGTCGCGTGAGGCGTTCGCTCGGACCTAACGGCTGCCGACGTCGATCCTGATCTTGATCTTTTGCGAGGAGCCCTGCAATATTTGCTTTCTTTTGACCAACGGCAGAAGAGGCGTCTGCCAGGGACAGTGGCCGGCCATCCATGGAGACGTCTGAGGCTGACATGAAGCCCTGCAAAAACAGCCGTACAGAACAGCCGGATTTCAGGCGGCGTAATGGACAAGTTGCCGTGATACGATTACCTCACGAAACCTACTGTACTCCTCACCCTATGCATCAGTGCAAGTGGGGGAACAAGCCGCGCATGGGTTGTAAGGGTGCCATCCGTCACATCCCACGCCCTTCTTGGCGGATAACCCTGCAAGCAAGCAGACACCTACTTACTTAGACGCGGCGAGAAATGGCGCAGTCATCACAGGGGAAAGATATACTTGATCAGGATGACTAATCCAACTATTCTGAAGAGGCCGCCGTTAGCCGCCAAAGCACCAAGTCGGAAACCAATAGTGGGCAGTATGCAGGCGGAGATAGGAACATGCGCTGCAAGCCTCGCAACATGGGTACTGCGGCTGTGTTGGCTCAAGATGGCTGACGTCAAAGCTAAACGCCTCGAATGCGACACAAGGGCGTAAGATGTCGGTGAGTGGTTGATGGTCGCGTGCGTGTGTGCATGCCTAATGAGGAAGTCGGCGATCCCCGGCGCCTCGTTCGGTGTTCGGTTGTCAGAGAAACGGCAGGGCAAGCAAACAACTCCACCCGACTTCCGCATGCCCAACGCGACTGCACCACCATCGACCGGCTCTACTCGGCACAAGCTCAACTCAATCCTAACCGTCATGGCGGACATCAGCGCAGCCTTGTCGTCAGAGATTACCAGGATACTCCAATGCATATATCCCGCCTCGCTATTCGTGCGTATTGCCCCCCTCCCCCTTACGCTCCAAAACCAGTTCGTGTCGCATCACTAGTTTGCTTTTCCACATCTACCACATGACTCGCTGCATATGCATTCCAACGTAGATGAGCTGACGCGACATTTCGCAGAACCTATCCAAACTCCTGGCTCAGACCAGCATACCCGCTATTCGGGCAAGTATCCACAATCGGTCACCATGTGAGGTGAAGAGGTTGGCAACAATAGTTTATGATGCACTTGAACAAGCTGCTTATACGCTGCATGTGTTGCATCATCTATGTAAGCGATTGACCGCTCTTTGTTCTGCATACAAGAGCACGATAGGCTGACTTCGTCATCTCAGCTTATGCCCCTGAATTTCGTGACGAGTTGTTGATTGCAAAACCCGACTTACTTCATGCTTTGTTGAAAAAGGCAAATTCATCCAAATCGGATTTTGAACATGTGAGTACACAACCACACGGTAAGCCGCGTCACTTACATGGCCTAGTACGCTGGACTCTGCGTGCTCCTCCTATCACGTCAGCTACCGGATGGTGTCCTTTTGCCTGCGGAAGCCCAGGGCTTCTTCCTCAATTCGTTCCAAAAAGCTATCCAGGCCCCCAGCGTGGACACGCTGAGGTCAGTATATTGCATGCTTAATGGCGCTTGTCGCGGACTACACAGCCTGCTTCCGAGCGACGTCAGACGCAAGTTCGACGCGGGACTGTGTGGGATCCTCAAGTCTAACTCTCCCGGCGAATCATCGACGTTGCTGTCATGGGTGTGCGGTATAGTGTTTGCCACGGAGCATCCGGAGGGTGTCACCAGCATACAAACTCCAAGCGCCAATGAACAGCCAGTATCTACCGAAAGCTTGCAGCAGCAGTGGAAGACAATATCGGGCCAAAAGCTGTTTGGCTCCATGGGTCATCTTTACAAGACCATCAGCCTGGTCTGTACCAGCGTGATGAAGATGATATACAACGGAGCGACGGACGACGACGCAATTGAGATTATACGCATTGCTTCGCGAGTTCTGCAGTTTGTTGACCAGGATGTCAAGAATAGCTGGGGCAAGCAAGATCAGACTACACGTACTCTGTTCAAAAAGTTTCCGGAGAAGATTTCAGGTCTAGACTCAAGCTCGACTCTTATGTTGGAGGCCTTGTCTTTCTTCGCTGTCCTTTCGGGTTCCAGAGAGTTGCCACTGGGCCTCATTGAGCGGTACGAAGAGTGTATATCAAACTTCGATTGTATAGTAGATCCAGAGAGTGCTTCCGAGCTCCTCTCTGCATCGCTCCCACTGTTTGCAGTACGTGCATCTCCCTAAAGTACCCCATTCATGGCTAACCAAGATAGGCACAAATGGAAGAGAGTACTATTCAGAGGCTCCTAATTGGCGTATTGGATGGCTGTGCTTCGCGGCCAAATTCGCGTCAGCTATCTAGCCTGGTCAATATAATCGATAAGCTTACCACTGCTGCAACGACTCAGGAGGCTCTACGGAACAGGGTACTGCGTGCACTATCGTCGCAAACAATGTTGGAGAAATCCTGGAGTCTGATCCAGATTGATTTGAAGGACAATGTAACTGGCTGCTGTACTTATTCTGGATCACTCCACCGTCAGCTAGTAGCCACTACAATCGCTTCGTTACTGGTTGTCGCTTTCGCAGCTGATCTAGACGCGCCCAAGTTACCCAACGCCCTTATCGTCGCTCTTATCAAGAAACAGCAGAACCTACCGCCAATCATGAATGCTTGCTCGCACTCATTGGATAACTCCCCTCCATCCTCAATATCGCTATTCCAACAAGCAAGTACCCAATATACAGGCCAGCATCTCCAGGAATGGAAGGAACGGATCAATTCAGTGGTGGATAGCCAAAGCAAGTATCAGAAAGAGCTGTTCACCCGGGAAGTAGCCAAATATTGCGAAGATCTCGAAACACGCTGCAACACGGTCGAAGAACCACTACGGAGGGAGGAAGAGAGGTCTAAGAGGCTCGAAGGGCAGGTTGAGAGGCTTCTCAGTGACATCGAGTCATTATCAAAACAAAGGGAGGACGATATGCACTACCAAGAAGGGTTGGAAAAAGACCTGGAAGATGCCAAGGATTACAGAAACAGGGTAGAACTGGAGCAGCGGAGAATGATCGAAGAGAAAGAGGAAATGTCCGCTAAATTACAGGATGTGGAAGAGGCCTTGGAGAGAACAAACCGGCAAGCGGAAGACATGCTGAATGCTGCGCAGGAAGACTTTGCTGAGAAAGAGACCAACTTTCGCTCAACACTCCTCCAACGTGAAGATGAAAAACGCCACCGAGATGCCGAAATGGAGTCGTTGCGCATCGCCATAAATGAGTTGAGAGAGTCCCAAGTACAATGGGAGAAGGATCATTATAGCCTCGCCGAGGAGCACGAACGCCTCCGAGCGCGCTGTTGTGACACAGAAGAACTGCTCCAAAAGGAGCGCGAAAACGCCAACCGTCAGGCAGACGAGCTTTCCCGCCTGGAATCGCAGCTTTCCGAATACCAGCAAGACTTGGAACACAAGGAAACCGAACTGAGAGATACGAATGAACGACTGAAAACATTGCAAGGTCGCCACGAAGAACTGAGACATGAATCGGAAGAGAGATTGAGAAACCTGGCGGCCAAACATGCCGATACTTTGGATGCTGCGATACTGAAAGCTGAAGAGGAACGCGAAGAAATTGGGGCTCAGCTACAGAACGCTCTACAAGCATTCAAGCACGAAGCTGCTGAGCACGAAAAGACTAGTGGCGAAGCCCAGCGTCTTCGAGAGTCGATTCCACCATTAAAGTCTAGGATACAAGAGCTCCAAAAGATCTGCACAGAGCAGGAGGAGGAACTTGAGTCGCTCAGAAACTGGCATACGGAGATGTTAGCTCATTTGAAGCAGCCCTTGAATGTTCGGCCGTCTTCTCGATCTTACAAAGACGCTATTCAGCCACAGCCAACAGAGGAGAGAACTCATCGGCGACGAAAGTCCACCAGAAGCAGTCAGGATATAGCACAAAAAGCTGCAAAAAGTCCCCAAGTACTCACGAACACGGTCATGGACAAGGCCACTGATGATTCTTTTGTCTCGCCTACAGACTCGTACTCTTCTCAAGGGGATGGTCCGGCCCCTAAGCGTCCCAAACCACAGTCAAACTTTAAGGTACCGGCGATGCACACACCTTATACACGAAAGCCCGACTTGATCTCCAAATCTGTTTCAAACCGGACGTCATCAAGCAAGCGCTCAGCTCTGAGGCAAATGTCACCAAATCGTCGGCATACTGTTGGTTTTGCAATGACAGATGAAGAAGATGAGAGCTGTGTTGATGGGATGCAGTCCATGAGGCAGCGTAGTAGTAGTCTTCAGGATGATGAACAAGCAGATTTTGGGATGGACGACGACTTCACGTCAGGAACGCCACTCACTCCGGGTTATGCAGCGGGCACTGGGAGAGCCCCGGAAGATGACGATGGCAGTATGACTGAACTTTGAGCGAAATCCAATTGGCAACATTTGCGTAATTCTGGCATCTAGGACAGAGAGCTGAGAGGCGTTTTGGAATGCACAAGCGCTACTTTGATAGAGCGCGGGTACTTGCATACATGATGTAAAACAGTCAGATCGTTCCACGATACCCAAGTGTCTATTATTACGTGTATTTTTATTCCCACCTTTACTTTGGCTAGTCTTTGTTATGATTATTCTTTGATATCTCTTAACTTCCTGGTAAGCCTGTCCCATTTGCTGCACACCACGGGTACGTGCCTTGCTCATGCACCTTCCCGTAACCACCTTTACCCAGTTTCTTCCATTTGCAGAGCTCTCTGACTTGTACCTTTCTTAATTGAGCACCTGCCCTCAGCCTCACCTTGCACCTTCTCTACTGCGCTGCACTGCCCACAATCGCCGTCAGTCCCGATCTCTCTTTCCCTTCTTACTACTAAACCCCATCAAGAATATCACTCAATCCCCATATTTCTTAGATACCGGCCAATTATCATCGCAAGACGCTAAACGCGCTTGCCACAGCCAACACTTGTCGGCTTGGCATCTATCGGACATCCGTTTGCGAGAGCAAACAAAACATCCAATCACCCTACTTCAATCTCCTCCAACCAATACCTGACGCCTTTCAAATAGGCCTTCAAGTCACATCGCTGGCCACAAGGCCTAGGACCGTATCTCTGACCGCCCGACACCCCGCCTTCTCAAACGGGCAGTCACGTTCGATTTCCCCATGAGACACCGCCATCACCTCGCCTAATCGATATTTCACGAGGATAGAGCAAACGCAAGCGCGTCCACAGCGCGTCTACAAGCGCGTCCACGGATCCACAAACATGGACGCGTTCAACAGCCCCAACTCTATCTACTCGACCTTCAACTCACATAACACCATTTCCGCTCTGGCAGAACTCGAAGAGATATTCCCTCATATCGTAACTCAGCTACCACAACAACACACTGATAGGTCAGAGACGAGCTCCAATAGCGAGGTGCATCCCAGAGGCCGTAACATGCATCGCGGCAACCATAGAGGTGGTCGTGGTGGCTCTCGTGGTGGCGGACAGGTCAGTCGTGTATACTCCAACAGCTCCAGTAGTTCCAACCCTGACCGACCGAATTTCAAGCGACCTTTTATCCCTTCACCATATCAAGCTAGCCAACCTCTCCAAGCTCCTCAGCTAGTAGGCCCATTCAATGCATCACCAGCTCAGCAGCAGTCGTATGTTGACATCAATGGTCATAGTATCAATGAGACCTATATTGGAAGGTTAAGTGTTAGCTCAAACTCACCGACTAAGAAGGCGCCAGTCAGGGGCCCATCCAGGCTACCTAACCAAGTTTTTCCTCAGCGAGGACATCTTCCTCAGCGCGGACATCCTCACCAGCGCGGACATCCTCACCAGCGCTACAGTCGCCGGAGCAGCTCACCAAAGCCGACTTTGAAGGACGGGTCAAGGCACTGGTTCTATAGCCAAGAAGAAAAGATCAAAGTCTTAGACATACCCAAAGCCTACTGGACAAAAGATGTCTACGAAGCAATGTCATCATATGGTGCTGTCTTCAGGATCGACATGCAGGTTGGAACTCACCTCAACAACGCCTATGTGGTATTCCGGTAAGTTCACAGCCTAATTACGTGTGTCATTTCCAATCTAATACTGTTAGTCCACCCCCGACCAAGACCCTTCCACCAACATTACGATTGGGCAAAGTATTCGTACGATGGGAGACATGTCCGTTGCCGTTTATTACAGTCTTAAGCCCCATTAATACTGCAAAACGTTACTTCGAGTACAATATCCTTCCCGCAAAATCAATTGAGTTTGGTACTCGGATTGCAGATCGGACTATGATATCCATGTACACAGTGCAATCACCCAAGGGTATTCAAATGGTACTCGATCTGAATCGTAAGGAGCTCGATATTCATTTCCCACTTCAACTTCCCAACGACCTACGCAAATATCGCTTTCGACTACCCATTGCTCTACTCTCCCATGTCTATATGGTCAATGACGAGATCACTGGTCAACCAACCTTGATCATTCCCTTTGGTTCACCACCACAGCTTTACACACAGAAGAAAGATGGCAAGATCTTAGGAGACGGCCGGAGGCACACTACCTTCACCAACAAAGAGAAGGCATGGAACGACTGGAACTTGTGGTTTAGGGAGACGGATATTATTCACTCCAGAGACCAGAAGAAGCTTGAGCAGCTGCCGCTGATGAATCATAAAGACGCCGCCATCATTGACATAGGCAAGTATTCCATGCTGTGGCAGCCGAATTATCAATTAACTAGAGAATTAGGCCGATGGACTGACTACCGACTGGAGTTTGATGCAGCAGTCTTGACTGGTCCCAAGTTCCAGGACTTTAGCGACGCTTTAGCTGATTATGGAGTCGCGATTGAGCACATCGACCAATTCGCCATCAAGTCTAAGATTACGTCTCCGCTGTGGTCGCTTCTGCAGGAGGAGATTTCTACCACATATCCCCATCTCGAGTTGACTCTCCATCTCGAGTCGACTCCCAATCTCGAGTCGACTCCCAACCTCAACCAGTCTTTCTACAAAGACCTTCTCACGAGCCAGATGAATCTTGATTTCACGGTTCGGTATCAACTAGAGGCCTGCTTGTCAAATGGATATCTAAAGGAACACAGCATCACGAGTGAGTTCCTTAAGAAGCTTCATTCAGACCCTCGTCATGCTGTATGCCTACTTGAAAAGGTCGCGGACAAACAGCATACATACTATGATCCAATGGAGATATTCGGTATTCAGATCAAAAGCCTCGAAAAGAAGATTCCAAGCTACTGCACCCTCCAGCGATCGGTAGTCATCACTCCAACTATGATGCATGTTGCATCGCCTGTGATGGAAACCTCAAACCGCATTATCCGAAAGTATGCCGCAGACAGCGACCGGTTCATCAGAGTAAAGTTCTCCGATGAGAAAACCGAAGGCCAATTGCGAAGCATGCCTAATGGAAAATCCGGGGCAGTTTTCGACAGGGTACGCCGTGCAATGAGACATGGTATCGTCGTCGCTGGAAGGTACTATGACTTCTTAGCATTTGGCAATTCACAGTTCCGCGAGCATGGCGCGTATTTCTTCGCTCCTACTTCGTCAATGTCAGCCAATGACATACGTTTGTCGCTTGGGGATTTCACCAACGTCAAGACCGTTGCCAAGTTCGGCGCCCGTCTTGGACAGTGCTTCTCTACCACGCGTGCAATGAGTCAAAAGGTCAGCATCAAACCCATTCCCGAAATCATGCGGAACGGATATACCTTCACAGATGGCGTGGGAAAACTATCGCCCTTTGTAGCAAAGATGGCTGCAGAAGAACTGGGACTATCAAACGCATTTGATGATCCGCCGTCACTCTTCCAATTCCGTCTCGGTGGTTGCAAAGGCGTACTCGCACTTGATCCCACTATCACTGGTACGGAGGTTCACATCAGACCAAGTCAGCAAAAGTTCCAGGCCAAGTTTATGGGTCTCGAAATTATCCGATCTTCCGCCTTTGCTACTCCATTCTTCAATCGCCAGATCATCGTTGTGTTGTCGCATCTCGGTGTACCCGATCATGTCATCATCAAGAAGCAACAAGAGATGGTCAACGACTATGAGACTGCGATGACAGATGAGAGTGTTGCAATCCAGAAACTTCGAAAGCATATCGACATGAACCAGACTACGTTGGCAATGGCTGCAATGGTTCTGGATGGCTTTATGAAGGTCCAGGACCCCTTTATGATGTCTCTACTCAAGCTTTGGAGGGCTTGCACTATCAAGAACCTCAAAGAGAAAGCCAGGATTGCCATAGAAGACGGAGCCTTTGTACTAGGTTGTGTTGATGAGACCGCAAAGCTCAAGGGGCATATGAATGATCCACAGTCCAGGCTCGATGCCACGAGAGACGAGAAGCTGGCGACGCTCCCAGAGATCTTCTTACAGGTCGATGATACCAACAAGAAGGGGCATTACAAGATCATTGAAGGCGTGTGTATTTTGGCACGCAACCCATCACTGCACCCAGGAGATCTCCGCGTGGTCCGGGCAGTAAACATCCCAGAACTCCAGCATCTCAAGAATGTCGTTGTTCTGCCCCAAACCGGAGATCGAGATCTTGCAAACATGTGCTCTGGCGGAGACCTCGATGGTGACGATTACATGGTTCTATGGGACACCGCTCTCATCCCCAAGACGATCAACGCGCCGCCCATGGACTTCACGCCGGAGAAACCCGAGGAGATTGAAGGGCCTATCGGTGCTGCACATATGGGTGAATTCTTTGTCACATACATGAAGAACGATACTCTCGGACAGATTGCACATGCCCACCTAGCGCAAGCTGACTCCAGAGACGATGGTGTGAACGACCAGACCTGCCTCGCTTTGGCAGAACTGCATTCCAAAGCCGTTGACTTCCCAAAGAGCGGTTTGCCAGCCGAGATGAACCGTGAACTGAGACCGAAGAAGTGGCCCCACTTTATGGAGAAAAAGCATATGCCGGAGTACAAGATCTATCATTCAACCAAAATTCTCGGCATGCTTTATGATCAAGTTCAGCTGGTTGACTTCAAGCCTCAGTGGGAGAATCCGTTCGACAAGCGAATCCTGAACGCATTTGATCTGGAGGAAACGATGAAAGTCGAAGCAGCCAAAATCAAGTCTTCATATGACGATGCCCTCCGACGGTTGATGGCGAAACATGGAATTCGAACAGAATTCGAGGCATGGTCTGTGTTCGTACTAGCTCACAATCACGAGAGTCGCGACTACAAGTTTTCCGAAGAATTTGGTCGGACCGTTGCCACTCTGAAGGATCAATACAGGGGTGAGTGTCGTAAAGCTGCGGGACGTGACAATGAACTTGCGGACTGGTCTCGTCTAGGACCTTTTGTGGCAGCCATGTATACGGTGACAGCGCAGGAGATGGAGGCAGCATTGGTTGAATGCCACACCACAAAAACTGTCGGAGGTCAAGAGGCCCCTGCACGAGCTATGGAACCCGAGCACATGCCACTGATATCCTTCCCATGGCTGTTCCCGAGTGAACTCGGAAAGATAGCCACTGGAGGCAAAGTACCTCGACAGCTGCCAACCGAGGTTACTCAAGGAGTTCCTCATCGCCACAAGAAGCATGTGGACGTGGCTTGTGGCTTTGAGGTTGAAGCTGCTACTGTTGAGACAGCTGCGGGCATTACTCATTACGGAGAGCTGTTGAATTTGGACTTCGGTGCAACAAAACCAGAAATTGGAGCTTCTACTATCGAGACAGACACAGGTGTCATGCGTCATGGAGAGCGGTTGAATTCCGACCTCGGTGCAACCAAACCAGAAATCGAAGCTGCTCCTATCAAGATATACACAGGCATTACGCGTCATGGAGAGCGGTTAAATTTCGACTTCAGTGCAACAAAACCAGTAATCGAAGCTGCTACTGTCAAGACAGACACGGGTGTTACATGTCATGGAGAGCGGTTGAAGTTGGACTTCGGTGCAACAAAACCAGAGATCGGAACAAACGAAGAGGATGTAGAGAAGAGGGGGAGCCATGGGATGGAGGAGGAGGGATATGGTTCACCGGAACCCGGTGTAGCCACAACACGATCTCTCTCTTCCTCCTCTTCCTCCCTGTCACGGCCCATCATGGGACCGTATACATGGAAGCGGAAACAATAAGAATGGAGTGGGACGAGGTGGAGCGAGGTGGAACGAAGTGACAAATTGACAAAATTGGTGGCTAGGTCGAGGTTTGTACATTATATCTGGGAGCCACAGCTTCCACACACATGGATGAAGGCATATTGAGGACTTGTTTTAGGAGTTTTGCGTTCATTGAAACGATTTGAGAAGTATGGTAGCCATTGACGGCTTCCGTACTTCAGATTCTGTTCATACCTGATGGATGAGGATCATGCGAGTATCATTCGACAAAACGGTAGATAAGTATTCAAAATCACAAAAAAAATAGAAAAAATAAAACATAAAACATAACCAGTGAACTGGAAAGTGCTCTAGGAAATGGTGTTATTAATAAAGGTCTGTCGAGTAAAACACTCGGCAAGATCTATCTATGCGAAGACACAACATGTGCAAGTGAAAAATCCGATACAGCAAAAGTGAAAAGATAAATGCCAATTCAAGCAGCGAAAATCAACTCAAACTTGAGTCGCAGCAAAAAGCGCGAAAAAACACGCACAGACACGTCGCCGTACCAAGCCATCCACTCATCCTCAGCATGCTGCAGCAACTCCTCCTCGGTCATCGCTCCGTTCTCATACTCGTCGAGCTTCTCCTCAACCGTGCGCTTAGCTTGCTCCTGCAACCGCTCGCCATTGATCGACTTCAGCACGCGAATTGCCACGATCGTAATGATGCCCTTGGAAGTCTGTCAGTTCCGAAACGTAAATGGATCGTTGCCGAAGTAAAGCTCCTGTGTCATCTCATAAGGGTCGTGGAGGCGGTGGTCCTCAGCACCAGGTTGGGTAAGCACAAGGTCCTCGAGGAAATCCTCCATAGTCTGCGTATTCATCGCCTGAGATATACGCTCGTGCTTGTAAAAAACTGCACCGGTAATCGACCGCGTGATTTCAGAGACCTGGTCTTGAAGGACTGGGTCGTGGGTGAGAGCCAAGCGTGCTGTTGTCAAGTCAGTGGAGAGGCACCAGACGAAGGTTTCAATGTGTTCACGTTGACTGGCTGGGGTGTCCGGGTTGGGGTCAAACCAAGGGGTCCGGCACAAGGGGCAGCAGGTGCCGTCTTCGGCGATGATCTTGACAATCCAGCACCAGCCGAAGGTATGGGTGCAGCCGGGGAGATTGACAATCTGGTAGGGTACATCAGGAACGCAGATGCGTGTGTCGACGGTGCCCCAGGGGGCCAAACAGATGCAGCACTCATTTGAATCCTCTGGGGGCTCGACGTGGGTGCGGACATGGTTCTTGATGAACTCCTCGCTGCTACGGGGGTTCGAGCAAGAGGCGCAACAAGGCAGCGCCGGCGCTGCTAGGGCGGTTTGATTTGTCGACATGGTTGATGTAGTGTAGTGTAGTGTAGTGTAGAGTTGTCGAGCTCTGGTTTGTTCCTGGGGAGAGAATCCCGGAGAACTGATATAGACGATATACTGTGTACGTACATTGTTATGTTGTGTGTGTGTAAGCCCACTATGTTTCAGTGTACAATGCCGTCTGTTAATTCACTTGGATATAGGAAAAAACAGCTTTGACCCTTAGTGAATGTTCCGTCGAGAGTTAGAGTCGAAGTCTACGGGCTGAGAGCAGGTCGGGCGAATTTGATCTGTCTCAAGGTCAATATGATGCTTTCACCCCTGCAGATACAGACACCCCCGTTCCCGCTTTTCTCCTCGGATCATGATGGTATTTGCAGAAGTGCGTCAATACCATGTGCTATTGGTAAATAGGTTTGGTGAGTGAGCGTGAGTCTGCGCACAGACGCTGGGATGGCATCGCGACTCTTATTGTTCTTGCGACAATAGAGTGAAGGAGAGTCGGGGTAGCGATATATAGATCGTTTGGGCGAAGCTTCGAAATTTCCCAAAGTCCAAAGTCTCTCATCTTTTTATATCCCTAAACCTTACCCCAAATACATCTCCATCATCATCGTCACGATGTCGGCCACGTCCGTCGCACCAAGAACAGACAGCGGCACTACCCCCGCAGAAGAAGCAGCTCTTGCACTCCTTGGACCAGAGCTTTGCGACGTTTACGTCAATGAGCAGCCTGGCATCGCGAGCGCATGCAAGATTCTTGACGACGACGCAGACAAGGCAATTGAGGTTCCGGCCGCTCCTCCAGCATCTCCAAAGACCTCGGTCGAAGAGAGTGCAGTAACCTCGCCGGTCATCAAATCATACACCCGCACATCCACATCACCTCTCTCTTCACCAATCACCTCCTCCTTTCCATCGGCAGTTTGCCCCTCCACTCCACCCTCTACTCCTCGTGCAAAGGCACAACCTCAGAGGCGTGTCACCTTCTCACCAGACATCGCACACCCCACCGGACGCCGATCCCGATCGTTCTGTCGCACATCAAGAGCGTACCTGAAGGGCCGGTACGCGCGCCCAGAGGGTAGTGAGTGGGTCGACATCAGCTTCAAGAATGGTGGTCTATACGTAGACGAGGATGAGGACGAAAAGGATGAAGAAGAAGAAGAAGACGGGGAGGAAGAGGGGGAGTCAGACTCAGAGACGGAGGAGGAGGAGGAGGAGGAGGAGGAGGAGGAGGAGGAGGAGGTGCGGCCGGCCATCTCACTCTTGCCGCCCTCGCTTCGCTGTCAAGGGCGCAAAGAGTTTGAGGAAGACGGAGAGGGGGAGGGGGAGAGGGTTGAGACGAAGAGGCGCTGTGCGCCGAACAGGACGAGACTGTGGTGCTAGGTGGCCGACACACAGGTGGATTTGGTATCAGAACAGGGCGGCGGAAGGGAGCATGAGAGAGTGAGGTTGGGATGATCCGTAGCGACCTAAACCATCATTATATATAGTGTTGGCGATCTGGTCACTCGCAATGTCTTTTTCCGTCGCTACAGATGCTGTGTCAGATATAGTGACGCAGAGGCAATGAATAGAACCGGTTAACTTTTGGAGATGGAGATGTAAAGGAACATGAGATGACAATCGAGATCTATCTACAGAACACTGCCTTATAGGTGAGATGTTTGCTGAGAACAGAGAAGCAAAAAGTAAACAAACTAATTGTACACAAGACGGAAGCTGACAGAAAACAACATTAAACATTCCAAAACATGTCTATTCAGAAAACGTAAGTGATGGATGTACCTAGACGGAGTTGCGAGGCTCTTCGACGGATGGTTCAACAGCGCTAACTTAGTGACGGTGGTCAGTGCGCAAGCCGTGGATCGCTACGCTACATCACTGAGGAGCCGCAACACAAGACCAAACACGCCACTTCCCCATCAGCACCTTTACCTCGCAAGCACCTGCTGCCAATCCGCTACCTCTGCTTCGTTCGCGAGCGACTTGATACCCCAGACACTTAAAAGAAGCACATCACGACCCCGCCACCATGTCTAGCGGAGAGGTGCTCAAGGCCGACAAGGACTTTACCAAGGAGGTCGATGTCGCCATTCCCGAGGCGGAGAAGCTAGCCTCTGTATGTTTGATGGATGCTGAGGCCGGAACAATAGCTAATATGGCTGTTTAGAGCAACCCGCAAGCTGGAATCGATAAGCTACTCACGCTTGAGAAGCAGACTCGTCAGGCTTCCGATCTTGCTTCGACATCCAGAGTCATAATCGCCATTGTCACAATAGCAAAGAATGCAAAGGATTGGAACTTGATGAACGAGCAGGTCCTGCTCCTCTCCAAGAAGCATGGTCAGCTCAAGCAGGCGACCACCAAGATGGTACAGACCGTTATGGGTTTCTTGGATGAGACGCCAAATCTCGAGACGAAGCTTTCCGTCATTGAGACTCTGCGCACAGTCACCGAGGGCAAGGTATGTGATACCGGACACACCATGCGTGAAGCTGCTGACATGCGTAGATCTTCGTCGAAGTTGAGCGCGCCCGAGTAACCCGTATACTCTCCAATATCAAGAAGGAGCAAGGCGACATTGATTCAGCGACTGATATTCTTTGCGAGCTTCAAGTCGAAACGTTTGGGTCCATGACGCGACGGGAGAAGACGGAGTTTATCCTACAACAAGTGGCGCTCTGCATACAGAAGGGTGATTGGACACAGGCCGGTATTCTGAGCAGGAAGATCAGCACACGGTACTTTGCGAGGAGACCAAAGAAGACGCCTGAGCAGCTTGCAAAGGACCAGAAGGAGCGTGAAGAGAAGGAGAAGACCCGAAGCGTCGATGACCCGCCCATCGAACCTGAAGACGACGTGACGGACCTGAAGCTCAAGTACTACGAGCAGCAAATTACTCTGGCCAAGCACGACAACAAGTACCTCGACGTTTGCAAGCACTACAGGCAAGTGCTGGACACTGAAGCTGTCGAGGAGGACCCTGACAAGCTTCGTGCGGTATGTTGATCATTAAGCGCATCATCTGGCTATCCTAACATATATGCAGATCCTCCAGCGCGTCATCTACTTCATCATCCTCGCACCCTACGACAACGAGCAGTCCGACCTCATCCACCGTATCCAGCGCGACTCGCGTAACTCCCAGATTCCACAAGACGCACAATTAGTCAAGCTATTCACGGTACCCGAGCTGATGAGGTGGCCCATGGTTGCGAAGCAGTTTGGCCCTCACCTCACCGAGACGGACGTCTTTGACGCGGAAAAGGACGACTCAGACGACCCCAAGGCATTCCAGAGGTGGCAGGATCTCCGAAAGCGTGTTATTGAGCACAACGTCCGCGTCGTCGCCAAGTACTACACACGCATCCAAATCCCGCGCTTGACCGAGCTGCTAGACCTTACCGAAGACGAGACGGAGAAGAACATTAGCGAATTGGTGTCCGCAAAGACCATCTACGCCAAGATCGACCGACCCGCGCGCATTGTCACATTTTCCAAGCCAAGGGATGCTGATGATGTGCTGAACGAGTGGAGCGGCAACATGAAGAGCCTGTTGGGTCTACTTGAGCGTGTTGACCATCTCATCACCAAAGAGGAGATGATGGCACGCATCCAGCTTACCAAGGTGGACAAGAGCAAGGCGGCCAAGAGTAAGGCGAAATAGGAATCGCGATGGCTCCCATGTACCAACAACCGCGAACGAAGTGGCGCCGTATCGGTTTCGATATGATAGCTTGGGGAATTGATGACGATACATGCAAAAGAATCATGACTAGTCTAGATATTGGTGAGCTAGGTGGCTCTGCGCGTTATGCGCATGTATAATAGATATTCAACCAAATCAGATGATATATCTTGTCTCGCTTTTCATACAATTTGACATGTCGACCGTTCTTCGCGCTAGCCCATGACGCAATGAGGCATCCCGAGCCGTTCGGTACCGTTCCGAAGTACAATCGCAAAACTTCCAACAACCTTCAATTTTCACACCACAAGTCGTCTTACCTCCTTACCTGCCCAATCTCATCCCCTGGAACCCTCTACAGCCGTATATGCGCCTTCGCCATCTCGTCGCCCTCGCCGACCCTCGCCTCTATACACTTAACAACCTGCGCATTCGCTCCCACTGGCGCACCATGGCCGCAGCACCACCCCCCAAGCGCCCAATCAAGATCCTCATGCTACACGGCTACACGCAATCCGGGCCCCTATTCCAAGCCAAAACCGGTGCCCTCCGAAAAACGCTCGTAAAAGCCTTCCCCGCAGGCATCGACCTCGTCTACCCCACAGCCCCCCACCGCCTCACACCAGCCGACGAGTCCTTCCTCGCGGGCAACGGAACGAGTAAAGACAGCGAAGGGGGAAAAGATGGCCCAGAGAAAGAACAAGAAATCGACGCCTGGGCATGGTGGCGACGTAAAGGCGACGGCGAACCCTTCACCTACGCAGGCATCGAACAAGGCCTCGCCCACGTCGCCAACGTCCTACGCACCCAAGGTCCATTCGACGGCGTAATAGGCTTCTCCCAAGGCGGCGCGCTTGCAGCAATGCTAGCCTCGCTCCTCGAACCCAACCGACGCGCTGCATTCGAAGCCCAATACCCCACCGGCGGCATGCAATACCCATCTTCTTTCGAGCACGACACGGGATACATTGAGGAGGCTATCCACGCGCCGCTGAAATTCGCAGTCGTGTATTCTGGTTTCGCGCCAGAAGGGGATGCGCATCCGTATCGTGCGTTTTATGAACCGAAGATTAAGACGCCTGTGTTGCATTTTCTAGGCAGCCAGGATGTTGTTGTTGAGGAGAAGAGGAGTTTGAGGCTGGTGGCGGCGTGTGAGAGGAGGGAGGAGAGGTATGTTGTATATCATCCTGGAGGACACTTTTTGCCGAGTACGCAGAAGGCGAGTGTGAATGCGCTAGTGGGGTTCGTGAAGGAGATTTTGGCTGAGGAGGAGGGGGATAAGGGGAAAGAGGAGGAGAGCGCGGCGGATATGGATGTGCCGTTTTAGAGGCGTTTGAGGGGTAGACTATAGACAGATGTAGATACGGTTCTCAGGTTTAGATGATTAGAATATTCACATATCAAGGATAGCGCAAAGCAGTGAAGTATTGAATCCTGTCATTCGTGCACTACGTGACAGATATGTATATAAACAAAACCAACGCCACCAGTCCCCCATCCATGTATACACAGCCATCTCCTTAGGAGTGTGTGTGTGTGAGCGAAAGTGTGTAACCCATCCAAAAACGCCAATATGAACACTGCCATCGTACAGTATCGTCCATCCATGTACACCGTCGAGACATGCCTCCAAAAAACAGACAAAGAAGTAAGAAGCAAGAAAGACCAAAAGTTATGCACAGAACATCGACCCACTCAGCCTTATTCCAACTGGCAATATTGGACTTTTCTCTCACGGGCGCCATCATCCTTGCGGGGAGGCAGCAAACACGATGAGATACTCCGACCCTCAAGCCCAACGATGGAAAATCGGGGTAGAGATAGGAAACGACATCAGCACCCACTCTTGACCTCCCCTTCTCTCTCTTCCTTGCGAAAAAAACACAGCACCATAAACCCCGAATCACAGACCGTAACCGACCCAATGCATATACATCATCCAGACTGCCTCCTCATCTAAAAAAGCCTCAACTTCTTCGGCGGCCCAAGCGCACTGTTAAAGAACGAACTCGACGCCTCCGCCGGCCTCTTCTTCGCCGTAGTATACGCATGCATCACGGGTTTCACCGCCGAAAATATCGGTTTCGATGGCGTGGTGGCATTGAGAAACAGCGGCTTCGAGGGCGTTTTAATTGCGGATCTGGCGAACAAAAACGAGGTCGACTTCTTGTTTGGAACGGTGCGGGGGGCAAGGGGACTTCTATCGTTGTCGAAAAAGGGGCCAACGTCGCAGTTTTCCTTGTCGTCGTCAAAGGAGCGGTCGAATTCGGAGCTGGTGGGTGTGCTGGGGATTTTACATTGCGAAGAGGGAGGCAGGGCGTAGCGCGAGGGGGTTTTGGCGGGGGTGAAGGGCTTCATTGTGGTGGTCGGAAGGGGAGAGGCAGGTTTGGCGATGGAGAGATCGACCAGGTAGGACTTCTCATCCATACGCTTCTTTTGCACTTCACTGTCTAGAACCCAACCGACGTTGACGCATTTGATGGCACCCTTGCTTGCAAGGCATTTCTCAAGGGTTGAGATGCTTCCGTCCTTGTAGAGGACGTGGCTCAGGGATGGGTGCGAGATGTCCTGGACTACCTTGGCACCGAGATCCTCGAGTAGACCGCGGAATAGGAAGTTTTGCTCCCTGCCGTTGCGTGTGACATCGACGTAGAAGACCATACCCTGGAGGATACCCTCAGTGAGGAAAAGGTCGCTCTCCTCGGCTTGGACATCGGTCCAAGCGACGGACTTCTTTGGTGTCTTCGTGTCCATGGCCTTTTGAGGCGATCGGAGAGCAGACTTCTTAGGTGACACAGGCTCGGGAGCAGAGAAAGAGGGGGCGAGCTTGAATGGTGCCAATTGCATGACCGGCTTCGTTTCATGCACAGGAGCCTCTACAACCGCCGCTTCGGCAACCTCGGTAAACTCGCTGACCTCCGTGACTTCGCTAATGTCGACAATCTCGCTAGTTTCCTCAAAGCCGAGGAACCTCCTAGGCGATGGTGTTTGCTTCTTGACCGATGCGGTGATCTCTTCCTGGATGGCAGCCTCAAGAGCCAGACTTGGTGTAGTGGGGTAGTTAGGTAACTCAGTAAGAGCGCGACGGGGAGTGATGGGGGCATTGATGTAAGCTGGGGTCTTTGGGTAACCAGGAAGCTCAGCCAATGCTGCCTTGGAGCTGACGGGAGCAGCGATGTGGGTTGGGGTACTTGGGTACTCCTCGGGAAGCTCTTCGAACGCTTCCTGGTCGGTGACGCCCCAGACGATCTGGGCCGGGGGAGTACCCAAGAGCTCGGTAGTCTCCTCTTCCTCAATAGTTTCTGGGTCGTAAGGTGTAGCCTGGACAGCTACCGGCGACTTTGCAGTAGGTGTGACAGAGACCTCAACAGGAGCCGGAACGTCCTTAGTGGGCTCTTCTTCCTCGATGGTAGACATCTCCACATCCTGGGGGCTCACTGACTCCGTAATTGGAGCGGCGACTGCCTGGATATGCGCGGGCGTCTTCGGATAGTCGGGCATCTCAGCTATGGCTTCCATGTTTGAGATGGGGGCCTTGATGTGAGCAGGTGTCTTGGGGTAATCGGGCATCTCGGCAATGGCTTCGATGCTTGAGATGGGGGCCTTGATGTGCGCAGGTGTCTTAGGGTAATCGGGCATTTCAGCCAAAGCCTCCCGTGATGAAATCGGCGCAACAATGTGTGTGGGTGTGTTGGGATAACTGGGAAGCTCAGCCAGTGCTTCCCCTGAGGACATTGGCGCAACGATATGTGATGGTGTGCTGGGGTAGTTGGGGAGCTCAGCCATGGCCGCTTGTGAGCTTATTGGCGCAGCAATATGTGAAGGTGTAGTTGGGTACGTAGGGTATTCTGCAAAGGGCTCCTCGACTTGCTCAGGCTCGGCTTTTGCGACAGGAGTGGCATCAACCTTCTTCGCTGGCTTCCGGGCTGGGGCCTTGAGCGGTGACTCTTGTGAGACGACAGGTGCATTGCGACCACGGGTAGCTCTTGCCGCAGCGATGGGTGCTGCTTCAGATGCCTTGGGTACTGCGGGCTTGCTCGCACGAGGCGCTGGCTTCGCTGGCTCGACAACAATAGTGTTTTGAACGGCGGGAGGCGCGGCTTTCTTGGTAGCAGTCTTGGTGACGGTGGCCTTTTTCGCAGGTGCTTTGCGCGTAGGCTTGGGTGCCTCCTCGACAGCTTCGGGCTCTTCGGCGATGACTGGCTCCTCGGTGACGGCCTCGACGGCTGGCTCAGCGACCTTGGGTGCAGGCGCCTTCTTTGTCGCGGCAATCTTGCGCATGCGAGTAGCTGCTGGCTTGGGTGCCTCTTCCACAACCTCGGGTTCTTCTACAGCAGGCTCGTCGGCCTTGCGACCGCGTGTGGCCCGCTTCGGCGCAACAGGTGCGGGTTCTGCTTTCGTCTGAACTTTTACAGTGCGCGTCGCCTTTGTCGCAACAGTCTTCTTGACCACGGCCGGCTCGACATGTTCAGGCTCAGCCTTGGTCTTGCGCTTCGCAGCTGTAGTCTTTGTGGGTTTGGTGGCGACAGGCGCAGGCGCATCGGCTTCCTCGGCGGCTGCCTTCTTCTTTCCACCGCGCTTGGGAGGGGCATTGAGTGTGCTGGAGGGTGCAGGTGCGACCTCTGGGGCATGTTTGGCACCGCGACGTGTAGCGACCATGATGTATATCGATGTTCGCTGATTCGGTGTTGTGTGTGTGGTTGTCGGATTGGGTGTGACAGAGGATGAGATCCAAGGTCGAATGTGGACGTGCCTTGTTGTGTTGTCAAAGCGCAAACTGCTACTAGCCTTATTGAGACGCCTGTTGTCCCAGCAACGTCAGCTTAGCGCACTAATAGCGGACCATCCCACACCGACACGGCAGTCTTGTGACGATCTGTGTTTGCAGACCGGTAAACAGTCCCTGAATCTATTCTGGTCTCTATCATATCTTATCATATCTAATCGTTGACTTCCGCGAGCCCCTCCGTAGCCCAGTCTGCTCGTATGACTTCCATGCCTACACCACATACTAGGACTCTCGCATGTGCCATATCGTTGCTCTCATCTAATACAGCCATGCTGGACACATCTGCGACGTTTGTCTTGATTTTTCTCAGCCGCCGTATCTGTAATGCATCCTTGGACTCCTCCGCGCTTTCCGGGGTGAGCTCCGATCCAGCCTCCTGGAGCGCGATTTCCCAGAGTCTAATCCATTCGTCGTTCCCAGATGTGATGAGATATATGCGAGATCGGTTTGTCACTATAGCGCATGCGGTGACAGCAGAGGCGTGTGCGCGATTTAGAAGTGTTGGCGGTGAAGCGTACGATGCGGCTGGCGACGTCGGTGCATGTGCAGGTGCAGGTCGTGCCAAGATGAATGCCAAACTACCATCATCCCCACCGGACACAATGAGAGTAGTATCAGGGCTGACAGAGTGAGATATCATCGCCTTTGATGAGTTCTGATGTATCCTCGCTGGATGTTGCCAAGTCAATTCGACCGTTGAGTCAGTCGCTGGTGGTAGGTGCCATATAACCGCGTGGCCATCTGTACCAGCGGTCAAAATCCTCGTTGCAGAAAGGAAGATACATTGTGACAAGCACGACGTAAAATACAGCCCCTTGAAAAGAGGCTGCCATTTGACAGCAGCGGCAGCATCGTAACGGTATACCTTGGCAGCGTCAGTTTCATACAGTCTGAAGTGGGGAAAGAACACCTTACCTTGATACTCGAGTCTGAAAATACCATGGCGATTACAAGTGCACTTCCGTTGAGGACGACATCGAAAGACATGATCCGCAAATCCGCATGCTCACTCTCTGGCATGTACACGTGTTCGCATACTACACCAATATCGAGAGGAGACGACAGTGACTTCCGGATCCGCCATATGTAGACTGTAAACAAGTCAGCAAAGAGTACCACGACTGCTAAGTCAAGTTCGTAGAAGATTTCAATGAGCCTTACACTCTTCACATCCGCCACTACTGCAAAGGTATTCTCCGTTTTCGGACCACTGAAGGTGCTGAATACCCGTAGTATGCCTCCGAAGTGTCCTCCGACAGGTGAGTTCTCCGTCAACATATTGGAAGATCTTGATATCGGTGTCCTCGGCGCCAGTAGCAATGAGGGGAATCTCAGACCCATGGTTGGATTTCGGTGAAACTGCAATCGCTTTCATCTCCCGACCGTGGCCTCCCGAGCGAATCACGGTATGGTTAGAGCCTTTCTGATTGGAAATATGCATGCTGGAGGCTCTGGTCCATACAAGAGTACCGCCCAACGATGAATGTGCACGGAATGTCCAACGCCTGTGAGCGCCTCCTGTATCGATGCTCATGATCTCCTCCTCGGCAGTGATATCGTAGAGGTACCATCTCTTGCTTGAGAAACCGTGTACAAGGAGGCGATTATCTTGGAAGTAAAGGCCTTCTATATTAGGTCCAAAGGGCAGGGAAAGGTCGTGAACGAGTTCAACTGAGCTGGTGGATAGGTCGATGTGGTGAACAGTCAGACGTCCATCTCGTCCAACCGAGAATAATTGACCTTCTGTTGATTTGTTCGGCGAGGCGACCCATGTAATCGAAGTAACGGTTTCGCCATTGTGTGCGTTTTCAACAACATTGGTCAATGTAGCCTGGCCTGTCCCCTCTTCGCTGTCGCAGATTTCGTATACTGCGATTGATCCGCGACGGAAACCAAGAATAGCAAAGTTTTGGCCAGCAGCCCCCACATGAGCCATACTCGTGATTGCAATCCCAGTCGAGGAATCGGATATCGGTACACTCACGACGCGCAACACGTTCGTGTCGCATGTCGGATCCAGGTACAGCATTTGCGCTTCGCCTTGTCCAACCAACGTAACAAGCAAAGCTGTTGTTTGCTGATCAGTAGTATCTGACACATTAGCGGCAAATATTTGTCCGACTTTCCCGCCAACGGTATGGATCTTTGTCAATGTTGTGGCGCTTTTACGATACATGTAGATGCTACCGTTTGCTCCGGCAGCAAACGCCACGCCAGCCTGGGGACCGCTCGTGCAGACAGAGTAACCCGAAAGATCATCCAGCTGGCCCAAAGACGTCGAGGTGGAGAGAAGACTAGATTGAGTCGAATCGACGCCGGAAAATAGGGCTCCAACGAGTACTTTTCCAGAGTTCGTGGTGACTAGAAAGGTAGTTTCGTCTATGAAGCAATAGCTTCTAAAGAATTCTGCTTTCTTGGAAGACTTATGATTGTCAAATGTCTTATCTTTCGCCAAACCAGTAGCAACAGACTGTGTCCATGACAATATGTCGTGGACGGTGTACTCGGAGATTGTATTGCCAGTGTTTTTCTGCACTTGCAGTGCACGGCCCAATGGAGTGGCAGTGATCTTACTATCAGCACCACCAGCAATGACCTGATGTACTCCTGTAGAGTTATTGGAAATGGTTGATGACCACATATTCTTTCCACTGTGGTGTGCAGAGCAGTCAAGTTCTTGCAGTTGGTATGGAAAGCTTTGGTTGTCTTTAGACTTTTGTGTGAGTTCCCACGTCCTTGCTGTGGCGTCTTCGCCTGCTGATTGCAATAGAAGCGATCCATTACATGGTGACGCTTCGAGGAAACGAACTGTCCAGACCCGGGAGAGATGGCCCCAACCAATGGCCAGACAATTTGAGCTGTTGAACTCTTCTGAATCAAAAGCCTCGTTGCTGAAGCCAGTATGACGGGTTCTCAAAGCTTCCAGATCGTCGCGCCCGGATTCAGGTTTCGTGGAATTAGTGTTTACATCAGATACATCCCAGATTCTTATAGTGCGGTCATCGCTGCAACTTGCAACTACCCGCTTCAGCTTTTGGCAACATTCGGTTGGGAGCTCTTCTGAGATCTGGACGCCAAAGATTGACCCTTCATGACCAAGAAAGACACGACAGATACGAGATGCAGGCTCATCCGGGTCTTCGTCCGACCATGACCAGTATATGATCTCACCAAACGCTGTACCAGCTGCAACTAAAACTCGGTTCAAGCCTTCCCAGAACAAGTGGGCTGAGTAAAGTATAGACCGAGAGCTTGAAGTCAAGTCGGAGATGGTTACATGAATAGCGCTATCACCAAGATGTTAGTGAACATTCTTAATCAGTCATCAACATGGGATGCGCACTTTTCTTGAGGAGTTGTGTCGGGGTTTTGGCTCTCGACTGTCACTTGCAGTAATGCATTATGGGCAGTGACAGCGACACACGTGCCTGTAGTATATTGTCTATCGTCTTCCAGTCTTTTGGGTCGAGGAGCAAGATCAAGAATCCAATCAGATGCTCTGGCGATGTTTGATACACACAAGTTCAACCCTTCTTGGCCATGTTCACCCGCAAGGTCAACGTCCAGACTCCGGACCAATTTCCCTCCCCAGATGACCAGTCTAGAGACATGGGCTTGATCCTGCGCAAGAACGCATATACCATGTATTGCTTGCGCTTTGAAGATGCGTACCGAAGACAAATATCGCGAGTCCTTGGCAAGATAAAAGCGTAGAAAGGGACCTTCTGCAGCAATCAGCAATGCGCCGCAGGCAGCCAGCGCCGTCACTGGTACACGAGTGCACTCATGCTAAGATGCATTAGCAAACATTCACTTTATACTCTACATGCACTTACATGCAGTGTGGGTGACATTGGCAAGTCAGAGTCACATGCAAGGCGGGAGTCCATGACAGAAATTTGGAGTTGGATCAGCCCCGCGCCGGCGTGGTGAAAGTGTGGCGGGGCAATGACGGAGCGTTCCTGCGATTTTTGTCTCCAGTCGCGCTACCACGATACTACGATACGCTTTGCCTGGATTCACCAAATATACTAGATTCCTTATACCGCCAGAATGTCTCTAGCCGGACCAGCAGGCATGCCCATTAACCCCGAGGAGACGGAGAACTTCGAGGACGTAGGTTGCGCTGCACAAGTTGGAAACAGCGAGACATGCTAACAGCTTCTGTAGATTGAGAAGCAATTCGCCGTTAAAGGTACGATGCATGTCGCGTGATGCGCAACGTATCTAACAAAATCGCGCAGTCGTCCAGCATATGGAAACATACTGGAAAATCCTCGAGAAAGTGCCCGGTACCAAGTTGCGACTCACCAAGATCGACGACGAAATCTACGAGCACCTTAAGAAAGACTTTCCCGAATTCGATGCGTCGGCCACATTAAACGAGGATGAGATGAAGAGCAAAGAAGGCAAGGAACGGTGGCGCAAGTTCATCGCCGAGTACGAAAAGAAAGTGGAGGACTACAACTTCGGCACAATGATACGCGCAAACCCCAAGGAGGAGTACAGCCAAGAGGGCACCATATTTGCCGTACGAATGCAGTTCTATGCCATCGAGATTGCACGGTAAGTTAGAATATCTGTAGTCAAGGCTCGATGCTGACTTTCGCAGGAACCGCGAAGGTTTAAACGACTGGATCTACGAAAAGGCCCAGGGCAAATAGACACTGCGTGGTGAATCTGAAATATATGAACAACAACCGATCCGACTTACAAGGGATGCCAATAGTTTTATGCATGTCAATGTCCGGGCCATATCTTGTCCCGCCGTGTGTGCCGCATGCAAGCAAGCTTGTGTTCTTTGTTCACAAGGGCTGAGCCGACCCGTGAACAGCCATCATGCAAGCCATCCGTTTGGCAACCAAAATAGAGCTTGCTGGAATGACAAAGTCATGGGGGTGTTTCTACAGTTTGTATCAATCTTTCTAAGCATCCCGTAACGATCACGATTATTACGATGGTCCTACATATTGTGTCGAAACTGTCAAATTTCATGTCCTCGCAAGACGTTCGGTCTTGCAACCTCAACTTCAACTGTTCGGCCAAGTAAATGCAAACATGGGGCGTTTGCCGAGATCGCCATTAGTGGCTGAGAGAACAATATTAAGGGCGAACAAAGTAAGCAATGAAAGCAGGTGTTGGGGATTATCAACCCTACGCATGTCGCCGCCACGTACTAGTCCCTATTGGGTAAGGTTCTATTTTCACGTTCACATCATATTGTCGCTACATCGTTTTCATGATAGTCATTTCCATAACCCCCAATTTTTCGTCGCAGTGCGGCATTCGAGCTGCCAACATGTCGACCACACCCGTTTCAAATGTCACGCTGGATCACGAAAAAACGGCAACCCAGGCCGATGATGAACGAGCATACATGTCCCAGGTGGGCTGGAAGGCGTTATTTGGCTTTACAACAAAACAGCATGTACCTGTAATACTCGGCGGCATTGCGGCTGCGTCTCTCGCTGCCCTCTCAATGCCCATATTTGCCATCATCTACGGTCTCATCTTTCGCGAATACACAAACTACGGCGCTGGCAACTCTGACAGTGAAAAGCTCATGAGTAGTGTTACCCGGTTTTGCATAATACTTGCTGGAATCACAACCGTAACTTGGCTCGCAAACAGTTTCTACTTTTTCTTCTTTCTTACATTTGGCGAGCTCCAAGCGAGAAGTGCTCGCAATATAATCTTCGATGCTCTAATGAGAAAGGACATGACATGGTTTGACATGAGAGAAGCGGGCATCGCTGCATTTCTTCCCACAGTTCAGATGTAAGTCATGGTCCGAGAACAACTGCTAATTGTATTGCTAAGCATCGATAGGCACATTCGCGATTTGCAGTTATCTGTATCATCGCCTTTCGGTGAGGCTTTTCAGGCCCTTGTTCAAGGATTTGCGGCACTCGGCGTAGCCTTCTACTACTCCTGGGACCTGACACTCGTCATCTTGTGCACTATCCCTCTACTATATTTGGTCCAATCATTGGTTTCGAATCGACTTTCTGTGCGAGCACGCGAACATGGCGAAAAGCTTGAATCTGCTTTGAAGTACATAACGACTGCATTATCAAGCATTGAGACAGTCAAGTGCTTCAATGGGGAGCGACACGAGCTTCAAGTTTTTACGATGATAGTCTCTGTCGCGGCAGGGCTGTACCGACGCGTCGCCAACCTCCGTTCCATACAAATCGGCATCATGCAGTTCTTCACCGTCAGCGTGTTCGTTCAGGGTTTCTGGTATGGCAGCCACATAATTGATACTGGGGCCAGTGATGCGGGCAAGGTTCTTACAACTTTTTGGGCAGCACTCATGGCGATGGCTGGCGTCACATCACTCATGCCCCAGCTAATCGTACTACAAAAGGGCAAGACGGCAGGCGGAAAACTAATGATGCTGATGAACCAAATATCGACAAGCGACTGCCAGCTCGAGTCACAAGGCCATAGAAAGCCTCCGCGACGTCCGGGCGACATTGAATTCAAACACGTAACCTTCTCATACCCTTCTCGAGCCGACGAAGTCGCAATACGCGACGCCTCACTTTTTATCCCAGCAGGAGAGACTACCTTTGTCATTGGAAAGAGCGGTTCGGGAAAGAGTACACTGGGTCAGCTTCTTGTTCGCTTCTATCAGCCGTCTTCAGGTCAGATACTTTTGGACGGTGTTCCACTTGAGGATTTGGACGTTCAGTGGCTTCGAAAAAATGTTACGCTCGTGGAGCAACACAGTATACTATTCAACGACACCATCCGACGGAATCTCGCACTGGGAAAGCTTGAGGACACAATTGACATGGACGACACAAGCAGTGCCGTAAAGTTTGCCATGTTGGAGTCAGTTGTGGAAGGGCTACCAGATGGCCTGGATACAGATCTTGGTATGGAAGGTAGCTCGTTGAGCGGTGGTCAGAAGCAAAGGATGGCTTTGGCTAGGGCAAAGATACGCAACTCGCCCGTATTGATTCTAGACGAGTCGACCAGTGCGCTTGACTATGTCACAAGAGCGGAAATACTGGAAGCCATACGAAAGTGGCGAAAGGGAAAAACAACAATCATCATCACCCACGACATCTCCCAGATCCAACCCACAGACTTCTTATACTTGATGGAAAACGCCCGGGTGGTGCAAGAGGGATACCGAAAAGAGCTGGAATCTCAAGATGGGGCTTTTCAAGTCTTTCTCGACTCGCACGAGGAGCCTGACGAGGACGGCGAGAATGATTCCGACGACTCATATGATAGAGACGATGCTGATGAGATTATATCGCTCTATGATGAGCCATGGACTGTTCAAAGACCTGCGATGCACCGTCCGATGTCTGCCATTCTCTTCGGACAGTCGGTTCTAGAACCCATTATTGGAAATCGTTTGTCTTATGCAAGGAATGCGCCGACAAATTTAGGCATCGATCTTGGAATATTGATGCATCAAGGTGAAGAAGAAAGGGGTCGACAGTCGGTGCGTAATTCCTTTGTAGTGGATCAAGATGCCCTCAAGGCACCGCCTGGTACTCCGGGATTGAAACAGCCTCCTGGCATTCCCACGTCTGCTCCAAGTACCTTTCCATCAAAAGAATATGGCTCAAGACCGAGCTCTCGCGCCTCGTCGCGTCTTTCAAACTCATACCCACAGCAGCGTCTGTCTTACTCAAAGGAAGAGTATGGCTCACGACCAGTTTCTATGCTGTCCAGTCGACCAGCCCCTCGCTACGGAGAACGTCCTCGATCTCTTGCGATCCGGGGCTCTTCATGCGTCCGTTCAGATGTTCCAAAAAAGCGCTCTGGCAAAGAAAATCTCTTGTCAAAAGCAAGCCTTCTACATCGTAGCCGTGCCAAGAAGGACGGCAATCCTACAGAATCTCTTCCCATGAAAGATATATTAATGTCTGTGTGGCCTGCCATAGATTGGAGATCGCGCCTTCTTCTCATCGGAGCGTTTTCCTGCGCGATCGTTCACTCTGCAGCTACACCTTTGTTCGCCTGGGTATTCGCAAAACTCCTTAACACCTTCTATGGATCAAGCACGAGGAACGAAGAATCCCGTAACTATGCACTGGCGATTTTGGGCATCGCTGCCGTCGATGGAATTGCAAGTTACCTCATGTTCTTCCTCTCCGACACGGTGGCACAGGCATGGGCTCTGTCACTCAAGACGGAAGCCATGCGTCGCATCCTCGTCCAACCACGCGAATTCTTCGACAAAGAGGAAAACAGCATGTCAAGACTGGCGGAGACATTGGATCACTTTGCTGAGGAAGCACGCAATCTACCTGGGCGTTTTGCGTGTGTGTTCGTGGTGATCATTGTAATGATACTGGTCTCAGCCACATGGAGCATGGTGATATCCTGGAAGCTGGCGCTTGTAGCTTTGGCTACGGGCCCGATACTCTTTGCCATTACAAAAGGCTACAACATGGTTAGCAGTCGGTGGGAGAGATTAGCAAACGAAGCAGACGACAAGGTTGGTGAGGTCCTTCACGAAACCTTCATCAATATCCGAACAGTCCGCTGTCTCGTATTGGAAGACCACTTCCGAAAGAAGTACAACGACGCAACAACAGAAGCCGTCAATGTCGGCATCAAACGAGCCTTGTACTCTGGTTCCATCTTCGGCCTCACCTTCACCGGCTCAATCTTCGTCGCCATACTCCTCTTCTGGTACGGCGGCCTGCTCATCGCCCGCAACGAATACACCGTCGACTCCGTCATGCAATGTTTCCTCGTCCTCATGCTCAGCGTAAACCACGTCAGCTACATGGCGCACTACTTCACCCAAATCAACATCTCCCGCGAAGCCGGAACCCGACTGCTCCGCCTAGCCAGACTCCCCACCGACTCCCACGAACTCCACGGAGCAGTTCAAATCCAATCTGCGGGCGATATAACCCTCAACAACGTAAACTTTTCATACCCTACACGTCCAGACGTACAGGTCCTCCACGACGTCTCCTTTTCCATCCCCCATGGTAGTTGCACCGCTATCGTCGGATCATCTGGATCAGGAAAATCAACAATCGCTTCCTTACTCCTCAAACTATACCAGACGAGCCCTTCACCCATCGATAACGGCAACGGCATGTTCATCTCCTCCCGCGACATCAAAACCCTACACACCACAACACTCCGCTCACACATAGCAATCGTCTCCCAAACACCCGTCCTCTTCCCTTGCACAATCGCCCAAAACATCGCCTACGGGCTCTCTCCCTCGCTCTTCGAGGCAAGCATGGAATGCATCCGCGCCGCGGCGGAAGCAGCAGGCGTAGCGGATTTCATCGACAGTTTACCACAGGGTTACAATACGCTTGTTGGCGAGGGTGGAACGGGGCTGTCTGGCGGTCAGTCACAGCGTCTTTCTATTGCGAGGGCGTTGGTAAGGGAGCCAGATGTGCTGGTGCTGGATGAGGCGACTAGTGCGCTTGATAGGGTGAGTGCGGGCGTGGTGAGGGATACGGTTCGTAGACTTGTTGCTCCTTCTTCTTCGTCTTCTGATAGGGCTGCTACGCCGCGCTCACCACCGTTGTCCCCCAGGTCAAGGGCCGGTGGCGTGTGGGATGAGTTCCGTCATGGTACTCCTCCTACAGCTGCTATACACGATGTCGACGGTAACGATAAAGACTGGGATGTCAAGGTTGTGAGAGAACAACAGAGACAGCAGCAGCAACGGCAAGGGAAACAGCCGCGCAAACAGATGACGGTGGTTATCATCACGCATGCGAGAGAGATGATGGCGATTGCGGAACATGTTGTTATGCTGGATAAAGGGAGGGTGGTTGAGGAAGGGGGGTTTGCAGAGCTGAAGAGGAGGAAGGGTGGGGCGTTTGGGCGGTTGTTGAGGGGGGAGAGGGAGTTGTGAGTTGTAGTTGTAATTCAGGATTTTATCTTAAGTGTTTGACCCCTTTGACTCAATGTTTATGTTTTGTGGCTCATGCGGTTTGGTGAGGTCAGTAAGAGCAACATTGAACATACTTGATTTAAAAGCAAAGACGCATGTATGTTATTTCTGTTACTCTGCAACTATAGATAAACTTGTGTAACCTAATGTTGTCCCCTTATATCGCATTCTGCTCCATCTTGTAGATACGGAAGTGACAGTAGTTACCAATGAAAAAGGAACAACAAAGCAAGAATTGAAGCTTGTTTTTCCGGCAACGCACTTCCCATAAAGTATGAGACGGTTCCAATTTTCCGTACAATTTGATCAAGGCGAGAAGAAATGAAGCAAAAACAATGTAAGAGAGAAGTGCTCTCAAAAAAAAGGTACCATGTACCCCTCAAGAGAGTGTTTGTGTGGGTGTATTGGTCGAGCCTGAACTAGCAGCCACAGATGTAGCGACCGCTGGGAGGTTGACCGAACGTGGACATATAGTAGGGCCACGCGGCTCCAACATACCAGTGCTCGGATTTCTGACCAGACGATTTCAGCTGTCAAGGACCTTTGAATGGTGCAGACTGTAGCATTACAGCGACTGTCCCGGCTCAAGCCTCTAATGTGCTGATTGATGCCGTTATGTCTCGATCATTCTTCAGCATTCCGCGTTCCGGTTCGGACGACCATGGTAGTTAAGAGTTTAATCAGTGCGTCTCTGTTGACGACGCTCATCACCGGATGCCTAATTCGGTTCCCACAACTTGCGTCGGTTGCCGCCGCGGACTGGGCCTACCTTAGGGGCAGGACGAGAGAACGAGTCGGGATCAAGAGGTGCGTTCGGGTCGTGACGAGGGACAGGCGGTGCTCGGAAAGCTGGGCCAGGGGGAACGTATGCACCGCGTGGTGCAAAGTTGCCACGGCCTCGGAAAGCTGGACCGCCACGACCTCGAGGGGCCATATGTCCACCATGTCCACCATGTCCACCATGTCCACCATGTCCACCATGTCCACCACGTCCACCGCGTACAGGCTGGTGCTGGTTCGTGCGTGCGAAGTCGTTCGGGTCGAAGACGCGCTGGTTGTTGGGAGTGGTAGCTGCCGGGCCTCGTGGGGCGCGCTTGAATAGCACTTCATCCTCATCGTCCGAGTTCTCCTCCTGCTTGATCTCATGCGCAGGGCTGGACTTGGGTCGTTCTACCGCTTTGGGTACGATCGGGGTGCTGGTCTTGGCGGCAGTCGCTTCCACCTCAATCTTGTGGATAGTCAGATGGTTCTTGTACTCGCGGTCTTCACGGGCAACAGCATCCCGAAGCTGCTCTAGGCGCTTTGCGCGGATGCCAAACTTTTGGGCGATCGCTTGCTTGGTAGGATCATTGGTGAGGAGAATGAAGGACTCCAGGGCTGTGTCGGGGTTTCCCTCTTGGTTGATGCGCCACAAGATGTGGTTGAAGAGAGGTTGGAAGTAGGTAGGCACAGCACCCTTGGCCGACTTGTCGGCACGGCCAATCTCGTTACTGTTGCGAGCGGTGCGGCTAGGAGACTCAGTCGTCATAGTAGGGGTTTCCGTTTGTGCGATTCCCTCGGCAGGCTTCGAGTACTTGCTCGAGAACGACTGTGGCGAACCGGGCGTCTTTGAAACATGCTCGAAGCTGTGCGTGGAGCTCATAGATGTCTCATCAGACATGTCGAGGGCGTTGAAGGAACTCTCGAGATCCTCGTGATAGCCATCATCGTCTGACTCGCTATCCTCCATGGAGAGCAGTGTCTCAGGTAGCAGGAACTGCTCTACTTCTGCCCATGTAGTGTATGCCTCGTCAACGCCTTCGAGCTGGACGCGGCTTGCGGCTTCGTTAGAGGTGACTTCGTCGAGCCACTTGACGGCTTCACGTGCATCGGCGTTGATGCGCTCGGTACCATTCTTGAGGCGATGGAGCTGAGTGAGTGCTTATCGCAATGTTAGTATGGGGGCTAGGAAGCTGCGATACTATAGCCTACTATGCAGCGGTACAAATAGGCGTATGGCGTCTTGCAAGATCCACTTGCGGATGCCATCGCGCGTGCTCTTCTTGACGCCAGCAATCAGAGCCGTGTCGTCAACGATGCAGTTGAATACCTTGCGCTTCGGCGGTTCGGGTGCACGCACGGCGACGTCAGGCTTGACAGGCCGCGACGGAAAGGTGCTGCGACGCATGATTGTCGGTTCGCCTCACAGTGGGCGTCGGTGGATGACTGCAATTCAATTTGGTGGCGTGCGCCGCTGTGGAAAGCGAAGGTTTCGGGTTGTGAGCGATGGGGCTCCGGCTTGAGCACGTCTAAGTGCGGGTTTGTTGGTCGCACTCGTCAGAGCAATCCCAAGGTATCGGCGCAGTGTTTCAGGGCGTGCGCATTCTATTTGCGCTGGGTCGTGGCAGCGCGGGAGCGGGTGGAGAGGTGAGCATGACGCAGAGCATCGTAGTCGCGGGTGTGACTGTGAGGTTGGGCAAGTGAAGTTCGGGCCCGCATCACCGAACCATTGATGAGGTGCTCACGCCAAGTGGGGGCGCAATACAAGCCACTGTGGCGCAGGTGTGAATGTACAGTAGATGATTAGTCTGGTGCTTTATACTGTGTGACCTTGGCGGCATGAGTTTAGGCATATATAAATGTACGCGTCTCACCGAAGCATCAAGGTGGCTGGTGTAGTCTTGTGGCCGTGCACTAATCGTTGATTACTTTCACTGATGGCTACCAGAGGCATGTCGCTGAATCTGTCAACCCTCCACATGCTCAGTAACTCTCCACTTCAACTTTGGCACTGCCCATGTCTGGCATCCATCCCTTGGGCCTCTCGTTGCCACGCACTGTGAGTCCATATAGTCCCTTTTCCACTTTGTCCACACACTCACGCATGACCGGCATCTTCTTTGTCTCCAGCTCAGACGCAAACTTGGACCCACCTTGTACATCAAACATCTCAAGCTGCAGGCGAATTGCTCTTAGGTCATCCAAGACGGTTCGTGGCTTTGGCGTCTCCGTCGTAGCAGGTGTTTGTTCGTCAATGTCCATCTTGTCCGCGTGCTCATCTTGGTCGTTATCTTGCTTGAGCCTCTTGTTTGAATCGACTGGCTTTCCAGCTGGGAGCTTTCCGCTAGTAGCCATGCTTGTGACCGAGAAGCGCATGAGCTCGCCAGTCATGTCGCAAACGCCTAGTATGTAGTCCTCTGGGGTGAAGGGAATCGGTCCAGCTTCACCGCTCATAGCAGCGATCCTTGACTTGACTTCGTCATAAGAAATGAGTGATTGCGTCTCCAGGTAGTGTTGGAAGCTGAGCGCCTCCATGAACTCTTGATTGCCGCCTGTGATGTTGTGCGAGTATCGATACGCGTTGAGACCTTGTACATCTGCAGCGATGTTCTTGTATCGATCTTCGATGATATCCCAGTATTCGGCATTCTTCTTGGCCACCCATGGAGGGAATGCTTGACCGACAGTGCGAACCCTAGTCAGGTTAGATGGTGTTGCGAATGGTGTCATTGGACTTATCACACCTTTGGAGGGTGAAGATGCTAGTAGCTGTTAGTATGTGACTGAGAATTTAATTGATGTATGTTACATCTTCTTGCTCGCCGCAGTGATGTCGCGTGATGCTTTGATGATGCGCTCTCGGCGATCGTGATGTTGATCCAGCTCTGAGCGGAAACCATCGAACATCGCCCCAAAGGCCGATGCCGATTGCTCAGGCTTCTCTTCCGCCATTGCTCCGTCTCTGGGTCTCTTAAGCCCCATTGATCTGGCTTGATCGTGTCTTATAGACGACGTCAAGCAAACGCAGCTATTGCCCGCTAGCACGTCCGCACGTGACACTAACCCACTTATGGACTAGCCTCTCTCGGCTGCTCTTACCTAGGTGAAGCACCTTCTACGAACCTGAGCTGCCATCCGGAGTCCCTCGGTTCTCCATTCATTCTTTCCGTCTGTACTTTTCTGTTCCTAGCGTCGTTTTGTGCACGCAGGTGTCTCGCATTCCTCCATGACAGCATGGCTCTTTCCTCCTTTTTCAGCAGTCCGCCCTTGGTCTTTACAACATCCATCATCCTCCGTGCCATCTTCCTCATCTATGGACTCTGGCAAGATGCAAATTCTCCGATGAAATATACGGATATCGACTATTATGTTTTCACCGATGCTGCGCGATACATCTCACGCGGCCAATCGCCTTACGCAAGAGACACGTATCGTTATACACCTCTCTTGGCATGGCTCATCTATCCTACAGTCTGGTCTGGCCCATTCTGGTTTTCTTTCGGGAAGATTCTGTTCGCTATTGGCGACGTAGCTGCCGGATGGATGATGTTCCGCATTTTGAAAGAGTACAAGAAGATGGATAATGAGCGGGCTTTGAAATTTGCTAGCATATGGCTGTTGAATCCAATGGTAGCTACCATCAGTACGAGAGGAAGCTCCGAAGGACTACTTGGTGTCTTTGTGACGGCTCTATTATGGGCCGTATTGGCGAAGCGCATACCACTCGCTGGTTTCCTATTGGGTTTTGCGGTACATTTCAAGATATACCCATTCATCTACGCTGTTTCCATTGTCTGGTTTCTCGACAACCCCAAGACCGGAACGCGCAAGTCAGCCGCTCTAGACACTACATCCGAACAGATCTGGTCCTTTCTGAACGCACAGAGAATTTATTTGGCCATCTACAGTCTCGTCACCTTCGCGGCTCTGAACATTGCCATGTACGCCATGTATGGATGGCCATTCCTCGAACACAGCTATTTCTACCATTTGATCCGTAGCGACCACCGCCACAACTTTTCGCCCTACAATACACTTCTTTATTATAATTCCTCGCCAGGGGACAAACCGGTTCACTATCCTGCTCCGGATCAACAAAGTGCGCCTTCATTCGACCTACCGCGTTTGGCATTTCTTCCGCAATTACTCCTCAGCGCTGTATTCATCCCACTTGTACTATCAAAGAAAGATCTACCAAGCACGATGCTAGCGCAGACTTTTGCGTTTGTCACTTTCAACAAAGTCTGCACAAGCCAGGTAATTCGTACGCCACCTCCATGTACCCCCCAAGCATGCTGATCTCCTACACAGTACTTCCTCTGGTACATGATGTTCCTCCCCTACTACCTCCCCGACTCGACGCTTCTACAACCAACCTCAATCGGCATCACAGCGCTCGTCTTCTGGATCGTCGGACAGGTAGCCTGGCTACAGCAAGGGTTCCAGCTGGAGTTCAATGGCATCTCCACCTTTCTACCAGGTCTGTGGTATTCTAGTCTGTTCTTCTTTTTGGTCAATACAGGTATTCTGGGTGTCATCATTCATGACACAAGAATAAAACAGGCGCACAGGATCGTTATACAGAAGAAGGAACGATAAGTTGGGGAATCTAAGGTGTATTGTAGATCATGTACTAGTTATATATATCAAAACTTCTCGTTATACAACAAGAGGTTCCGCGCAGGATACTAAATGACCCATCCGATGCATGAAAATGCAGCCTGAAATACTGCTGCTTATGAAAACACATCAAAGTAGACACGATATACATCGTCGTCTACTAGGCCACCATCCGTCCGTCATGCTTATCTTCGACTTCAACCTCAGCCTCAACCTTGACAGCAACAACCTCCCCGTCCACCTTCGTAACTACAGTCTCCTTAACCTCTTCATCATCCCTAACCCCAAACAAAACCCCATGCAACAACCCTCCCTCCTTCACTAAACACTCGCGACAACGAAACGACTCCCGGTCCTGGACGTCATACAGCAAAGCCTACAAGAAGCCAACGCGCTGCTCCGTCACCGTCGTCGCGGCAACCGTGGCAGAAGACATACACTCCCCCTCCCCACCCATCTCCGCAAAAAACGTCGTCCCCTCCACCGGCCACAGAGCATACAGTAAACGGTACGGGAACCCCGACTTAACCGTCTCAGTCTCAGTCATGTCTTTGCAATGCTCATTTGAATTGGAGATATCTAGGCAGAGGCAAGACGACCGAGCGGCTAGCGCCGGGATCGAAGGCTGGGAATGTGAGGGTTTCAAGCTCCGCCTGTCCATCGTCGTCGGCCTTAGCCTCCGCGTCATCAGTCTCGGTTTCGGCTTCGCCATATACAAGCCCCGCCCCTGATCCAAACGCTGGGAACGAATGCATATGAAAGGGTTGAAATGTGTCCAGTGGCTTGGATAAATCAATGACAGCGCGACCGAGAGGTTAGGATTTACGCGTAGACGAGGGAGAAGAGGTAGCAGCGGTGATGAAGAAAGGACGGGGGTGGGAGAAGTGTAGGAGAATGCGGGCGCGCCCGGGCGCGTGGCAACATGATTGAGTGGTGTGAGAAATGCATGTCATGTTGAGAAAGCTAAAATTGAACTCTCACCTGACTTACGAAGTAGATTTTGTTCAAGTGGGCAGGCTCAGTAAGGGGTTTCAGTAGCCGCGGGCTGGGGAGGCTGTTTAAGTGATTGTGAGCTGACACTTAGTGCGGCGGCGCTGGAGTGAAATGTAAATATGGGTGAAAGTTGGGTTCTTGGGCTTGTTCGGTAGTGAAATGACACTGTGATGCTATGTGACCATACAGCTTAGGTGAACAATAGGGACAGCGGCGTGAAAGAAGGATGGTCTGTTGGTATTCAACGCGTATAATTATGTGTTTATTATGGGTTCGACATAGTCTTGGTTTGCGACGCCATGACGAGGGGCTATTATAGGGTCGTGGAGGACTGGAGATTTTTAGATTCTGGAGCAATCAAGATTATAGAGTTCCAACGTAATAAGGCTAGAAATCTAGAAGTCATGCTGTCAAGGATAGGGATAACAAAGGTTTTCACGAAGTATTCTTCCACATACGACCATAGAACACTGAAAGCACGGCTTCCCGTCCGCTCAGCCCTAGTTAACCAGTGTATCGGCGGATTAGTAGTCAGGTGGGTGACCACTGGCGAATCCCCGCTGTTGTATGTTTTTTTTTGACTTTTGAGTTAAAGTTTTGGAACTACCGCATCCAAAAGTCCTCAAATGATTACATCAACGCAGCAAATTCGCGGTCAAAGAGAACCCCTAGCCTGCTGTCTCAAAAGTCATCTTAGACCAAAATAGCGGGCCCACATTGATTACCAAAACCTAACACCTTTCACAACTCGATGCAACGATTTAATTTTAATTATTTTGACCAGCAAAATTATTGATAGATGTAACAGGACATCTCGAATACATATATAAAAGTGCAAGTGCACAAACGCTTAGGTATTCAAGAATACTGCCGACAAAACAACTATAGACGTGATAATGCACTACGAAAAAGACCTCCGCACAGAAGAAGTATCTCAGCCAAATGTACACAGCGAAAACCGAAGAAGTGAAGAATGGTATATGACGTGTACGTAAGGAAAAGGTATCGTGGGGGTATCCAAAATTTTCCGCGCATGTGAAAAAGAACCTGAACATGCGCAAGACCGAATAGTTGACCGTCTCAAAAGTAAACAAGTCAAGAAAGGAAACGACGATGTGGCGTATATCCAAGATGAAAGCCCGAAAAGAAATGTAAACAAAGAAAAAGTAGACTGGGTTTCAGTCGACGTCCCACATGGGAGGTACCCATTCCTGTCCGGGGTAGCTAGTAGCTTTCATGGTCGGTTCATCATCATCGTCAGCCGGCAACTCAAATACCGGCCTACTATGACTGCCGCGTCTCTCCCAGCCAGGAGCACCTCCATTGGACGAACCGCCAACACTGCGAAGACTACCGACCTGCCCGCCACCGGAAACGCTGCGTTCAAGCTCCCTTGCTCTCGCCCTCGCAGCTTCTCGTTCCCGCCTTTCACGTTGACGAACCTCGCGTTGCTGTTGTTCGCGCTGCAGGCGTTGCATGTGTATGAGATTTTCTTGGCGGGAAAGCTGGAGGCGGAGTGAATCAGCGCCCATGTCTGCTTCTGTACGCTGGGGCGATGCAGCCATTGATGCTGGTTGCGGGTGTTGTAGAATCCCGATGGAAGCTTGGCGTCGTCGAGTGTCTGAGTGTCGGCGAGCCTCCATGTCCATGTCCGTTCTAATATTAGGCGGCCGAGGTACCTCCGGTCTATTTTTATCCAAACCGTCGTTGGTCACTCCAGGACCATCGTATGAAGGAGGGGCTTCCTCTGACACTTCCTCGTCATATTGCGGTATATTGTGGGGTGATTTTCTATACTTGTGATCTGGCGATGGGTGATTATAGATGTGCTGTTGCCCATTCATCAATGGCGACATCGTGTTGGGGAACGTAGGTCCCATAGGGCTATGTGGTATCTTCGGCGGTGGAGGCGGAGGTGGTAAGGTTGAATTCGAATTTACAGATCCGACTAGGATACTCGGGTCGGAGAACATAGGTGGTGGATGTTCTGGGTGCTGTGGGAATTCTCCAGGATGTACGGGCGTAGGCTGCACGGGCGTTGGAATACGACGAACTGTTAGAGACTCCCCACGGAGATTGGGCGACGACACTCGGGTTTGTGGCGAACTGCGAGGCAGCACCTCTTTGAATCCGCCACCATGTACTTGAACATGTGGAGGCGCAGATGTGGGCGTTAAAGGTCGTGGTGATGGCGACCCGGCGGCTCTCTCAGCTTGCTGCTGTTGTTGAGCAGTGAAACGCGCTTGCATATACTGATCTTGACGTGCTCGGACAATATCTTGTTCGGTAGTTCCTACTGGGAAGTTGAGATGCCATGGCCGATTTTGCTGATGCACTTCGGAAATGCTGCTCATTCTTGGCTTCTGGGCCCGTTGCCCTCCTGGTACCAGTGGATAACTCGGCATCCCGGGAGAGTTAGAGATCGGCGATACGACAGACACAGTACTGGCATCTGAATGCGTACGATGGTTCGGAGGGTGGGACCGTGCAGAAACCTGGGGTGAGATTGCTGGCATTCGAGGATCCGAATAATGCCGGCCGAACTCATCACGTGAGACATGCATTCCGGAATCATGCTGAGGTAGGTAAGGTCGATCCAAAGGAGACACAAAGGCACCAGACACGTGACTGTATGCAGCAGGTATTGGAGGCGCTTCATACCTGGGCTCTACTGTAGGAAAAGTAGCCGGTTGGGAGACAGGAACTTGATCTTCGTAAGAATCGCGGGAGCTTGGCCTAGAAGCATTGTTGTGAGTCGGTGGTGGAGAAGAATGCTGTCGCTGCATCTGATTCTGAGAGTCGCCGGTCAGTGGTACTTCACCACGTTCATATTGGGGCTGCCCCTGTTCTCGCTGCATCTGTTGCTGTTCTGCTAGTCTGGCTTGGTGGACTAAATAGTCCGGAGAGTTCTGATGTGAATGTTGCTGTGCTTGCTGTTGCATATGTCGAGAATCGCCGTAGACGCTCTGTCCTTGCCCACTTGGCTGCCTATGATGCGGTGGTTGGAACTGTTCCGTTCGTGACTCTCGATACGATTCTTGCTGGCGCAATAACCGCTGTTGTCTATCATGTTCTGCCTGTTGTCGTGCGGCTAGAGAAGCAGCGTAGGCACCCTGTTCATTGGATAATGGTTGCCTACCACGGTTCTCAGGAGCATCAGTCTGGCGGGACTGGAAATCCCTTTGTCTAGCTCGGTTTTCCACTTGCCGCTGTTTTGTTGCAAGAAATGCAGAAGCCTCTCCTGGATGCGCACTCGTCATTGACAGCTGGGGTGGCTGTGTCTGTTGCGACTGCTGCAGTGGCCTCTGTGCATACTGATTTTGAGCATTCTGCGTGGAGACATAGCCCGGCCCAACAGGTTGAACACTTTGTACAGTATGGGGTGGGAGTTGCCCAGGAGGGTAGTATGCCAGCCCAGACTGCGGTGGTTTGTGTGACTGTTGCTGAGACGCCCATTGAGGAGCTGGAACCACTGCTGGAGGCGCAGGGGAGCTCTGCCGAGCCTTTTGTGCTTTCTTGTCCTCTTTTGATAACTTGAACTTGGCAGTCAGTCCGTCACCCGCTGCAACGCCTCGACCAAATAGCGCACCTAGGCCAGAGAATCTTTTCTTTTTGTTGGTTTCCGGTGCTCCGGCTGTAAACGGTCGACGGGGCTGCGTGTCAGCGTGCGACGTCACGGAAGGTTGTTGGGACTCCACGCCATTGGGGAACGACTGTTGTACCATGCCTGGGCGAATGGGTGGCTCAAAAGATCTTGGCTGCTCTATCGTCCTATTCACAAAATCTTGGTTTTGATGTGGAAACCCATTGGTGTCTGACTGAAGGCCGTTGGATGTTGTCGGAAGTGACTTCATACCCGGATTAGACGTGTTACCCGAGGTTGAATGATCATTTGAACTTACTTGAGCCTTTGCGCCAAGACCCTTTAACATTGACGATAGCCCGGGCTTAGCTGAAGGTTTCTCCTGTTGTTGCAGGATTTCCTGGGCAGGCGGTTGGGCGGAAGGAGCCTGTGATTGAGGATTTTGTGCTTGCTGCTGCATCATCTGCTGATGAGACTCGTACTGATTCCTCGGTGCTTGGTCTCGTCCCAGATCCTGTGGGTAATCCATAGAACTCGATGGACCTGGCTGCCCTGAAGCTGTTCTTCGTCCCATGGCATTGTGCCAGCTTCGGTTCGAGATCGGGCCGTTCTCCTGCGGTTGTCCACTGATATCATGCCTATCAGACGGTCCTGGTCGGGAACTCGGTTCGCCATGCTGATGAGAAGGATTAAGATGTATGTTTTTGTTAATAGGGTCGATTGATTTGACAGCTCTAAGGATATTCTTGGGCTGGCCCGAGCCTGGCGTCGGTCTGGCATGGTTTGGCGATAGATCCATGTGTGTCGGTGGATTTGTGGAATATACCGTTTCTGATTGACGTGCAAAAGGGTGCTGCACGTGACTTTGAAGCCCATCGGGTACTTTCTCCTCGTTTGATCGATTGATTTGATCCTGGGGCTTGCCATCTTGGTCGTTAGCACCTGAGATGAAGCTCATTGGACGCTCAAAGCTGAATCTCGGTCGTTCCTCATCTCGTGGCTCTGGTGTAGGGCCTGTATTTGGCGTAGATGACTTGATTGGCTGTGGCTGCCCAGCTGAAGCGGACGCTTGAGAATGTGCAATCCGTAACGGCCGGCCACGGTCATCTCTCACATCTTTCACAACTCCATTGTGATCTGCGTAAAGATCATAATCGTCGTCTTGGCCGTTTGCCGGGTGGTGGGTATGCCACGTCGGACTCTCCTCTGGAATCTGTGCTGGAGCCATTGACGGCTTCATGGATGACTCGGGTTGCATTCGACGAATGGTAGACGGAGTGGATCTCCCCGTGGAGGCTTGAGAATACGGAGCGCTGCCCTCATCAGAAACCATGGCAGAGATCTGGGAGAGAATGGATCTCGATCTCTCTGGAGCGACCATGGCAGAGTTGGAGGCCTGCAGCTGTTGGGTCTGCAGTCTAAAGTCTGGATAACCAGCCTGATCCCGGAATTGGCCATTTGACATTGTGTTCTGGAAATTGTCGGCATGCGATTCTGTAGCCTTGGGCGTTCCGGGGCTACTTTGGACGATGCGCGGAACCTGCGCGGGAGGCGCGACGAGGCTGCTATCACCTCTCATCTCTGCCAGTCGCTCTGCACCGGCGTGCGATTGAACATCGATCTCAACGTGTTTCCATGATGCAGCAGAAGAATTGGCTTCGTCCCCTACTTGATGGATGGGCGACGCGGAGACGCGGCGCGTCTGCAAGGTGCCACTGTCAGCAGCAACACTGCCCCCCGCTCGACCAGGGTTAAGCGAAGTCTCGCCGTCCCGTTCGACCTGCTGGTGGGCTGGGGTTGTAATCTCGCCAAAACCCGTTGAGCCCAGCATATCCAGCACATCACCTGGATCTTCGATACTCCCTTTCAAAGATGAAATCGCCCGTGTCGGTAGAGATGCATGTTTCCGGGCAGCGTCTTTTACAGCCAATTTGCTCAGTTGCAAGTCACTTTTGGTGAACCAGACGAGACTGAGAGCGCGTTCTGCGTCCTTGTCCACTGTCGAGGCAATGCCATCACTGTCATCTTGTCTCGGCCCATGGTTGATCTTCAAGGCTTCACCGAACCCTGCTGCGAAAGGGGCTAGTACCGGGCTGATGCTGTCGGCCCTTTGCCCCGCGTCCAGCCCTGGTAACGTAGATATGTCTCTCCCACGTAGACGCTCGTCGTCGCTATCATTATCGCTTACATTCATGTACTCGTTGGTATACGTGTAGGGTGATTTACGTTCATATGTAGAAGCCGAAGGGGCATCGTGATGCAACTTTGGTGGTAGATCGTCATCATCATTTCTCGCCTCGTTTGGCGCCTCATCAGCAAATCCGAACAGGAAACCACTATCCCGAATATTCTCTTGTGCGCCTGATCCCGTATCCAATACTGGTGCATACTGAGGTATCTTGATGTCTCTAGTAATTGCTGATGGCGTTGAATGTCTACTAGGTACTGGAGGCGTCGCATACCGAATAACAGATTGCAGTATTCGATGGCTGGCACTATCCTGACTGGATCTGCGCCGGTAATGTCTGATCGCAACCTCATCCGGAATAGCAGGTACGGGAGGCACGTGCTGTTCCGCATCCTTATCCGGGTTTGAAAATGCACTTTTTGCCGGCGACGGCAGTATTCCCAAGCGTGATTCAGCCGAGTTGAGACGTTGCGGTGTAGTGGCACTGAAGTAGGAGTTCAATGCCGTCGGTGGCACACCCGGCACGTTATCCCAAGAATCTGGACCCTTGTGGAAGGAGTTTCCCCGATCATCACCCATCAAAAACTGATGAAGCTCGCGAGGCGGTGATGGCTTGGGCGTCGTGCCCAAAGCCAACGGGATATTGTTGGGCAATGCAACACTACTCGGTCTGCTCCTGGATCGACTAGCGCGGCGAAACTGCGTGGAGAAGGAGAAACGGCGCTTTTTCTTTTCCTCGCCTGGGCTTGCACTCTCTGTTTCCTTCTGCGTTGCTGAGCGCATCAACGTTGCCGCCAGCCCTGTCGGTGCTCTTGACCTCCTTACCACCAGTTCAGGTTCTTCGGAAACATTGCGAGAGGCAGGTGCCGACTCCGTTCGAGTATGCGAAGTAGCCTACATCAGGCATCACATCAGCTTTGCAATATGTAGTGGTGTGAAGTCGGACGACTTGTAATTTAGCCTTGAGATTACATTGAGATCGTTATGGAGCTACAAGCGAGGATACGGCCGTAAATTGGAAAAGAATGAAAACGCCCAAAGCAGGTCAAAACGCCACATTCGAATTCCATACGAGCCCGCCCTATCACACGCCGTAGTCCATCCGTCAGGAAAAGAGTCTTTGGAACAATCCTACACTGTGCCATACAAGAACAAAGAAATCATTTATCTACCTTTTCGCGGCCAAATCGGCTCTTGCCTTTAGCAAAAAAGCCCTTGGCGCTGGTCATGCCCTTCCCGCTCAGTACATTAGCAGTATGGAGCAGGTCCTTGCCCTTGAGTTGCATTTGCTGGTTGGCAATTCGTCCACCAAATCCTGAGCTAGATGGCGCGGCAGCAGCGGGAGAACTTGGGACAGGTGCGCTGGCGCTCGTATGCTGTTCAGCCCCCACATCGTTGCTACTAGAACCGGCGAGTTTTCCAAACAGAAGAGAACCAGTGTGTCTATGCCGTGTCGACGACGTAGGCACTCGCTGTATTGGGTAGGTCTGAGTGGCTAGCTCGGGGTGTGCTTCGAGAGTAGAAGCTAACCAGCTGCCAAGCCCATGATCAGCTGTCGCCCAGTAGTCGCGCGTCTTGTTGTAGGTTTCAATTCGCTCCGACGCTGAATTCAGTGTCGCAATCTCACGAGCGCCTAGAGGCTTGTCCGAGGTTGGCGACTTTGCCGAAACCTCCTGTGTCACGGTCGGCGTCTTGGGTGCTTCGAGAGGGGATACGTCCGCATGCTGTTCTGAAGGCTGTTGGGCTGGTGCTTCTGGCTGTTGTTTCTCAACAGGGCTGGACTCTTTGGACTGACGGTTATCCGCGCTAAGACGTGGAGGTATATCCACAGCTTCTTGATTGAATTCGGTATTGACAACGTGAAGACCGGGCGAGTGTGTCTCTTCTCGAGTGGGGCTGGGGACCACAGGTATGGGGTCTGCAGGCGGAGAAGGCGCCGGTCTGTTAGGTTCGTTGACAGGCTCAGGTCTGATGACTGCGAGCGCATGACCTGGCCCAAAGTATGAGTCGGGAATGCCTTCAGGATGTGACTCATGTTCCAGTTCTGGAGCTCGTTCCATCGTAGGTGAGGGAGTTTTGATATCCTGGGAGGACTTTGTTGGCTCAACCGTAGATGCATTCTGTGTTTGCTCGTCTGGCGCTTGAAGCCGCGGGTTGCTTACTTCCCAACTAAAGCGACTGTTTATGACCGGTTTCGTTGGTTCATCCGATTGCGGAAGAAAGGTGACAGTTGCTGCTGGTGATTCAACCTGGGCGTTGCGCTCGGCGTCCTGGAATGACTGCCGAGAAGCGCGATCTTCTGATGCCCAGTACGTTTCATACTCACTGGGTAGTATAGAACTCGCGCGGTTTGCCTCGGGGCTGGTTGCTTGGAGTGAGCTACGGCTCGGATCATTTGCCAGGGACTCTGAGGTCCCGAACGGACTGAGACTCGCAACAATTTCTTTCCGTAGACGATCACTTTCTTCATCCTCAGCTGTCGTCTCAGTGCTTAATTGAGGATCAAGAGTTGGCCGTTCCGGTTGGCTCTTGAAAGCTTCCGAAGGCTTGTCTTTCAATGGCGCAGGTGGTGGAAATTCAGACTCTGGCGTATCTTTTGCAGGAGGACTTGGCGGGGCACTTGGAGAAGAATTCAATGTGCGATAGCTGAGGGGCCTGGGTAAATATTTACTGCGTCTCTTCTCCTGTTGGTTGTCTGATGCGCTTTCATCTGCACCCACAGTTGTAGCTCCGGCGTCTTTGGGCGCAGAGATCGGGTCAGATGTTTCCGTCTCTTTGTTAGTGATTTCAACAACTGGTTGTTTGGGCGTTGTTGGAGTGAGGTCAGGCTTGTCGAGAGATGTCAGATCGTTACTCGAGCGGTTCAATCCTCGGTCCTGCTCTCCGTGCTCTGATGGTGTCATGGTCGTGGTGGCGTATGATTCCCACTGTCCAGGAAGATGGGGGCGAAACTCTTTAACAGGACTGCTGGGTTTGCTATGGCTAGCTTTCGTTGGTGAAGCTGAACGAGAGTTGTCACGACTTCGTTCCCACGATTGAACGCTGTTTCTTGAACGGATCGACTGTGTGGACCCACGTCTCGAAGAGGCGACCTCACCGAATTTGCCAGCTAATGCCTGTACACGACCTTTGCTTGGCGACTCTGAGCGATCGCGTGGTAGAACATCTTCAATGGGAGATTGCGCATTGTGCGAATCCAAAAAGGTATTCTGTGACTGACGCTCTGCTGCACCCAAATCGGAAGCTCCAGCATCGGAGCCCTTTCTTGCGGCACTTGCAATGTCCGCCTCACGGGCAGCATACGCAGCAGATGGGCCTTTGAGACCACCCTCCATTGCTTCAGACGAATCGTTGCTTTCTGTTGTAACCAAGGCGGATACTGGTTCCGGTACGCCTTTGCTGGGCGTCAAGACTGGTGACCGGGCCGGACTGTCGCCACGTGTCGGGGTAGCTAGACCACTGCGGGGGTTTGATGAGCTCGAGAAGTTGCGAGAGTGGCCAGGTGAGGGTTTTCGCGGAACGCGGTGCATAGGTTCAATGGCGATCGCGGACGTTGGCTGGGTAACAGGTGTCGTCGCCTCGCTAGGCTCTTCTGCAATTGCGGGTGTACTACCTTCGGCCTGGTTGCGGGCTTTCAGCGCTGATGTTGCAGAGCTGGGCACGCGACTCATGATTGGACTGATTCCAGAGGTACTACCAGTGTTGCTTCGCAACAAGTCTGAGCCCGAATCGTTTGATATGGGCGTTGGCGGAACCGAGCGCGACTCATCAGTGCGAGTGAATGCTTGATCAACAACAGAGCGCAAACCCTCGTCATCCTGCTGATGGGACGGTTGTTTGTCTGCGGGCAGAGATGTAGCATCAAAATCAGGTAAGTACTCGCTCTTGCGCTCTACAACTGTTTCCATGGGCTGCAGCGACTTGCCGTCGTCCTGGGTTGATGCTGCATCGTGGGGTAGCGGGGAAGTCAGAGAATCAATACTTGGTCGCCCTGAGTCCAACGATGCGCGTGCCTGTTCTTCCTGGTGGCGTTTGTAAATATCCGCTGGTCTAATAAAAGGCAGCGGCTTGTCAGTCTGGCTGCCTTTGCGTGATCGTGGAGAAGTAGCAATTGGGGACGCTCCTGCTCCTATGCTGCTTTTCCTTGGAGGGAATTGGGTATTGGCGTTTGCATTAAAGTCAGTAGGGACCTGTGAGATACGCGTCTGAAGCGGCGGTGGCAAGGCAGTCGGGCTGAAGTCGCTCCTGCTATCATCATCACGACCTTGGTTGTTACTACTGCTGCTTGCATGTCCCTGGGTGTCTACATGTAGCGGCGCATGTCCCGAATGCGCAGACGGTATAGTCGAAGAAAAGGCACGCTGTTCCTCTCCATGTTCAAAGGAATTCCTTCGGCCCCTGGGAAGAGGCGCCTGCTGAGAGGGATCGGTAAAGCTCCGCGACGGCTGCTCGGTGCGCTGTGCGTAGTATCGCTGTGCTGGTGTCTGGACCTGTTCTGGCTCCCGATTGACGCCATATTCGTCATATTCGTCATATTCACCCCAATCGTCGCCATCGTAGGCGTTCTTCTTTGCTTGCACCCATTTCTTGGTCTTGGCGCGATTAACATTGGTCTTGAAGGACACGGGTTGGCCGGAGGTGAAAGGAGAGGCGCTCCGGTCGCTAATTGTAGGGTCAGCCCACGGCAAACTACGTCAAGAAGTGCAACCTACAGCGGCGACCGGGCTTCTTCCTGGTTGAAGCGGAAGGGGCCAGACATGATGCAGTAGACTTGATGTGAGGGTTGGGTATGCGCACGACGACTCTATCACAGCGCTCCGCGGGACTAAGCCCAAATGCTGCTATATTCTACTGCGCATAAAAGAAAGAAGCAAAGAGCGGCTGTCGGCAGATGATATCTATGCGACAATGCTACTATCGGTAGTGCGCAGATGCAGCGACGAATGAGTTGGGTAGGAAGCGTGGCTGGAGTAAGCCGGGAGGGACGATTCGGCTTCAAGCTTCGCGGGAAGACAGACGTACGTCACCTGCTGCGCCTGTGAAAAGCACGACCCAATCGAGGACAAAGATGACACGACTAATCTACAGTGAGGATAGCGAAGACAGTGACAGAGTGAGAGGTGCAACAAATATGACGAGGTCTGAAGTATTGCACTTGTTTCTCCGCACGGCTTCGCGGCTAGGAAGACCAGCGCCACAGCTTTGTTCCGTCCCAAGGCACGTGTGGCGCCAAGTGTGGCGCAGGGCAGTCCTCAGCCTGAGACATGGGCCGCTCTGAGAACTAACCACGTTCCCCAATCCATTCACCCCGGCCGCGCTCCAACCCTTTTACACGAACATAATTTCACGTCTCGGCCTGAATCCCCCAGAAGCACAAAACACAACGCACGCCGACATAGATTTGCATATATCTGCATACGATTGACGCCGGATACCCGATAGACCCCGCTGTGAACAACGACGCGCGCTGCAATCGCATCACTGCCACGCCCCACGCCCCCCGGAACGGACAGATTTCCGCGTCACAACAACACACACACCCACATACATCACCACCATGGCCGTCTCGATACAGGATCGTACGGATGAGTTCCGGTCTATCCTCGCGCAGGCCCAACGGCGGCAGGCGCAGTCCAAGACGGGCGCACAACGGCAGTCGCTCCTCACGGCACAAGAGAAGACACAGGCGAGCGCTAGTCCCCAGCGTCAACGCTCAGAGTTCGCACGAAATGCTGCGGAAGTTGCGCGAGGTGTGGCAAGCACCATGCAGAAACTAGAGCGCCTCTCGCAACTTGCCAAGCGCAAGACGCTATTCGACGATCGGCCCGTCGAGTTCGATGAGCTCACCTTTGTCATCAAGCAGGACATGACTGCGCTGTCTGGTCAGGTACAGTCGCTGCAGCAGATGAACGCAAAGCAACATCCAAAGTCAAAGCCAGGTGTAGACCAGGAGGGAGAGCACAACAGCAATGTCGTCATACTGTTGAAAGACAAGCTGCAGAACGTGGGAACAAACTTCAAAGATGTGTTGGAGGTGCGCACCAAGAACATGCAGGCATCACGCTCGCGGACAGAGCAGTTTCTCTCGACCGCTGCCCAGCAATCTCACAGCAGCCTGGATCCTAGCCGTACCGACTCTCCGCTGTACCAGACACCCCAGCGAGGACGCTCACCAGGAGGATTCGGCAGAAACACAAACGCAGTGCAGCAGGATCTGCTCTCGCTCGAACCTTCAGGGCCCTCGGCGCTGACCCGTGGTGGTCCGCAATCAGACGCACAGCTGCTGCTCATGGAAGAGGCTCAGCCCCAGAACGCCTATATCCAACAGCGAGGACAGGCAATTGAGTCGATAGAATCGACCATTCAAGAACTGGGAGGTATCTTCAGCCAGCTCGCTCAGATGGTATCGGAGCAGGGCGAGCAGATCCAGCGCATAGACGCAAACACTGAGGATGTTGTGGACAATGTCGAGGGCGCCCAGCGTGAATTGATGAAGTACTGGAGTCGCGTTCAGGGCAACAGGTGGCTCGTTGCAAAGATGTTTGGTGTACTGATGATATGTACGTACCACCAGAACCTCCATCTCTTGACATGGTACTAACCCATTACAGTTTTCCTACTCTGGGTCCTTATTTCTGGTTAACCGCCACCCTTTTTCCTATGTAATCACCGCATGACTCGGCGTTTCGGGAGACTGGGAAGCATCTTTTACAAGCTCAGTTCCAGCATAGGTTTCTGGCAGAGCAATCGTTGCATAATGTGCTGCTGTACTTATTTATTTTCCCCACCCTGTATCCATATTTTTCGTTGGGTTTTTTTGTGTGTCTTTATTACCTATACAAGACTATACCTACACCTCATGAGCTAGCCTCGAGGCTTTTTTTTTTAGTAAACCCGTTATTTCCATCTTTCACATGCGAATGTAATGCCTTGGATGTGCTTTTAGGCGTCACAGTGTTGTCTCTACGTAGTTATCGTTAGGCATGTTAGCTGCGTACATACAACGTAGTCGTTTAGACCCGTATATACTGGTCCGCCAACTGCCACTGCGATAGTGTTTCACGTAAAGCGACGCCAAGCTTCTGAACAATCTATAAGAAATTGTCGATCCCAACTTCCTTTCTGCGGGAATCTCCAAGGGCGCATCATGTGACGTAATACGTAATCCCCCTAACGTCGCAAAGTCTCAGGTCTAGCAATCTGTGGTTTTCCTCCAGCTCTCTGTAGAACAGTCTTGGTGTATATCACGAAGCAGTGAGTCGTTAGTGTTTGCTGTAGTTATTCAATTCCAATTAGATTTCGATACGACTTGTCCCAGATGCCAACACGTACCCCGAGTAGGTCGGAGTAGTCACGGCTGTAAGCCGGTGTATTGAATTTTCTTCCTCCGATTTCCAGAGCATCCAGAATACTCTGAAGGATGGTTACTGTTACAAAATAGGAACAAGACAAAACTGAAGAGTTCGGTCTTGTAACGACATATTGGCGATGGGAAAGCTATTCACACACATCTCATCTGTATGCGTCTCCTTTTACTTCGAAGTCACTGATACTTGGGTTATCTGCCCACATTACTCAGGACACTGCAAGGTATCTCAGCCCGCGTGGGTCCGTCCAACAACCGGTTTGAGTCTCGATATGTTGTATGGCATAATGATATGATAGATGACGGGTTGTTACTCGTAGACTCCGCAACAATCAATTCAATCCGGTCACTCTCCTAGACCCACTTACCTATCTAGGTAGGGCTTAAACTCCTATAGGTAACTACTAGGCTTAAAGCGGTAATCAATCAATCCAATCTGAACCTTCTAGGACCCACTTAATTGATTGTTGCGGACTGTGGTTACTCGGCCGATTCATGGTGATCCCACCAACTGTCAGCGCGCATATCGATGAAAGCCATTGCCCGATGCTCGGATGTCCCCAAAATCTGATGTCCCGAGCAGATCTTAGGGGGTGTATCGTATTTTACGGCAACATCTGTGTGGTATATAATGGGTGTTGATCGCCCACTCTGCTCCCCAATCATTCCTCACCTTCCATCGTATCCTGATCACCCATAGCATATAAGAAAAACTCTCCTCGACTCGATCACACCTCTTCCTCTTTCCTCTCAACCCATACCAGGTGCGTTTTACAGTGTCTGATAATACTAAACTTGGCTCATGAATAAATAGACCCAAAGCGCAATGGTGAACCTCAAGACCATGGTTATTACCGCCCTGCTTGCGCTCTCCGTCCACGGGCTTGATCTCAATCCTATCGGCAAAATCCCCAATGAAGAAAGTAAGAGTTGCGGAGAGTGTGCTGATAATGGAGTACATGTAAGGATATCTCAACGTTTCAATCCAAAAGATTCGAGCTAACAACGTCTCTAGTGTACTGGAAAGTCTGCGTGCTGGAAAGTCTACGGTCAATATACCTGCCAAGGGAGCGGCGATTGTGTCTAGAAGCAGCTGAAAGAGGAGGGCGTTGCGGCGATGGTGAGAGGTGTGTGTTGTGTAGATGAGAGAATCAATGAGATCAGGGGCGCGGCAGTTGAGTCAGATGTGTTGTTGCCAGAGTAATTGTTTAAGGGGAATGGGAATCCGTGATACAGCTAGGCAGTGTCAAAATCAACTTACCATTTGCTTTCACGAAGACTTACCAACGGCCTGTTACCTATCGTGAGTAGCCCAAACTCGAGTAGAGCAACAAATCCGTCTTGATTGGAACATCAAGGGCTACTGCAAGAAGAATCCGCTTCTGACAATGTGGGTGCTACGGATGACGATGACTAGAGCAAATGTAAGGCTGAGCAACTGCTTGCCCAAGATCTTCACGTCGCTATTGTGCGAGCGGATCAACTTAAAGGCTGATCAAGGCTAGTCTTGACTTTGGCAAGTTTGCAAGCACTGCCCGGAACAGCTTTTGGACGTAGTGGAGTCTGTAGTTATTCTTACGTGCATCTTGGCTGCATATGTACGTTGTACATATCGCTTAGGCCCGTAATAACTACCGCCCGCACGGCCACGAAACTAGGAACGGTGCCTTGATATACCTTGACGTTGACAAATGTTTCCAAACAGGTACGAGTAGGTTTAGGAGCGAGGCGATGACATAAAGTCTATTTGTCCGCAAGGTGCTCCTTGTCCCGGTCCGAGCTTAGCTGAAGATCGGTTTGGTGGTCGACTATGGAACGGTAGCAGGCCGCGTCGTTTCCCGTGTCGAGACGGCTGCTTGATGAAGCTAGGCTATTGACTGTGTCACCACCGTCGCGGAGATATCATCAGCAATGCAAGGGCCTTCCCGGCGTAAGCTGCCCAGTCTCTGGAAACAAGACTGGGTGAAAGTGCAATGGGGGAACAAGTGGCTGCGGGACCGCGACCGAAGGTTTGGTCTGAAATCCAACGGTGCAGTCGGGCGGCGCCACAGGCCGAGTATTACAGATGACAGACGCGGTAGGTTGATATAGATGTGTACTAGGTGCCGCTTTAGGCCGGCGATGGCCTTGTTGGCGATTTAAGATCGCCAACACATTTGCCCCATGAGAGCCAGGCAATGGAGGATGTGCGACATGACGACAAGGACGACGTAACGTCAGTCGGAGATTTGCGTCGGTTTCACTGGGGCAGGGTGCAAACAGCGGTGGATGCTGAGGAGTAGAGGCATGTTTCGAAGCCATGGTGCAGTCTCCGCTGACGCAATCAAGAGCTAGCAGAGGAAGGTCGTAAACACATTGGCATGGGCGAATGGTATCGCGTTCAAGCACAAGAGTTCGGATGCTTGCAAGCCTCGACGAGCAGATGATCAAAAAGTAGGCCTGGCGAGGAGTGGGCTGGCTAGTGCCTCCTTCCTAATGTCTTGAACCCCCACACGCACGTCTAGACGCCTCGACTCCTGATCCGCCATTGCAATTGCTCTGCTGCACCTCTCCGCTGGCCGCCCAAACTTGTGTGTTGGCGATCACAGCTCCCACCGACACACTTTGCTGTCGGTCTCTGCCGGAGTAGACACGACGTGCACCGCCCGCATGTCTCGGTAGGCCAGCTTCCTGCCATCACCATCGCCCAGATGCATGCGCGCTCCGGCGCAATGCCAGACCAGAAATGGGACCCGCCCACCGCCCTCAGCACGGCGCCCATCTTCGACGATGCCGTCTATCTTGCCGAAGCGCTGCATCTGCCCGTCAATGAGACTGAGGATCAGCTCGACGCCGAATTAGTGCTGCTTGCTAGTGAATCTGGCATCGCCGACCCTTATCGCTTCGTGCCGGCCCCAAAGACCATTGCTCGCGCCATTTCGTCCATGACGTTGGACAGCGATGAGAGGAGCTCAAAATCCATACATTCGCACGAAACCCAGTCCACCACCCTCACTTCTGCGCCTTCTCGTACTTCCAGAGACCACCTCTATCCTAGCGACCGCCTTTCGGCAAAGATGCTCACTCGATCACTTTCACGCTCACGTCCGACACGGTCGGTGGAGAAGCACCAGCAAGCCACTCCATGTCCTGGGCCTGGTATCGGGTCAGTGCAATGTTCGCCTCTGTCCGCCTCGCCTTCTGCCGTTTCCCTCCCGACAGCCCAACGGCAGCCGCGACCACGCAAAAAGCGTGGCTCGGCCATTTTCAACATCTTCCGCAAAGATACAAGGTTTGTTGTAGCCAGTAGGCTACCATCATGTCTCACCAGGGATGACAGTAATGCTTGCACCGCCAACGTCACACACCACCGACACCATAGAGACGCAAAGCTAGAATGTGGCCATTCCTTGTCTGCGTACAATGTCCGCGGACATATGCTGGAAGCGACAAACGGTGGCGCTAAGAGCGCCACACATCTTGTGCCAAATTGCTGCGGAAACCCATTACCACCGTCTGTGTTGGAGATTGTTCTCACAAAGGAGACGGACATCTCTGAAAAGGACGAAGGCCCGTCGCCGGCCACGTCCACGTTCCGCGACTCTGGCTATTGCGAAGCTGGAATACCAGCAATAGGGCTGCCAAATCTGACCAAAGGCGATATTGTAGCAGACAACCTGCCATCTAAGCGTACCAGGCATGCGCCAATCAACATCGAAGCAGCATTAGCAAACGAAGCTTTCAAGAGCTTCAAGACGCAGCAGACGGAGCAATTCGAACATGTATCAAGCTTTGAGTGCACTCAGCGAAAGGCACTGGAGGCACACCATCAGACCACGCTGCAGCGGTTGAAGGTCCGGCACGATGTCACAAAAGAAGAACTGATTGAGCAGGTATGTATCTAGGCTAGACATGCACGTTACCCCCGTCTGACGAGTTGTAGCACACCGAGGATCTTGAACGCTTAGAAGAACGCCAGCTTCTTGCCGAACACGACATGATCAAAGCGCACGCCCAAGAGACACAGAACGTATGCACGGCGCTAAAGTACATCGAGGCTTATTGCGTGGGCACAAGAGAGGAGCAAGACCGCACACACACCGTGTCGGAGGACGACTTGAAGAAGCTAGAGCGGCAAAAAGCAACACAACGAGAACTTCCAAGGAAGCATGCGAGTGCAATCAACGTACTACGTGCAAGGCAAGAGGTGGATATGGAGCGAAGGTTGGAAGCACAGGAAGCCGAGCTGGAGCAACTGGATGCCGACTATGAAAAGGAGGTTTCAGCAAAAGAAGCGGAATACAAGAAAGAGTCGGAAAGACTTGAGGGACTCATTGCAACACGAAGAAAGAGGTTGTTGCAGAGATGGGACCTAAGGTTCGAGATGTGGCGCAAGGGCTGGGAGGAGCAAAACAACACGACACTGGATGCAAAGCTCGAACATGAGACCTGGCCGCCTCGCAAAGCCGATCACGCCATCACCATTTCCGATGCTAGTGCCTTGTACCAGTACCTCGAAGCCGCGGTATCAGCCGCCTGATTGCGCCCTTCATTTGCGCCGTATTTCTACGCCTGTAGACGCGTTGCCGTATTTTCGTCATCTTCATTCATCCTCGTCTTACAGCGTGGCGTTTTCCAGGCTATGGACGGCGAAACGGCATTTGTTTGCATTGAAGGCAATTTCGTTGTGTGTGCGTGTGTGTGTTGGACTTTATATACCCCTCGTTGCGTCACTCTAGAGCTTGATTTTATCGTCTTGCTGTATTTCCTTTCCCCCCTTGTTGTACTTGTGCGAGAAGAAGATGATGACGAATGATGCTGATTAGCAACATGAACATGTATATCCATCCCCCCCTTTCTGTATTGGAAATAATAACATATTTCTCATGTATCTAGTTGGATTGAAGATGGGGTCTAGATGTGCAATGATGACTGTCCTGCTGATGATCTCGCTGTCCGGCTGTATGTGATGTGACGTGAGATGACATGGCTTGTACCCTCTTTCGCCTCAAAGAACAAATTTAGCATTCAATGTGTACATTATTTGAAATAACTCCAAGCTTTCTGTCATTCTTACTACAAGGTTAAACAGCTAGGTACGTTATTTGAAATATGAGTAGCTTAGAGTTTACTTAGCTCTAACCTACATTTCTCCAGGGCGCATTCTCTGGTACATGCACGTCATTTAATCCAATCTGCCACTAGCTTGCCCCCATTACCTACCCATACACAGCCTCCAGCTTTATCTCAGGAGGGGCCCAGGCGGACGGCCGCACTTTAGCTTAGCTCTGCCCTCCTGCTTGCCGGCCGGCACGATTCCTTCCAAGCTTGCCCCTCCTCAGCCTGCTCCTTCCTTGCCCCACCTCTACCGGCATCTCTCCCATGCATGCGTGTATCCATCCTTTCTCGCCCCACCCCACCTTACCAACTGCATCATCTTCTCGCCCTATGCAAGCTACCCTACATTTCCTACACACTTATGCAAGAAACGGGGCCAAAACAAGTCCAGTCCAGTCTAGTCCAGTACAGAATTTATGCACACACCCACACACACACACTTCCATCGGAGAATAATGACAATTTCCAATTCCCTCTTCCCACCAAACTAGACCGTAACCGTAACCGCACGCGCCCCGCTTCTCCCCGCACATACAGGTTGCAGGGCACAGGGCAGGGCAGGAAGGGGTAACTACAGTACGCTAGCTAGCACTAGGCTGTGTATGGCAGGATTCTGTGGGTGCAGCAGGTGAGGAACGCATGTTTGCTAACATCCATGGCTTGGCTTTTTTCTTCTTTTGTGGGGTGTTTGGGAGAACTGGCCGGATTGGGTAAGTTGGGTATGTGGGTGTGTATTTTGGAGCTTATGGAGTGGAGTTTGTCATGGGTTGTATTGGGTATTTGTATTTCAGGTTAGGGGTATCTATGTGTGCTACTGCTATTTGCTACTTGGTACTTTTGTGTGAAATGAAATTGTCCGTCGTTAGTCATTGCTACGTTAATAATCGTTTTTGTCTTCTCCCTGTGCCCATCATCGTTTACTGCTGTCGCTACTACTTCCACCACTGCTACTGCAGCGAAGGAACATCCTTAGCGAAGGATAGGGTCGCTGTTGTACTGCTCAACCGGCGCAAGCATGTCCCAGTGAACACCACCGTGAGGATCTACAGGCGGAGGCAAGTTGCCCAACCCCATCTGCATATCCAACTCCGCTTGTTCGTTGAGCAGCGAAAGATGATCGAATTGCTGGTCGAAGAAGCAATGTGGGAGATCCGAACTCTTCGTATCAGGATAAGGCAATGTGGGCGCACCTTCTGTAAAGTACGGGGCGGGCGTCTCCGGCATGCTAGGCGTAGCAGAGTCGAACATGTTCATTGAATCGTCGAAGCCACCAATCCAGAACTGTCCTCCGCTGACAGCGTCTCTCTCTTGAATCAGCTCTTCTACCTCGTCCTCGGGAATGTTGTGCTCTGCGCGCAAGTGACGGCGTAGATCGCGGTCCATGTAGAAACGGTACTCGCATGTCTTGACCAGACAAGGTACGTCGCGGCCTTGCTCGTAGCCCACACCGGTAAGCATAGTAAGCATGGATGGCTCTGGCTTCTTCTTCGATTTGGCGGCCTTTCGGAGTTCCTTGCGGTTACCAAGGCCAAGGTGATGTGTCCGGACATGTTGGTCGAGGGATGACTTGGCTTTGAACGAAGCACCGCATGCGTTTTCTCCGTTCCAGGCCTTGAGATCTGCGTGTTTCGAGTTCTGGAGAGCGTTCGATGTACAAGAGTACCTGAACTGCTTGTCGTGAACAGTCTGGATGTGTACGCTGAGGTTGTGCTTGCGATTGAAGATACTGTCGCAGCCTAGTCTTGGGCAAGGGTACTGTGGTTGGTTTTGCGGATCGCCGTGCACGTTGTCAAAGTGCGTCTTGAGTGTGGATGCGCTCTTGAACTGTTGGCCACACTGGGCGCATACAGGTGGGTGACATTCGGTTGTGTGCGCTTCAAGCTCTTCTTTTGTCGCGAAAGATGGTGGATTGAAGGTATCGTCAGACTCGGTCGCTGCCGTTTTCGCCTCGTTATTGGCGGCCATGCACAGCATGCAAAAGTGACCCTGCTCTCGAGTATCAACATGCGCCCTTTCCATGTGGCGTCGCAAGGCACCCTCGGTTTGGAACCCGCTTGTGCACTTCTCGCCTGTTTCTTCATCCACATGAGCGCAAGCGTACGGCTTGATCTCTAGATGCTGACTCTTGACATGCGCCTCCAGCGCCTTTGCCTTCCTAAAAGCTTCATTGCATGGTGGGTATTCAGTGCAGTAGAACTTGGATCCGTGAACGTCCCGATGCCTCTGTAGCCGTCCATTGGAGGTGAAACTCTTCCCACACCCGTTCCAGTCGCATACGAAGGTTCGCTCGGTGGCCGGGTCGCTATGGGCATTCTTGAGGTGACGTTGCAGGTGGTCTTTGCGCGGAAACGTCTTGTCGCATCCCGGTTCGACACAGGCAAATGGGCGCTCCTTGTTGTGACTTCGCATATGCGTTTCGAGGCGACACGGTCTGTTGAAGCGCTGGGCACACGTAGGGCAAACATAGTTCCATTGGCGTCGGGCCTCGCTCTCCGCCCTCAGGGTCCCATTGTCCGTGTAATTGACCTTGTAGTCGCCAGAATCGTCCGAAGCGTAGTCGGGGTCAGGTGTCTTGACCTCCGCAGCACCTCCGAGAATGTTAGCTCATATAGACGTCTAGTATACAGAGTGAGCTAACCTGTACGAAGCTTCTTTGGTGGCAAGTAAACCGAATCTTCAGTAACTCTGCGCTTTGGTGCCATGGCAGTGCTAGTAATGTTGAAGTGTCTAGTAAAGGCGTCTCTTCAACGCGGAGAGTACTGACCAAATTCCAAGACCCACTGTATTTTCATGCGCCAAGAGTTCTCGGGCTAGCTGGTTAGTGTCGGCCCCGACCCCTGCGCTTTCTGATCGCGAACTTTCTTTGACCGTCGCATTAGGCACAACACGACGCAGCATCATCCTTCACGCGCATACTCGTAACTTACTCGCACCTGTACCTTTATACTCACACATTCTACGCGATAATGTCTGACTACGGCGGCGACGACTACGGCGGTGATGCTGGGGACATGTATGTCGACGCACCACGTCCGCCCTTTCTCTTTGACTAGGCGCATTACCTAGGGAAACGGCAGGATATGTTTGAGCACCATCTAACCTTTACAGGGGGGATGACCATGCCATCGACTTTGACGAGGAAGCGGAACCCGATCTGATGGACGACGAAGACGACCAGCCCGGCGGCGGCGAAGACCCAGACAATGCCGACCCCAATGACGACAATGTAGTAGTGTCAGGCGATGCCAACGCGGCAGCTGCAGCCAAAGAAGCCTCCAAGAATACAGTTACAAGTGAAAAGGACAAGAGAGTTCCCAACGAGAAGCGCACAACCACGCCATACATGACCAAGTACGAAAAGGCGCGTGTGCTGGGTACAAGGGCACTTCAAATCAGGTATGCTGCCAGCTTATCGAAGCTAGAGGCACCGAAAGGGCTAACATATCCGCAGTGGTAACGCTCCGGTGCTGATCGACGTAGAGGGTATGACGGATCCCCTCCAGATTGCTGCCAAAGAATTGCAGGAGAAGAAGATTCCCCTGGTTGTACGGCGCTACCTTCCTGATGGCTTTTACGAGGACTGGACTTGCGAAGAGCTTCTGACTTAGACATAAGTGGCTTGATTGCATTGGCTTGGAGTTTTATTTGGTGCTAAAACATGGGACATGGGCGAAAGGAGTCTGTGAGGTGGTTGTGCAATTATATCCTCCGAATCTCACCCGATTTCCGTAAAGTCCAAGTCTTCTCCGCTGCATATGCGGATCCGCGGATAAGATTCCCAGAATGAGCCAAAAGTTAGAGAAAGGTGGGGTAGCTTGATAGCTATTCATCCCCGCACTAGTTTCAGGCACAACGTCACTCAATGCGACAGCTTACAAAACTTCTAAACGCCCCGCGACTGCCGTCTGCATTCCGAAATCCTACTACACGTTTGTTCCCTTACACCACATTGTCCACCATGTCTTTCGAAACCACTGGCACCATCGCCTCCTTTGGGGGCAAGCTTCTCAAGCTGAAGCACAAGTCCTCGAGCACAAACACAGACATGGAGCTCAACATGTTCCTACCGCCACAAGCACTAAAGTCCGGTGCCAAGGTGCCAGTTCTGTTCTACCTGTCTGGTCTCACATGTACTGGAAACAATTGCTCAGAGAAGGGTTTCTTCCAGCACGGTGCTGCTCAGCATGGCATTGCCGTTGTATACCCCGATACTTCGCCGAGTGCGTTTTCACCATAATACAGTACCGAGTGCCAAACTAACCCACCGTCTAGGGGGTCTCCAGATCGAAGGCGAGGACGACGCATACGACTTTGGTTCTGGCGCAGGTTTCTACGTTGATGCGACCAAGGAGCCATGGTCGAAGGGCTACAACATGTACTCTTACATTACCAAGGAACTCCCCGAGGCATTATTCTCATCTTTCAAGGAGCTCGACTCTAGCAAAGTCAGCATAACAGGCCACAGTATGGGCGGTCACGGCGCTTTGACTTTGGTACGTCTCCTGACTGATGGCGCATTAGTGATACTAACGGTCGCTGCTAGTTTCTCAAGAACCCTGGCATGTACAAGTCCGTTTCAGCATTCGCGCCCATTGCCAACCCGATCAACTGCCCATGGGGCCAGAAAGCATTCAAGGGATACTTTGGAGAGGACCAACAGCAAAAGTGGAAAGAGCATGATGCAACAGAGCTCGTGAAGCAATGGAAGGGACCATTGGAAATGCTCATTGATGTGGTAGGTACACGCCAGTGGTAGGTTCAGGATACTACTAACAGAGCTAGGGCACTGGAGACAACTTTTACAAGCAAGGCCAGCTTCTTCCCGAGAACTTTGTCCAAGCAGCCAAGGAAGCTGGCAACGACAAGGGCATTCAGCTCCGCATGCAGCCCGACTACGATCACAGCTACTACTTCATGGCCACTTTTGCCGATGACCATGTTGCGTGGGCGGCGAAGCACTTGGGTGCTTAGTAAGTGGGGCAGCCCTTCTGCAGCATCAATATGCTCACTACTACAGAAGCCATGCGGAACCTAGAGAAAAATTATAGAGAAACAATCAAACTTACTATCAAACATGATTGGAAATTCGTCGCAATCACTTGAGCGTTTTTTTCCTGCATTGTACTGCATGAGTAGTGGCATTTTGAGCGGGTTTAGCGGTATGAAGCTGCAACTTCAAAGTAAATAGGAACGAAGAAATGAACGGACCATGTACGTCCAAATGACCACATGGGTTTCCACATCGGGTCGTGATAGTAAAAGTAATCAGATCGGCCACATATTTCGGTGCGCACGTGTCACTCGGAAGAAATTGGGCGCGCGACATCCCACCACAACGAAACTTGGCGCTGCCACTCCAGTCGCTGCACAGCTGCATTCGCTCACCACGCCCCGACAAAGACGCAGCCTTGTTCTTTCTTTTTTGCAGAGAAGAAGCTAGCGCTGCAGACACGGAAACAAAGCTCGTAGCCTCTTTCCTGTCCCAAATCAGGCCTTGCACACGCCGTACGTTAGCCCCTCGTGCCCCGCCTCTGCCTTCACCGCTGTAACGCTTTCACGATGCAGTCTTTCGCACCTTGGTCAATGACTCGGTAGCGCACCTGTCAAACTACATACTTCTCCCAAATAAGTCCGATGCGCACTTCGTAGCCTGAACCACACCGACTGTCGACCTGTGACTCAACTCTGACTGTCCAACATCAAGAATTTGGGTGAAATGGAGAGCCAGGTATGCGGGATTCTAGCTCTTTTCCCACGTGAATGTTTGCTATGATACTGACAGGTCTGCTTCCAAGGTCGAAAATGCCATCGAAATCGCGGCGAACCCGACTTCGAGCCAGGAACTGCGCGGCCAGGCCATAGAATACTTGAACCAGCTCCGAGCAGAAGGCTCTGCATGGCAAGCCGCCCTCACCCTCTTCACACGCGATCCTCATGCTACCGACTTCGTCCGTCATACCTCACTCGATCTCGTCAACAATGCCATCCAGGAACATCGGCTGGATGAGCAGAGCCTTGGGTATATCAAGGACACGCTCATGAGCCATATCCGCCAGTCTTACATGCCCGGCAGCGGAGCCGCAGATACCAGTCACATCCAGAACAAGCTGATGCAGACTGTCACTTATCTCTTTGTAGCATTATATCCTTCTTCATGGCAGTCCTTCTTCGACGATTTCCGCGCCCTGGCTGGCGATCAAGCCACCATCGGCAGTGTCAACATGGCTACGACATTCCTATACCTTCGCATGCTCGTTCAAGTCCACGACGAGATTGCCGATCAGTTGGTAGCGCGGCCAGAGGACGAGAAGAAGCGGAACACAGAGTTGAAGGATCTCATCCGACAGCGAGACGCGCAGAAGATCGCATTATCCTGGCAGGAGATTCTCGCAAAGTGGCGGGAGACAGACCTGGGGCTCGTGGAAATGTGTCTGAGGACCATCGGACGCTGGGTTAGCTGGACAGATATCAACTTGATTGTGAACCAAGCCATGATCACCACCTTCCTAGAAATGGCGGGCCAACAAGGAATCGGTGACCCTGAGAGCGCTGCTGGAAAGGTGCGCGATGCAGCCATCGATACCTTTTCGGAAATTGTGGGCAAGAAGATGAGTCCGTCGGACAAGATTGGGCTCATCACCTTCCTCAATCTCTCGGAAGTCGTTGGCCAACTGATTACCAGCCCGGCTTTGGCTGAGTTCCACAGTCCAAACTACGACAATGATCTCGCAGAGACAGTTGCGAAGCTTGTTAACAACATCGTCTTCGACATTGTGAAGATTCTGGAAAACGAGTCCGTCGAAGAACACATCCGGCAACGTGCAGACGACCTCATCCGCATTTTCACTCCGTACCTCCTGCGGTTCTTCGCCGATCAATACGACGAGGTCTGCTCTACCGTCATTCCGTCGCTTACTGACCTCCTCACGTTTCTCCGTAAACTCCAGAAGAAGTCAGGATCGATACCTCCCCAGTACGCCGCTGTATTACCGCCTGTCTTGGATGCCATCATCGCAAAGATGAAATATGACGAAACAGCCACGTGGGGCGAAGAAGGCGACCAAACGGATGAAGCAGAGTTCCTTGATCTACGTAGGCGTCTCCATGTCCTGCAACAAACAGTTACCGCCATCGACGAACCCTACTACATAGAGACACTTAGCCGCGTGGTCAACGGAACTTTTGGACGCTTCGCACAAGGCGACCAGACGCTAAATTGGCGCGACCTCGAACTGGCTCTGTATGAAATGTTCTTGTTCGGAGAACTAGCTATCCGGAACCAAGGACTATACGCAAAGCGCGAGCCATCGTCTGCAGCTGCTCAGCAGCTTGTTGCCATGATGAATAGCATGATCGATTCCGGCCTTGCAAATAACCCACATCCAGCTATCCAGCTGCAGTACATGGAGATTTGTGTTCGATATTACCAGTTCTTCGAGCAGAACCCCAATCTCATCCCCAAAGTTCTGGAGAACTTTGTCAACCTTACCCACAGTAATCACGTCAAAGTCCGCTCAAGATCCTGGTACCTCTTCCAACGACTTGTGAAGCACTTGCGAGCACAACTAGGCAACGTCTCCTATGACATCATTCAGGCGGTTGGGGATTTGCTTACTATCAAGGCTGAATTGCCTGATACATCAGAGGACGAGATGTCTTCTGACGAAGAAGATCAATCTGCAGATGCAATCTTCAACTCGCAGCTATTTCTCTTCGAGGCAGTTGGCTGCATTGCCTCGTCTAGTACAGTCTCGATAGAGAACAAGAAGCTCTACGCACAGACGATCATGAGTCCGCTATTCACAGATATGGAGCAGACCTTACCCCAAGCGCGGAACGGCGATGAGCGGGCTATACTTCAGATCCATCACATCATCATGGCTTTGGGTACCCTAGCTCGCGGCTATTCTGACTGGGTTCCTTCAAACAACAATAGTGCTGTACCACACAGTGAGGTGGCTGATGAATTTGTCAAAGCTTCCGAAGCCATTCTCGTCGCTGTTGATTCCCTCAACTCCTCTGGCTCAATTCGTCACGCAGCACGATTTGCTTTCTCGCGTATGATTGCTGTCCTGGGCTCGCGCCTACTACAACAACTACCCTCGTGGATTGAGGGATTACTGTCACTCAGCTCATCTATGGACGAGATCAGTACATTCCTCAAGGTCCTTGGTCAGGTCATATTCACCTTTAAGTCGGAAATCGCTGGCATCTTGGACACCGTTATGAGTCCGGTCTTGCAGCGAATCTTCACGGCATTAGCAGTCATTCCTTCGGGCACAGACGATGAGATTCAGCTTGCTGAACTCGCCGGGAGTATCTAAACTTCATTGTTGTTGTTCTGAACCATGGTCTAGGGTCTGTGCTTGTCAGTAATGGTAAGACAAATTTCGCAACATACGAGAGTGATAGTGCTAATATGTCCTAGCCAACCAATCCAGTTTTGAACCTGTCATCGCTTCGATTGAGACATTTGCTCGCGATACACATGATTACCCCACCGCACGACTCGCCATCTTCGTGCTCATTCGCATGATCTCGGTTTGGGGAGGACCCGACAAGGTTGGACCAGGTGCAAACAATGCACCCACGTCTAATGAAGCAACACAGCCACCCCTGCCCGGCTTCGAAAACTACGTGGTAGAAAGATTTTCTCCCTTGGCCTGGTCCATCCCGGCATCGGCTGGTTTTAACTCCAAAGACGCCCAGGCAAAACAAGTCTTGTATGAGGCTGCCAACCTACAGCATGAGATTATCAAGAAAGTCGGTGAATCTTACATTGAACGTCTCAAAACTGATCTCGGCGGTATGGGAGTTGGTGACGATGGTGTGGAACAGTACTTGCGCACTCTTGCTGGCTCATTCGAAGGGCCAAAGAAGGAGAAGGAATGGCGTAACTTTTACACCCAGTTTGTGGATCGCATGCTTGCATCTAGGGCTTAGATGGCTCTAGACGTTAGTTGGGGTTCAGGGAGGATAAACGAGATGGGTATTCATCAAGGAATATGGCGTCACAATCCTTAACCTTGTAGGTAGCATCGATTTGCATTGTAGCGGGCGCCAAAAGGATTGGGATTGAGTTTGCGTTTTTCATGATAACCCCCCAATAGTTAGTGTGCTATTACAGTAGACTTTGAATGTAAAGATACAATATCATGTCTCTCTAATTGGTAAGACTTGGAGTCATTGCGTGTGACTTACTGATAGCCTGAACAGTCTTTTCTTGATACACACTCTTAGGTGCCTCATCAACTTCTAAATACTACAAATAGCGAGACATGGGTCGCATACTTGATGGCGAAGTGAGTCTTCTTCTTTCATTGTATCCTGATAGCAGAGGAATCTCTTATTCTATAACCTCGATGCTCGCATCCATGATTGACATCTTATTCTACCCTTCGTCACTTTCTTTGCTCAAGTGCCCATCACTTTAGGCTGTGTCAAACAAGGTCAATTTACTTACAATCGATGAGTAGGAAGTCAGCAAATTTCAACATAATACCTCTCTTCGATAGTGCTTCCCCAAAGCTCCTTCCTTTCCACTGGCCATGACCGTATCTTACAGACGGACTGTGCGTGTACCTTGTCTACCCAGCCAATCAAGCAACCCATATTAAGTACTCGAGCTTCTTGGCCGTTTGTCATGACATGTTCCGGGGAAACGAAAGCAATTCCGACGAACACGCCATACTGTGGATGCCTACGTCATTGTTTGTGTTGCTACACTGCGAGCGCTCCCTCTCTCTCTCAAGTGTATAGCAAACGCGCTTGTGAAATTATCACTATTCACTGCACACTCATCACGCGCAACATATGGTTTGAATTAACGCAATCTTAGGGGCAGGCATAACAAAATCGCCCGAGCGCCAACCAGGTTGCACTCACCTCACGTTCACCTCACCCACCTTCGCCCCAACCATACCCAATACTACACCGACGAAACCACTCACAGCTATCATGGCGGGCTGCAAAGAGCTTTCCCCTTACAGTCTAGATGCAGAGCTGAATGCTGATAGCTCCAAAGAGAATTGCTTCGTTCTTGACGTTGGTCATGACAAAGATGGTGATTGCGTCAGTTCCGCAGTGCAAGTCGCCGAAGTTGTCGAGGACTTTCGTTTCAACGCGATTGACACGTCATCCCCTATCACCAAGTTATACATTGTCGGCGAGTGGCACCCAGTGTTGTGTAAGGGCAAGGGCCGTGCGACAGAGAAAGACGTGCACGTCGAGTACGAGGACTCGAAGTACTCCAAGTTGGAGAAAGAGCATCGCGCGGCTGGCGAGGCAATTGCGAAGCTCGTCGAACATATGCCTGCTCTCAAGGAACTGACGTAAGTTCAATTTTTCCAATTGTCAATTCTTTCACTAATATGTACAAGTTGGATCTCTGGCTTGCCCTTCATGCCCGTCGTTTGGGAGAAGCTTCCCACTTCACTCACGAAGCTCGTCCTCGACCTTGGTCAGCCTATGAAGGTTCATCACGACGTACAACATGAGAAAGTGATCGAGTACAACTCCTACATCACTGCAAATGAGATGAAGCCCCTGGCTTGCCAAACTCAGCTCAAAGAGCTTCGCTTGTTGCGTATACAAGACTCTATGCAGTCAGTCGTATGGGAGACTATCTTCAGGAACAAGTCTGAGGACAACATGCGCGTTGCGGATCTTCAGATGGCTGCTGCTCCGCTCGTACGCACGAAGCATTGGCACAAGGCTGAGGATGTTGTGGGTTTGACAGTTCCCAAGGGAGACTTCAAAGAGAAGGAATACAAGTAAGCCATTGCGCGTAGAACTCTCTAATAGTCTCATTAACATATTACAGGGGTATTGAAGGCAAGGGTCAGCTGCACTACTCGTTCGGCACCGGCGAATATCTTGATGACTTCTGCATGCGCAAGGCACGTCTTGCTGCAGCCTTAGATGAGTCTATACCGCTACCTCTCTGGTAAGTGACGTCCAGACTTACTTGAAACATGTCTGACTTGTCATGTCAGGTCCCTCAAGCTAGACGGCTTCGTTGTTGACTATCTTCCCTTCGAGCATGAACTCTCCCGCATCGTCTTGCTCACTTGCGGACCCAATTGCATCGACAGTGGCCTTCGCGCACCCAAGACACCGCGCAGCCCCCTCAACAAGTGGAGTAAGATAGTCAATAATGCCGTGTCACACTGCTTGATCCAATGGCCAAACTGGACCGGCGTCTTCGACGACAGAGGCGATCAGCGTGACGCCGAAGGAGACATTGTACCGCAAGAGGTTGGCCTATCAACCCCAGCTCTAGATATGCTATTCTCGCCCGTGCGTCTGACTAAGGAGTCCCTCCAGATAAAGGAGTTGAGGGACGCACTCGACGCTTTCAAGGCACAAGAAGAAGAGTCACCAATGAGTCTTGGTACTTCACTTGGTGTAGGCCCTTCAACCAGCGTGGCGTCAACGCGCGGATCTGACCTTCATGGCTCCGACCTGCCCACCCCCGTCGGCGAACAGGCTGATAGAAGCTCACCTAAGTCGTCTGAGTTCGATACATCTTCACCTTGTGGCGCCAGCCTGATCCTCGTCGACAGCACCACCACGGTGGAGTCGGTTCTTTCCAACGATAGCGGCTTCGACGAGGCGACTCCCGTGGACGTCGACGGTGTTGCTGATGACGTCAGCAAGCATGCCGCTGATGGCTTGAAGCACGAGGTAAGACGATCCATGGAGCAGTTGTCCGGTTCTAGCTTTTAGTGCTTCTTTCTCTTGATTTCTGCAATGAAATCTTCCAGCATGATAGATCGGGGAGGTATTCAAGGGTACGCATCAAGGAGGATGCATGTAGTATAGAGAGACAAAAGTGATATGTTTCCACAATATGTGTGCATTTGCTGTAATGTTTATGGTGTTTGGAGAGACTACAGCCATGCTGTTTTAGGCGTAGGAGTGAGGTTATAGTTGAGGTTTTGGGATACAATGGTGCGGGATGTGGTGTCTTGTGTGGGATATAGCGTGTAGCACTTCAGGGCTGGTGGTTGGCACTATGGTGGGTGTATGGGGGCTCAGGTGGAGGATGTCACAGCAAGGAGATTCAAGGTAAATGTTATGTTCATCTATGTGATTGCTATGATGTCGCCGCATCATTAATCTAAGTAGTGGACTCCTGTAATGCACCAATTTACTTGAATGCCTTTCCTAAAGCACATTATCCTAGCCGTGTCGTTATGGAGTGGTATCTTGCCTTCCTGATGTATTACCAATCAAAATCTACCAAGAGGAGCCGGACTCCTAGTTGCGCAACCCCAATCAAATAATGAGATTGTTCTCAAACTGTTCCCAAACTTCAGTCACCGCCTCCTCTGTAGTCCCCTTTGTAGTATCTATAATGGTGTGGGACAGCTTTGCGTGCGAGTTCTTCTTGGCAAGCTTTCTAATAGCTGGGTCTTCTACGTTTTCGTTCTGTTGCAGAAAAACATTATGCTTGTGCGGCTCATTATGGAGTGCCTCGCCCTTGTTGATGCGGAGACCAGACTTCTCATCGTTCTTGTTTGTCTTAGCGGGGAAGACTCGGGTGCCTGCTCCTTCCGTGTTGCCAGGAGTCATCAGTTTTTTCATCACTGATGGGCGCGATATGACCACTGCGAACATTTCCTTCAATGCCGCTTTACATGCATTCGCTATAGTGGTTGTTTGGATGTGGCTTTGTCTTGTCAGAAATGGTCTGTCGACGAGTATGTTGACGTACGGACTTGGGAAGCGTAGGGCGTCGGGCTTTCTGGTGCAAACTAAGGAGCTTTGAGTTGCAGCTGAAAGTATCTTGGTGATCGCTTGAGTTAGTATCTCGTAGGTACTGATGGACTGGAATTACCTGTTCGTGCCCAGGTGTAGTTGATCTTGTACTGTATACCTACGTTATCAGGGATCTACCACTTGTTATAGTACCTAGGCAGAACAGGTCTCGGCTTGTTTGGGTTAGTGAGAAAAGGCCAGGTGAGTGAAAGAAGGCCTCTAGGTGAGAGACAACGCCAAAGCACATGTGTCGCTCTCACCTCCGATAACAGCCTTGAGATAACGCATTCTATCATCATTGATAATAGTAGAAGCCAAAATAATACGAAAGAAATTAAGGTTCAGTTTGTGGCAATGCTGGCGACATCCCAAGGTCCATTAATCTTTGACAGTGACCAGTTAGTGCTAATCAAGGACAGATTGAGAGTACATGGTGTATTCTATGCTTTGAAATGATGTGCAATAATCTATGGCTGCCTATGCTAACTCGGAGCCCTTAGATAAAGTAGATTTATCGTGATTGGGCAAGTATACCAGTTTGGCATGTGAGCCCATAATCACACCAAAGATTATCATTCTTAGACTCAGGCTCAGACAGACTCCGCAACAATCAATCGATTGACATGATTGATTCCTATATAGGTTAAAGAATTACTTCATTAGGCAGCCTTTAACCTAGATAGGAATCAATCATGCCGATCCGATTGATTGTTGCGGAGTCTGGGCTCAGATTCAAGCGCCCCGGGTAGCCACCCGGAGGAATGAAGCCGCAAATTCCTATACTGAACTTTGTACCCTGGGGTCATACTTGCGCGCTGACATCTAGAGATGCAGAAGGTGCTCGATTGCATTAAGTCGACCGCCTATACCAGATCGGGCTTAGCGTCGTTGGCCCAGCAGAAACGCCCTCACCACCTGCACCCTGCTCAGTTACGCGCCTACACTGCTCGACACAAAATCTGCGCGGATACTGCGTTTGAACCCAGTGCAACTAAACAGGCGATCGTACCCGATATGTTACTTCGTAGTGCTTTGACTATTGCTCGCCAATTTCCCACACATCAGAGGTCGTATACAACTTCAAGCACTCCGCCAATGGATTAGTTCCGCAAACACTTCTTCAGAGATCCTAGTTGTACAAAGATAGCTCAGCCAAGTCCGTCACCGACCTCACCTTCCCAGCAAGATGCGACTGATTCTCACGGAATTCAAACCATCTCCAATTGTCATGCAGAGCGACTTTACAAGTACAGTGCGGCTCGTTGGCTGTGGAATGAGAAAGAGCAGTTTGCTCGCCGATATGTTAAGCTCGACTTCTCGGTGCTTACTCATGTCTCAACTCAGGCCCTTGGAGCTCGCTCTTGTGTGAGCATTACAAAGCTACCTGAAGGGAATTTCAGCAAGGACTTCCTAGTTGCTATGGATGACGGCCGAGAGCTGATCGCCAAGCTCCCAAACCCGAATGCGGGGCGACCATATTTCACAACAGCTAGCGAAGCCGCCACCATGGACTATGTATGTGCTCCTCAACCTCTTGGAAGGTGACAATTGCTGATATGAAGCTACGTTGCAGCTTCGAAACGTCCTAGGTACACCAGTGCCAAAGATATATGGTTACAGCGCTTTAAAAGATAAGCCAGTAGGATCAGAGTACATCCTGATGGAACGCAGTGCAGGAGTCGAACTAGACAAGCTATGGAAGAACATGAGTTAGCCACAACGAAATGAGGTTCTCAAAGCCTTGGTCAATCACGAGATAACCTTGTCTTCTACCAGTTTGCCCATGTACGGGAGCTTGTACTACCTAGAAGACTTGCCTAGTTCTGCCCAAGGCCAGGTTCTTGAATCGAAAATCTCTCCGAATACGAAGAAGAGGTTTGCAATAGGTCCGACGACTGACAGGGCGTTCTTCGATAACGGTCGAGACGCTGTCCAGACGGATCAAGGACCTTGTATGTTTCCAAATTCAATTATCATGTCCGTCAAACGCTAATATAAGATAGGACCTTTAGTCGACACGTATCTTCGTTCATGTGCTGCCCGAGAACTGGCGTGTATCGAAAAATCCTCCACATGTTTTGACCAACGAGGACTGTTCAATAGCCCCAACCAATATCGTCTAACCCAAGAATTGAAAATTAGAGCCGTACATGACTATCTGAAAGTCGCCACTCAGATTCTACCCAAGGATGCTAAGCTTTCCAAGCCGACTCTATGGCATCCGGACCTGCATGGTGGCAACATCTTTGTTGATCCTCTCGAGCCGACGAAGATTGTAATCATCGATTGGCAAGCGGTCAATATTGCTCCACTCTTCCGCCAGGCACGCAACCCTGCACTCCTCGACTTTGATGGGCCGATACCAGAAGGTTTAAAACAAATACCACTACCTGATGGCTTCGATGATATGACCGAGGAGCAACAACGCGAAGCCAAGAACCTTTGAGCTGCGCAATCTTTATACAAGCTCTACGAAGTACACATGACTAGGCAATGTCCCGAGATCGCTCAAGCGCTACGCTTTCAGGATACCTTGCCTGGAAAAATCACTGCACTAGCCGACTTGGTCTTCAGCGGCGGAGAGCCGGCCCTCCAAGGATTGCTCATGCTACTCCAGGACCATTGGGACACTATCGTCGATCCATCCATCTCATGCCCCTTGTCTTTCACTCCCGAGGATAAAGCTGAGCATCAAGATCTTGAACAACATTGGAACCAGGGTGTTGCGCTGATGAACGATGTTTTGCGCGAGATTGAGGAACATCAAGGATGGGACGGCTGGGTGAGTCACCAAAACTACGACGTCATGAAGGAGCGACTGTCGCGATGCCGCGAGGAGTTTCTGGACTGTATGGCAAAGACGGCGGAGGAGAGAAGTCAGTGGGCTCGTGTTTGACCATTCCAGGACAAGTGAATGTGCCCGTAGGTGTGGCGGCATAGGGGATCGGATCATGTTTTGCGTCATCTAACTTCGAACTCCACTAGTCGACTAGTCGACTAGTACAAGGCATTCTCGTGAGAGATCAGCCATGAAGGTAGTCAGCAGTACTTGCTTCTCCACTAATTTCGAAGCAGCAAGTACAAAGCCGTAATATAATTGCTTTTTTCTTCTTGTATAGGAGCATGTGAATTTTGCAGGCTCCTGGAACGAGAATGACATACGTACAAGGCTCCACGCGTTCAACAAGTCGACAACGCGACTTCACCGGCTCACGATCGCAAAAGATCGACTCAAATGCCTGCATCACACACCGGGAAAGACCTTGCATATATAGAACTACTGAGATAGATATGCACTAGCACACTTCTTACCTCCAGCCATTAATACACGCTCGTAACGGAGCCCGCATTCCCACATACTTTTCATTGCGACTAAAAGAATCAAGCTTCTCGGCTCATATTCATGGAAAGCCTTTCTTAGCGGCCCCAAATATGGCGTTCCAGGTTTCAGACAATGGGTTCGCGTAATGGAAGTGGGCGAAGTCGATCCCGATTTTATTGATTCGCAAGAATCTGGACATTCAAGTAGGATATGAATCACTGTACCAACGGCGTTCAACTTAACGCGCATCCTCATTGCCTTCACTTTCCGGAAGAAGGCGTCCTGGTATTGGGTTTCAGGGTCTCAGGGTACCTGAGCGAGTACCTAGGTATGCGGGTGGGTTATGTTACCACATGGGGATCCCATTGTGGGGACCCGGAGTTTGGAAAGCTCCATATCATGGGTGTAGCGCTGCTTTCATTTCACGAATCCTTTCGTTTGCTTCCGTATGGAGACTAAATTAGAAGAGGGGGGAGGCGGTCAGTCTCGGATAGCAAGTCGTATCGTCGCTGTGATCGTTCAGTCGTGCGTGATAATAGTGACTGCCTGGGTACATAGGTAGTTATCTACCGCAGAAGGGCTGTGAGTGCTTGCTGCATTCAACAGTGGTACTGGAAAACAGGATCCCCGCCATTTCCGACCCAGAAAACAGAAGGATACGTAGTGTTATCGCCCCGTACACAACCAAAGATATCGCTGACAAAAGCATACTTGCTAAGTCTGCACTGCTTTGGTGAAAATGATACCGCAGTTGGAGCACCCTTCGATGTGGGTGCAATGAACATCCTAACTGAGCGATTGTCGAACGCGAAAACTTTTGTCGTTCGCCTGGGTTTCTTATTCTTGCCACTAACGGATAATGGTGATTGAGAATGACTGGTATAAGCTCATTGGCGGCAGAGACACAGAAAGCCAGGATAGGTTACTACACGTTCCCTGGCCGTCAAAAGACTTTGGACTGACCTGATCTATTAATGACCCTTTTGGCGCAGACCCTCGTTTCTGTTGGAAGACATCCGGGTATTTGATCGTAATACCGAACAGCTTCAACGTACACCTCTGATTCTCTGGGAAGATCTTCGGCCGGTCAATCACCTGATGGTCGCGCGGCTCATTTTTCGGTTGTGGGAGGTACAGGAGATAGATTCATTGGCGTGCGCGCTAAGATTTTCTATCGCCTTTACAGTACTACGGTACCAATCCTTGGCGTAATAAGCTAAAGAACTATCGATTATATGATTTTGACGAGAGCTTTACAGAGCTTATTCGACCCTGGTCCGCTCTTCTTCGCAGCAAGCTAAGAATGCATAAGAACGCTTCAATCCCCCATCTTGACATAGCCAAAGGCTCAATCAGCAACTCACATCCACTTCTTACTTCTGAACCACTCTCCGGAATTTTCGGTTTACAAACACCAGTCTCGTTCCAATCATCCAACATGAAGTTCGGCATCATCGCCATTGCTCTCACTACTGCTATTGTAGCAGGGAGTGCTATCCCCAGTTCTCACTCCATCACTGGTTTCCCCACCTGCAATGACTTGGACGGGGAGCCGAAAAAGCTCTGCACATATCTCTGCAATACGGCTTGCGATGCTATCAGTGACGGAGACAAGGAAAAGATTTGCATGCTGGCCTGTGCAGCTGCCGCTTCCAGTCATCGTCCAATCGATGCAGGGGTCGGGGCTAAACTCAGCTCAAGGTCTCGTCCCCACAAAGGCCACAGAGGATGCGACGATATCCCGATATATGAGAAGAGAAAGATCTGCAAATTACTTCTAGCCCTCGACTTGGCCTGTGCGAAAAATTGCGAATCTAAGGGAGGAAAGGCCGCAAAGGATTGCAGAAAAGATTGCGGAAAACCCTACAAGTCTTAATACATTGAGGCTGCGTTTAGGGCTGAACTCACCTCTAGGTCTTCTCCTACTAAGCCTACTACTTATAATAATACGCTCCCTAAGGATAGAACGCTCTACAAATTTCTGTATAATAAGACTTATAATGCTCTTAAAGGAGAGGCCTAAAAGAGTTGCAGAGTGGGTTGCGGAAAATCCTACAAGTCTCGATCCGTCGAGGCTGGGGTTGGGGCTAAACTCACCTCTAGGTCTCCTCCTACTAAGCCTACTACTTATAATAATACGTTCCCTAAGGATAGAACGCTCTACAAAATTTTCTGTAATAAGACTTACGATCTTCTCGAAGGAGAGGCCCAAAGGAGTTGCAGGATGGGTTGCGGAAAACCCTATAAGGGTGGAAAATACAAAGATGGAAAAGACCATAAGTCTGGCCCCATGGATCCCAGGATCGAGATCAATTTACATCGACACCATTAGCGATCGAAGAGAACCTCTAGCCGGCGAACCTACTCGCTAAAAATGCATAGTCCCACGAACAGGACGGAACTATCGGTGATGCTTTACAAGATTGTAGTCTTCAGTGGCCTTTCTGGCGCTTTTCGTTCAGGGCCACATATGTACGGATGGGATTTGACGAACTAGGGGACTGTGGGGACATATGATGCGAGAGTTGGAGGCGAGGAAATGGCGAGACTTTCACTGGGTACCTGATGGAACTTTCATGCGAAGGACACAACGTACGCTTTGTGTGGGTATCATAGTAGATAGCTGAGGCAAATCTACGACTTGACAAAACAATTGCCGCTGTAAACATTGAGTGACGGATGAAATAGGTAGAGATGTGATATTGTGATATCTTCAGATTCAAATTCGGTGTATCGCAAGACCGGGGTGATGTTCCAGCCTCCTACTTATGCAGTACAGGAATTTGGTTAGTTGGGAGTTAAGATCGTGAGGAGTAATCCAGCTTGTGGGAACCCGAATACGCTAACTTAATACGGCATCGCGCATTAGCGTGCCTAGCGTACCCGGGTAGTGTCGATTGAGTCCAACTGTCAGATATTCACTCTCATCTGGAATACTGATGAAATAGATAATAATGGTGATGATGATTGATTGTGTCTTGGTTCTGTCTACGGTTGTGGGCACACCTAGGGGGTGCCAAGCCTTCCTGTGATCCGATTGGCTCTCACAGATGCCAGGTCGCGCTAGTCTAACCCAGCGTCTGTACGCTCTCATCTTCAACAGTGCTATTATCTGACACCAACCTTACGTCTACAGAGTAATTTGGAATGATACCTGCGACGCATGTTTACTCGTAGCTTTCTACAAATGTGGATTATCAGTTAATGTTGCAGGCTTTGGTAAGTTCCCATTCAGATACAGTCCGTGGCACAGCCGATCCTTCTACTTGAAGCGATTACATCAACACAGTCCCTTTAGGGACAATAGCCTGCATGCTAATTTTGAGACTAGTTCAGCCTAGGATAGACCCAGTAGCAATAGTACCTGAAGAGCCAGCGGAAATCATGTACTTTCTCCCCAGGCTCCATTCGGAACCGGCTCACACAATCCCGTGACATGGAAAACCTACTACATCCGTGTTTAAATCTCACCTCTCAATTGCCAATAACTGTTCACCGCCGATTTCACAGAGTAAGCAGTCACAATCGCACCGGAAGTACGAAAGATAGCGCATATCAAGCCAGTATTCAACCTCGGAGATGTGGAGGGAGTTCTTGATCGACCGACGTACTACCTTCCTCAATTTTTGCGCACATGATTTCAATCGTGTCAGCACTAGAATTCTTCAAACATGACAAGTCCCTTCGGTTGACCCGGCTAACCCGGCTAACTTTCTATTTTACTTGATCCGATGGTGTAATCAGTGCAACAGTCGACGGAGCCGACACTGTATGGCGTCTTCAGAGAACTAGGTGGCCCGTGTCAGATGACTAGCTACGATTCCATCTTGTGTGGCTAAATGCGGTAGTGCTGCAAGTGTTGCAAGTGTTGATATGTAACCAATGTGGATCAGCGTGCATGCTTATTTTGAGATCCGTTCGGGCCGGAATAGACCCAGTAGGTAGTAGTACCGGCTGGATTTAGACTGATACGACACGGCTGCGTACCCTGCAGCCCGAATAACAGACAGGTATGCGACGAAACGTTCCTCCGACTAGCCAGACTTGTCATTAAGCAAATCAAACAAACTTTGGACGCTGATTTGATTTGTTTGTACAAAACTTAAGATTGTATTTGAGTTGTTTAGTTTGATAGTGTTTTAGGAGGCCGTTTGTTTGAAAGTTTGATAGATTTGATACTGTTTAGGTGCTGATCTAATCGTATATCGTATATATTACTAAGCTTCGCTGTCCCACTTGCATATTTCGTATATTGCAGCTACCTCAGCGTCAGTTACATCGCCTGAGTTGTAATCAGATGGAGGCTTAAAGCCAGCGTCGCGCCAGCTTCGTATACACTGTATTGCTGCAAGCAGTTGTGACCCAATTTTGCGTCGCCTTGGCTCTAATAAATCACCGAGCTCGCTGAACAGCCGCTCGCACTCACAACTTGAGGCTGGTATTGTTAATATATCGATCGCCATACGCGCTAGGTTAGGATACTTTGGGCGTAGGCTTATCCAATAGCTAACAGGATTACTACCTTGTTCGAACTGCTCCTGCGTCCAGCGGAGTTCAAACCGTCGCCAACGCTCCAGCTCATCCATCTCTGTCACCTCAACAATGCCATAAGGCTCCGCATTAACGAGCGCGTTGATGGCGTCGTTGATACCACTTGAGAGCCGCACTGGTGGGCGACTTTGGCGCTGTATTTGCGGCTTATAGAACGCCCAAAGTTGTTTCAACCCAGCGTTGTTTGCCTCAAGCCAGCTCGGTTTGTCGCGCCAGCTGTTCTCACAGTAGTTCTTGTAGTATGGGTGGAGGCAGGTAGCGGCAAAGTATGCGGGTGATTCGTCGAGCTTAGTGTAATACGCGTTAAGCTTTGCCCAAGCTGCGCGTAGGTTGATAGGAAGGTGATCTTCTGGCGCGCTATTGGCATTATAGTCGACGCTTTCGTGGTTTTTAAGTAGCTGCTCGTACACGGCAAGTACAGCTTCGAAGACAGGTATAACCTCGTATATCGCGCCGAAACGGCCAGCTTTACCGCGAGCTTCAAGCCGTTTTGTCGCCTCCTTTAGCGGCTCCAACACTGATATATACTGGGTTATTACCGCCCAATCGTCAGCCGTAAGCCCATTAGATCTCATCCAAGCTGGTAATTGTAGTGAGCTTATTGTTACGGCTACGCGCGTACGCGTCGGCGCCCAT